ATAACTTATAAGAAGTTCAGATCCAACCATGAGTCAATGGCCATAATCATTTTCGATGTAATCATTTACTAGTTTTGGCTACAGAAATCAGAGCGATAGACAATCGATTTTGATTTCCCATACCATCAGGTTAGCTGAAGCTTACTAGTGCTGGTACGTCTCTTTGAAAGGATGCTGAAACTATGAGTAACTGATATTGTATCTTACTTAAGCTTACGTCAAGTGAATTACTGATATTGTATCGTTTAATCAATTTCCACAGAGAGATTATAACGCGATAAACAATTTAATCAGTGAAGTGAATACCATTTCACTATCCCTGCGGACCAACATTTATTAAACAACAGTCTCACAAGGTCAGGCTGACACCATCCTCCAACAATTGGGAGTCCCCTGTTAGATAAAACCAGGAAGGGAGGGGGGGGGTAAATGTACCGTCACCATATGTAAATAGAATGAAAAATATTTCAATGATGGCGTTGCGACAAGACTTCAGTCAAGTGACAGCTATAGGGCCTACTATAGGGCCCACAAGAATGTTCCGATGGCGGGCTTACAAACTCTGTAAATGCTCCAACAGGTTAACTTCCTAAGTTCCCAGTGTTTTTTGTGTATTTCACAAACACCGAAAAAGATGTATAACATATAAAATCAATTTTACGAATATCAAATTCATTTTTGTTGTTAATTGATAGGACCCCTACAGATTAAAGTAGGTGGTGAAGTTAGCTTTCAGCAAACAATTTTTGGAGTCAACTTCAGATCTGAATAAATTTAAGGGTCTCCTTAAACATTTTGTTGGTGGACTGATAGTCTTTTCAGTCGCCCCCCTATTAATCCTTCCTGAAATCCAGTACGAACCCAATGACGAAAGAACAAAACAGTACAAACTGTAATAAGAACCGTCAGATCGTATCCATGAACACACAAACACAACGCCCAAAGCAAAAAAAAGCTAAAACACTTTCTATTGGCATTTGTTAACATCGCCAACTGACAAAAAAGAGACTTTGTTGGGGTTCCTGTAGAAAGTGTCATATTCCGTCCCCATTGCAGGAAGTAACACAAAGAAAGTCTTTGAGTTACATAGTTACTCACACAAGTATTGGTTACGAAAGACACATAGCAGTGCCCAGGGCGGTTTCTAACAAAAGCGCTGGCGTTATGTGGCTAGGGTGTAGACGCTTGGCACTATCCCGCTTTGCGATCACTTAGATAATGCGCTCCGTTTTCAATTGACAAATTACATGGGCTTGTTTTTTTAAACACCTCGTTTGCACTGTAAACAAAAGCAGAGACACATTTCGACTCAATGGTGAAAATAATCTGCTGATGGGAACCTTTTCGTCGTCCGTTCTTAAAAGTAATATAAGGAGCTTCCTTCACCGTAAGCTTTCAATCCACCGCAACAATAGCATAAAATCTTTTGTTCGATGTAGCATTGTCTTATTGCCCTATACTAGTAAAGAGCAACGTTCATGGAAAACAACATTTACTAAACAAAAATAGAATATTGAGTGTACATGGCCTTTCATCGTTTTGTCGCAGAGAAAACTAATTTCCACGGGGTCTTTTAAAGGCGCTCAACTGATAAGTTGATAATATACATATCATATTCTCTCATTGACTTCTATATTCAAAGAGTTCGGGGCTGTTTTTCATTTTCCTTTAAATAATGACACTTATGTGAATGAAATCAAAACCTAAGAAAAACAAACTCCTTTCTTTCGAAATGCATATTTTCTCCGGAATGTGTTCAAGTGAAGTTACACGGACAATACATTGACGCAAAACAGTAAAACGTATTTTGAGGACATTATCATTTCGTCATGTCTTAGGACCCAAACCCAATATAGAGGTGCAAATAAGGTCACAGGAGTGCTCTTAAAAACATTGAGTGCACAATTTGCAAACTATGTTTGATTATTTTAGGTTCCCACATGAAGAAGTTTGTATCAAAGTTTCAATCTCCTGGAACCATGAATAAAAAAAAATTCATTGTCTAACCCCAAAAAGGAACATACGTTACTGTCAATAATGCAAAACATCCTTTTGTGGAAATGTTTTACTCACTTTGAAAATTTAATCATCACTGGTTTTGTTTTTTGATTTATCTTCAACAAGTATAACGTTGTAAAAAATTATGATAACCTTCTGTATAGAGCAGTTAATTGTTTTTGAGCGACTTTAGTTTGCTTGCTGAATATTCAAAAGACGGGGGAAATATGCCATATATATATATGTAAGTAAATCAAATAATGTTTTAAGAATTTGTGAATTACATATGTTTGCATGGAAGTACAAAATGTCCATTGCTGTGTATAGGATGGCAACACATACTGTACACAAAGGCAACACAGAGTTTATAACCCCATAACGGCGAGTTTCAAGGGAGGATTACATGAGGCCCAAGATTACATCTAATGATACACGATGAAACTGATTTGTCCTTATAGGGGTAACCATGCAAAACTATGAACTTCACCTCACCATTGGAAATTTGTGAAAGTAAGAGGGACTCAATTTTGCTGGCCTGCGCTGTGTGTTTCACGGCACAGATTTCTTCCTGGTCACCAGCTGGATAGCATTCAATGCCACACTCGGGGTGTTACAGGCACTGAGGGTGTATACTCATTTAATTTGCCTGAATCTCTGGAGGTGCCCGTGAAGAATGGAAACTGATATTGAAATGATTCCAAGGGGGCAATGATATGAGAGTGACCTGTTAAAATATTATTTTTCGTCAGAAACTAAGAAAAATTTTGCTCACAAATGATATTTCGGTGTGCCATCGGTCATGCTCTTCAACTGCACATCGAAATATTTCTTAATTTGTGATAAAAAACATTTGATCGCTTGTATTTACCAAACTAATGAAACTTTTAAATATCTTTGTTAACTTACTTAAGCTTACTGAAGTTCCGAAATAAAATCAACAAACTGGTAAATAAATATAAAACAAAGCTTAAATAAGAGTAGTTAGTTTTCTCCAACCGGTTTTAATTGTATCAGTAGCTTTTTTGTTTTACGCCATATAATTTGACGTTCACTAGATGATCCACATAACTTGTTTTTTATGCATTTACTTTGCCCAGTGGTAGACGGTATACATGTAGACGGCCGTAGGACATACATGTACGGTATTAACTGAGTCACCGGTCTCAGGAGACTTGTGTCATCAGCCTACCTCCTGCGTTGATTTCAGAAACAAATCAAGTTAGAATTTCACCTTGACTTCAACAACGGAAAGAACATAGACTTGCCACCAACGCGATTGCCGCTGGAACAGTTCTTGGGCGCTGGTCTTGGGACATCCTTTCTATTGCAATCCTTAACCGAATTTTATCAAACTAATGAAACTAATGATCTGACTAATTGACCATAAGGTGACTTATGATGATTGGATGATTTTTGAAAAGCTAGATTAACTGAATTTATCATCTTGTAGTTTGAATCAGGAATTCTTACGGTATAAACAGATCTCAACGTTAACGTTAGCTGGCCCAGATTATGTGACAAGCTTAATGGCTATGACTGAAGCGTGTATCATCGCATTCCTTCCAAATCCCTGTTGCCGTAAATTTAAGTGTGACCATGAAGATGACTGCGTCTCCGCATTTCAATTCACTATCAATCCAATTGATCGATTTCTTGGGAATAAGTGACACTCATTATATTTCAATTGACTTAATTATGGGTAGGATTGCTACAGTGTACATGTATATACTAGAAAAAAATCTCGCCCATATACAGCAAACATGAATCCCTTTTACGTCAGTCCATGGAATAACTCGTTTGATTTACACAAATTGAAAAATTCTTAATCATTGGACAATATTTTGAATGCTTAAAAACATACTCTACACCAAATACAGTAGTGAAACAAGATCATGTCACATCATCGGAACTGGGTGCGCACCAACCTTGTCCTTTTTTTCGCATCAAATGGTGTCAGATCATCATTTTCTCATGTTTCCTCTTAGCGCACAATATCATTCGCAGTCTCAGTTTGAATATCGAAGTATGAAATACTCTTTAACTTCTGAATCCTATATTTTTGCAGTAACTACATGTATACTGCCTGCTGCCTATAGTAGCGGAACATGTTACAAAATGTTACAGTTTATTTTAACTTGGGTTGTTCTAATGGTGTATTAGACGTTAAATAAAAACTAACTGATGCAAAACTCTTTATACACATGGATTCTTCAGTAGAAGTCTAAGGTATTCAAAGCCAGTCAAATTTTGCCAACCCAATAACTAGTGCCTAGAAAAAACATCACTGCCCAACATATCTCGGGTTCACTCAAATGGTCAATACAGAGATTGTTGTCATGAGGCAGACGTTCCACCCCTCCCCCCCCCTCCCCCATCCCCCAGCACACACACCCGACCCCTCTTGCCCCGGCCACCACCTTTGAAACTGTAACTGAACTCATCATATGCATTATTTTCCTATCGTCAGTCCTTCATATTCTGGTCGTCTGCTGGGAGAGACCATACCATAGTTAGATCAACCTATCTCGACTGTAAGCACCACGAAATAAGTTTCTCATAATACAGATACTGAATGTCGGCTTCACAATCATTCGCAAACAAACAACCAATTTCTAATCTGGCATCCCTCCAGTGCGACAGGTGGGATTTTGACCAATCGAAAGCGGCTTACAATTCCAATTAATATGGAACTCATAATATGCGTTCCCTTCTATCGGATTAATTTGCTTAATGTCACGACAGAGCGACCTATTGAAATAAGCCGGAGACACGGCTCTATCAGCATGCCATTTCTGACGTGAATTTAATAAAGAACTTAATATACGAAATCTAACCTATTAAACCTATGCCATCTTTCAACATCATTCCTACTGACAAGATGGTGAAAGCTATGACCGCATGGACAATGCGCCTTTCTATTTTAAGGTACACTTTAACTGTTTTAACACATTTTAAATTTTCAACAATTTTTACAGGTATCTAAAATTTTTAGATGTACTTACCCAAGAATAAATCCAGCAAAACGACGAGGTGTAACTTTTTGAAGAGGCTGACTGATTTCCAAATAACTTTCATTTTCAGGAAACGACCCAATACATAATAATGTTCAAGAAGTACTTTTATCTCGCGTATACGGTGTCTCTAGAGTCTGGTCCTATCTGATTTTGGCCAGTATTCCACCAACCAGTTCTTGGTATTGTTTTCGATAAAAGGGTGACGACCTCGATTAACTATTCGCGCTTTTCACATGATAAGAACACCGACGTCAAAAATTAAGCGACTCTTCCGCCTCGTTGGCGTTCACTTTAACTCCGCTGAACTGAATCAAATTCCTGCAATTGGCACGCGATCCTACTAGTGACGTTCCTGCTTTAAAAGAGGATACATTGCCTCAGTAAAAGAAGAGTTTTTTCTGATTTATTCATACTGTCCTGTCCTCAGCCTAGTTTTGTCCGGTACCTGTGAAACGTTTGGATGTGGTTTCGATCTGCTCTCGATTCCTGGGACCGACGCTGCCCTTTTTTGACCTGAAAGATACAAGTAATCACGCCTTTTAGCATTCATCTTTGATTAAATTTGGCCAGGTCTTTCGAACTGCGTCTTACTCATCTCTTCGCTCTGAAAATACAATGCTATTCAGTCCGGCCTCTTCTGTATGCCGCCTCACTGTAATAATCCTTGAACGAAATTGGCGAGCGGTTCAGCAGAGATTATCATTTTACATAAAGTGTATTGACTGGTGCTCTTTACGCACCGATAATTTCTTGAAATCGACAAACGAGATCAAAATATTTATCTCATATTCCGCAATCACGTCTCATGCTACCTAAGGCAAATTTGTGTAAAGGGTGAGAACCCCTCCCCTTCTCTTCTTTAACGAAAAAACAACAAAAAGGGCCAGGAATTGTATAAAACTACCTCTTAAATCTCACACCAGCAATCATGTAAAGGCCACAGTTTTTGAATTTCCTAAAACTAATACATGAACTGCGTTGCAACCATTTTAAATAACGCGATATTCAGTGCTCTATCGTTTTTCGCGGTTTTATACTCTGAAAATCTTCAAAGATGATCACCTAGAATATAAATAATTCAATTTAACAAATCTGCCCTGAATTAAATGTATCATGGTCTAAACTAAAAGTGTTTCAATTACTTAAACTAGCGTTTTTCTAGGGAAGTTCAGTCACCTCTCTTTCTCTCTTTCTCCACAGATGACTACATATTCCGCACCACCTCCCACATCTAGAATATGCTTGTGGCATGTACTTGTGATTTATACGAATGTTTTGTCACGTGGATTCTGCACCACACCACGTGACAAGGATGGGGACTTTATTCTGAGGATATAGCAAGAGTGGTTAATAAATCAATCGCTAGTTTTATTTTGCCATATTAATACTTTTCTATTTCTGAATGCGTTGCACAGTTCTGAAAAGAGAAAACGCGTTTTAACGCTCGTCAAGTATCACCCGTTTACTTTGAAGAACTATAAAGTATGTATAAGATTACCATTGATAAGTGATAAGCCAGTTGAATGTAACTGTGCTCAATGGGAATCAAAATAAAATTAAGAGGTATTATGTCATAAAATATTTGCAAGAGCTTGATCGCAAACACCGCTTACAAAGCAAAGGGAGATGTTATTTTGGCCGTAATGCATACGCCACACCGTGAAAATATTTCTCTTCAAACAAAAATAAATCCACTAGCTAACGCGCTTTTGTTATGTGCACTTGTAAAAATACACAGAAATCAAAATATTAGTCAAATCAGAGCATTGACGTTCGTAACTGTATTTTTACATTTATTCTTTTCTGTTATTCAGTGTATACGGCTCTGATCCTGAGTGGTTTAGGATTTGTTTCCAAAGTTAAATGATTCTGTGAACCTGTCTCTAAAAACAATAGGGAACAGTAAATTTAAAATGTAGGAAATCAGATCTACAAATTCAGAATTCAGCCAAAAACGTACCATTCTGCTAAGCTAATCTACCGTGTAACGTTTCAGTTCATTAGACCTTTCCCACGCTCGTTAGGTTTCAAATAGTTTGCTTCTGTAACACATTAGTTTATAATTTTTGCTTATTTAACGAGCTAATTGGCAACGTTACTCCGTTCTTTAAACTCCAACCTTTAACAGGTTCGACAACCTTTCATCCTGTGAACAGAAGTCTGAAATGGCACGGGCCCCCTTTTCTATAACACCGGACTTGCCGTCGACCTGTATCGACTTGAAGACGACCTGCATCGTTTATTTTATACATACCTCTCACGCCCACCGATTAACCTTCAGAATACGCAGCTCGAAGGTGTGCTGTACAATGCAATATATACGATCTAGGTGCCTGCACAGGTGCGACAAGGCTGCAAGACCGCGTTTTTCCAAAACCGCCACATACCATATAGGTTCTGTCACCGAGATACAATTTGTCGTTAACGAAACATAGCATATATGTCACTAAAGAAAATGATAACGTTTGAGGGCAAGGATCCCGTTTGCATTAGAGTCGATTTTATGTCGACTGGTAATATTTTCTCGATGAATTTCATTCCATATCCATTGCCTAGCATGCATGTAAAGGTGAAGTACGAACTTACCACAAGAATCGTTCTCAATCGCCCTCTTGGGGTAAGAATACATTGAAATACCCATTAAACAAATGTATATGGGCTCCTGACGCCTGTCTTTCCCTGCTACATACAAATTCCACAAGGAAATAAGAACCTTTTAGTCTACACTGGTAATTTTTCTACTGTATACCTCACGTAAATTTCATCTTCCTAAAACCTTGTGTTAAAAGAGACTACATAAACTACCACCAACCCTACGCACTGACATCAGCATCGGTAAAGGTACGGTCTTTTGGGACGTATTTGCTTGACTGAAATAACGCTGACCGTTCTAAAAGGAGGACGCTGTCGCGGCGGCAATCTAGCCTTGACAGCCAAGTCACGAAGCCTAAAACGTAAAGAAATGCCGAACCGCTTCCGCTGTTCGACCAAATAATAATCAGAAACTGGCGTGACTCAGTAGAGTAATCATGGAATTTTTTTAGATTAAAAAGCAGCGGTATTAATAATGTTTCTGTAATTAAAAGACGTCGATCTTTTTTAATCCAAGGTCAAAAGATGAGTGTTTTTGCGTTTCATGGAGGTTTATTTCTAACTATCATAAAATACCTGTGATATACCCAATATACCCAATATGTTACAAGTATTAATTAAGTTAGCAAGCAGCATGCGTCTTAATTTAGATCAAAAGGAGTTGCCAGCTTATCACAAAACATTGAAGGTTATCAATATTCAATTGGCACTTGCAAGAAATAAGACATATTAATCTGTTTTTAAGTGGGGATTATTTCAAATTGCTTAGAGTTGCAGGGGTGGTTCTTAGTGTATTTAACGATATGGGAATGACCAGTAATACGTTTGATTCGGTGCTCTATTGAATTTAAGTCTTTTAATAAGGTTCGTGTTGTTGCGAGTTCGATCTATTTCCAAATTCGTTTGCCATTTGCGTTTGAAGAAAATGCAAGTATTGAAGTATACAAGAATAGCAAAATATGTTAAAATATTACAATTGACCAAGGGCTTTATATCTATTGTTATTTCGACATTCCAGTGGCTTCGAAGTTATCACACTATATAGCACCTATTTGAATAGATAGGATGAAAGAAAATCAAACTTACTTCTACAAAGTTTTAGTATTAAACTTCTGTTATTTCAGAAAGTGAGTTATGTTTCCGTTGGTTATTTCAAGGGCGTGTGGCTTTGTGTATACATTAAATTGCGAATAAATGACAGTCATCCCTGGTACGTAACAGATTCGGGTAAACATATTAATCGGATATTGTATGCCCCGTGCATTAAGCGTACGCATCTCGGCTTCTGTCAAATGTTGACACGAAAAACATCCGTCCTATTCTCTGTCAAATTGGAAAGACAAATGCGAAAAGGAAAGCTACAGGGGGTTTACGTAGAACGGTATACGGATCGAAATATTTTCCAATTCTGTATCTCTATCGACTGGGCGCGAGGAAGCAATCCTCAGAACTACAGGGCAAGGACGGATATTAGTTATTTCCAAGGGTGATGGCCCCTTAATAAAAAACAACGTGTGGAGCCAGGGGAATCCGTTGCTTTTGTCTCCTATGAATTGATTATTAAAAAAGATACGAGACTGGTTCGTTATTACGAATTAGATCCCCACTTCATTGTGAACAATTTTGAAAGCGACATTATCAGCATATATGATCAATACGCAATAAACCTTGAAGCGCTTTCCTTATGCCTTATATCAGTGATAATGACTGACTTCAGATATCTTGAGAGAGAGAGAATCTGATAAACAACTTAATAAGCGAACGCAACAAGGTATTGACGTTTTGCAAAATTCACTTCGGTGTACAGACGTTCACGATTGGCACTGACTCTCGGATTACTTCTACGGAGCGATGTTCTAAGTACCAAATCTTTTAAGTCTACTTTAACCATGCTTACCAGCATTAAGAAATGCCTAAATAATTCATCGGTCGACTCTCTTTGTTAACCACCCACTGCTCATTTAGGTCTCCAGGCCATATGCCAACTTCTAAATATTTCAGGAACTCGGAGATAATGAGTTTTACTTTGCTATCATATGTATGATTGCATAATATCAATAATTCAGTTATATATAACTTCTCTCAGTGCAAAGGTTACACTGCATTTAAACGAAATGCGTTTTTCATATTTCAGATTTCCGTACAAAATTTTGCCAAGCAGAACAACAGAAGTTGAATCACTAAGTTGATACATGTAGTTACATTTGTACAAGGAAAAAATGCGCTTATTCTGTTACTTCTGAAACATTCGCGAGTCTAAAGACCAGAATATATTTTGCCTTTGATAAAAGAAATTGGAATAATACTTATAGTATCTTAATGTAAAACATACATTTTCACCTTTTCAATAAGTAGACGAGTACAAGGGAACTCTTCGCTTCAGACATACTCTGAGCTGCTTTTATGTGCCGAAACATTTTGTTCACAAATTGTTGAACTTCAGATACGCAATGTCTAAGTAAAGATGTTAGGTAATGTTTCTTATATCATCTAATTAAAAAATTCCCTATCCCTTTTGATTACCTAGAACGTGCATGCTTTTAGTGTTATATAAAAAACTGGATTCCATTACTATCTATACACCTGGCTTTTTTTATTCATAAAGTTCAATTCAAACAGCAATCATACCTCGACCCACCTGTAAATACATCCATCTAGTTTACCATGACTTACTACTTAACCAAAAAACTACTGACCTTTTGCCTAGGTCTGATAATACTTTAAGAAAGCCGTAGATTAAGTAACAGATTAGTCTGTCTATATCTGCAATGATACATGAACATGTGTTCTGATTTATACTTGTGTATACTTTATTGATAAGAAAGTCTGCAAACAGTGAATATGTACATTTGAGAAAAACTACACATTGGGCATAATGGATACTCTACCCCAGAGGTCTTCCAACTGTGCAAAATTGTATTAAAGTATCTTTTTGGACCAACAAAGTGAAAATTGTATTAAAGTATCTTTTTGGACCAACAAGTGACCGACAAAGCAAAAGTTAATTAAGGTTTTTAAATAGACATACCATAGAAACTAGGTTACTTAGAAACGTGTGAAAAGGTGCCGTTTCCAGAAAGAGAGAAATTCAAAAAGGGCTGACCGAAACCGCTTAAAATGCATCATCAACTTTTTTTGCTCCGGTATAAGAAATCCCAAATCTCACTGTGGTAACCATTAACATGCACATTGACATTGACCTTGACATACATCATTTACCTTTGGCCCGTAAAAATGACACTTGAAAGGAAGCGTTTGTATGCAGTGCTCAAGAGAAGCTAAAAAAGTCGAGGATATTGCATTTCTTTGAAAACGAATATTAGTTATCACAAAGAAATGCTGAGGGTCTTTCTCTTGGATCAGAGAGAGAGAGAGAGAGAGATTGAGATTTGAAATAAATACATTTCTCCCCTTTCCTGTTCTTGCCCTTTTTCAAGAACTCTGCAACGGCACCACCTGAACACACTGTTTGTATAAAGTAGAAGGCTTAAAAGGTGAGCGTCTTTAAAGTAAATATATAAAGAAACCATCCGCTTACTTTAGACTATTAGGAGCTCAATTGGATACCAAATGGTAGTTCTAACAAACTAAGACCCCGTTTCCATACGTAGACCAATGTTTTCTATAGGAATGGATCTTAGTTACATAAGTGAGCTGTGATACTATCAGCCACAAAACACGCGTAGCTTGCATAAAATTGAAAGTTTCGCCTTAAAAACTTTCCATAAAAGTTTTAGAATAATACGTTTTAGAATAATACGTTTTGTCTTATGAATGCACCCATAGGTTTCATAAGTTTCAATGTGAATGCCATGCTATTTACAATTTTGATCTTTGTAAAATAATGGTTACGCATATCTCAAAGATATTAACATACCTATCAATTAAATGCATTTTAGAGGACATAAAATAAAATGAGAAACGACTAAATGTAGATGTAGGCTATATCTATAACCAATCTATATGATCTCATGTATTAAAATTCATCACCGCTGTTTCTGCAAATTTATCGTTTTTTTTTTTCTTGACATGATGATCTCTAATAATAGTGCTTTCCAAATAATTCAGAATTGCTCTCTGTATTGCAGATTACTACATAAGACATATTTCGACTCCTTTTTGCGTCCTTTTTGCGACCATGAACTGGATGTGGTCGTAGAAAGGAGGCACAAGCATCGCTTTGGTTGCAGAATGAATGCTCAATGATCAGCCAGTTGTCGGCACTTAAAGTATTTTTTTACTCTCAAACAGGACCCGTACTACGGGACGCAGAGAGAACGCCGAAAAATGTTAAGGGAGCTTACGAACTTCCGACAAACCCTGAAACCTAGAGCAGGGCACTTATTAAAAAAAAAACTCACCACAAGAAAGGTGAAAATAATAAATACCAACTGTGAACAAAAATTACTCAAAACAGTTATGTGGTCTATTCGCCACCCCACCCGAATTTCTCACACACAGACAAATAGAATACAATAACTGTGTCATAAACGACTATACAACTTTGGTATGTGATAACAGCCTTTCTATCAAATATAAACCACTGGACTGAATTTGAAAGCAAGCTCAGAAAGAACGAGATTCATAAAGCTTAGGAACCATTCTGAGAAAAAAAGGTCCTTAAAATGAGAAACTTAATTGCGTAATCTCAGTTTGAAATTGGACTTGAGTGGGGCTTGCTGTTTTATGCAAGCAATGAGATTGCCTATAAATCACTTGAGCTAAACTCGCATCGCAGGGAAGATTTTCATTATTTTTTCAAATCCCTTTCCTGAAAGGGGACTCAAAAAAACTAACCAGGCGCTTAAGCTAACAATAACTTAATCCAGGAGAAAAGTGCATGGCTTTATCCTCCAAGTTGTTCCGTATAGAAGATCTCTTGGGATAAAGTGTGCCGCCGGTAAAAAGTTAAAGTGTGACATTAACGTAAGTCAGAAAAAAGTGCCAGGAAGTAAATCTCCATCGCAACTTAGATTAGTGTTGGCTTCTGAAAATTGACTCGGATTTCAACTTCTACGGCTGGTAAAATTAGTTCCATTTTCATAAATGTCAACGATAGGTATGCAAAACGTAAAGGATACAACAGAGAGAGAGAGAGAGAGAGAGAGAGAGAGAGAAAGTGTTTATGTTGAGCATATTGATTTCTATCGTGTCATCAAAAAATAACCCCTGATAACCAAACGATATATCGGAACTATTACAGTGTTGTTCGTGTGTGTGTGTGTGTGTGTGTGTGTGTTTGTGTGTATGTAAAAGAGAGAGAGAGAGAGAGAGAGAGAGAGAGAGAGAGAGAGAGAGAGAATTTTCAACACTGTAATTTTGTATTTTTTCTTTGCTTTTATTCATTTGTTTATAAAAATATGCGCCCTTTCCATTTTGACCATTTACAAGCGCAATGGGGACCCAAGTGATTCCAGGTGCGACAATCGAAAGAATGTGACAACACATCCCCTGCAGTGACTTAATAGTGTTCTTTTATGATAATATGCTTTAATTTTCATTTGTGCCAACTTTTTGCTCCTATAGCTGTTGTGATTTCTCATATTTTTGTTAATTAATCTTGGTTACACTCATTATACTACTTAATTATTTTTATTTTATGGCAGTTATATAGTATATAGTTTAGGGGATGTTATATGATCCCCCCAGTTTTGTGACTTTGTGTCGTATTAGTTTTCGTTACTAATAAATGACAATTTTCAGTCATATGGACTTATCTTTTTTACTTTGGAGCAAAAACGGAGCTTCGTTGTGCTTGTGAACATATGGCTACATAAATTGGGCTATATTTACCGCGTTTTACTTCAAATGATATATTTGTGTCTAGCCCTGAACGACTTTCGTCTAAAGCAAGCTTCAATTTATAGCTAATGAACTTACGTGATCAGTCCGTTCGGCCATGCTATTCAAAATACGTTCCCTCACTGCTGCGCATCGCCTTCTTCATTTGTTAAGCCAATAATACATTCGTCCACATGTCAACAAAATCAAACGATCGTCTAAATTGACAAGATGATTTCATTTCTGTGCTGGCCACATACATGCATGACTACAAAACACATACTTTTTTCCAAAACGTGCAACAACTTTTTAAGTCAACACATCACGGCGTCAACCACACACAACGAAAGTGAATGAGCTGGAAAGGGCAGTAATTAATGTTACTCTGCTAACCAATCATTATGTTCAATTAGGCACATTGTAATATTTTCTTATCCTACAATTGGGCAATAATGCACGGCTAATTTCGCCACTAATATTTAGTAATACCGCTCAGACTAATGATCTACCGATCGATCTAGTGAACGCTTGAGTAAACAACTCGAGTCTTTCGGTTCGATCTTCACCAGCGTCCGGTGAAAGGGCTGCACAACGGACGGTGTCCCCCTTTGTCTCGCGTCGAGAGAGAAGAAAAGCCCGCTTTCTATGCGCCGACAATAGATCAATAGTTATTCAAGTTAAAAAGCCAATTCCCTGTCTTACCCTCTCTCCGACTCAATTCATTTGCAAAGGTCGCGTTTTAAATCTTCCCACGTGACTGTTCTGGTGTTTCTTTATAGCGGCTCGATATCAATAAACAATCGAATATCGAAATGTTTATAATCATTCTTTATTAATTACATAAATATTATAATGTTTAAGGTTCCGGGATATCAAGCAGCACAGCACGGGAAAATGGCATCTTCCAAAGATCATATTTATAAGCACACTCCACTTACTAGGACTAAGATCGAAACGGCACAATGAACAGGAAATGTTTTCCTCGAAACATCTATATGTGAATCCAACACACTACTAGAAGAATAGTGACCAACCTTACCTTTTGCCAGCTTCTTTTTCAACAAGCCTTGCATGTGCGAGTACCTGGAATTTATATATCATCGTCGTCAAAAAAAATTCCAGTGTTTACACAAACTGTTTAGATTAATCTGTGGACGTTATGTATAATTAACACGTCAGATGCAGGTCCTCCCCCTCGGGATGTTGGGCAAACGCTGATTAATATCAACAATGGCCGTGTCTTGTACGCGCGGTCCTTAGGTAACTAATTGCTGGGCCAATTTGCGGCAAATGAAGTTCAATTATGGTTATTGGAAAGGGATATATAGGGGTAAATGCTGATAAAACTCAGGCGATGTCAAACACAAACAAAAAACACAATGTCTTCTTGAATGAATAATTCTAATCCCCACACGGAAAAATCAAATAATAAAATCTATAACATACTGAAGATCAGATGTCGCCTCACGTGCCAAAGAAATAACAAAGGTCTTATATTGTACGCGATGTTCAAATATCTTAATCAAATACGTCCATTCAAGAACAATGCTCTTCATATCCAAGAACGCTCCGTCGCCCCCTATCTATACTAAGATACTGAAAGAGATGACACTCAATGGGTGTAACAAAAACTGAAAATATGGGACAAAAGTGAAATGATTGAAAAGACGACATCTTACATTGTGGGTTAAAAGGAATAAATCAAACCTCGCTGTCTTGTTTTAATACACCTACGAATAACAGGTGTACCGACCAATTAACTTCAGACAAACGGCTCTTTTTGACGTAAGCGCCAAGGGTTTGCGAGGTAGTCCGTTGTTAGGCTGCGTGAGAACATCAAGAACATGTTTTATAAAAACCATAAAAGCTTCGTGATATCAGTGATTGGGCAGTAAATTGATAAGATTTGATTTTTATCAGGATAGGTGTATTACATGTTTTATAAGCCATATATTGCTATTTTTATAAACTATATATTGATTTTCAAACGTGTTCTATTTGCAATTGCTCTTCCGTTCGTTCTTGTGACTTGAATAACCTTTGGCTGGCAAAGGTTACCCATCTACCTAACGATCAATTCCACTTCTTTGTCAGATGTTTTCTGTTCCATTTCTTATTACTCACGATTACTACTCCACTAAGCTAACTTTCTACCTGTCGTGCAACGTGTACCTGCTTACAAACCTTCCACTTGCTAACATGGAACACCGCTGCTTACCTGATTAGAAACCAACTGCTCTGCCCCCTTTCACACACACGCACACGCACACGCGCGCGCGCACACACACACACAATCATCCTTTCTTTCTCGCACGCCAACTTGTCTGAAATATTTTGTTACCAACTTAGCAAAACAACTTTTTTACAAAAGTCTTTTTTCCATTAAAGTGTGAGTTTTCTGTGGTTTGGTCAATACAAAATATGGGTTTGAAACGCCCTCACAAATTGCCTTTTGTACAACATCTGAAGATGGAGTCCTCTTCATAAAAAATTCCATTGGCATGTTATTTCAAATGAAAGATGCTGAAAACTGAAATAAAAATTGATATCACAGTGTGTTAAGTGGCCCCCTATCGCTCACCTTTTTAACCGTTTTGGTTCCGAGAATTTATTTCAAGGTGCGTGGTCTTTTGGTGATCTACATAGTGGTTTTTCAGCATTGGTGTAAGCGCTGCTCCTGCTTTCAGCTTTGTTCCGTTTTCACAGCACACCAACGCTGCATAGTGCGTCCTTTCCTTTAAATACGTCGTGAACAGCCGGGATAAGCTTCATGCGAGTCCACAAAGTCAGCACAAATTGCGGAAACCACCACTGGTGCTAAATCAGTAATGTGTACGGTGAATCCACTCGAGTCCCTAATCATAACACAGCAGCCCTTTCACTACCTACTTCAATGCATTAACAGCTTCATAAATTCGACTTCAGATCAATCAATTCATCTCTTGCTTTTATCAAAGCGGTACCACGCCATGGGTTCGCTGTTTGTGTTTCAGAGAGAGAGGGGGGAGGTTACACAAAAATAGTTTGGTTTTGTTGGGGTGGTGCAATGTCCTCGCCACGAGTGGACAATGCAAGCACATGATAGAAAAATCATTTTATTGTACAGATGACAGTTTTGTTAAATATTTAAGTATTATACTGTGTGTGTTTGATGGCACAGAACACTGACGAACGAATTGAATGAGATGAGCATCTCGTGGGGCAAAACGCTGGCAAAAGCAAGAGACAACTCAGTGGAGGGGTGCGATTGCGACTTTGTCCCTCATGGTATGAAAAGGATTAAAAAGTACTTGCATGTGTGTGTGTGTGTGTGTGTGTGTGTGTGTGTGTGTGTGAGAGAGAGAGAGAGAGAGAGAGAGAGAGAGAGAGAGAGAGAGAGAGAGAGAGAGTGCTTGTAGATGAGAGAATGAAAGGCAGGGAAGTTCTTCAATTATTTTATTTATTTTTTCCCATTTATTTGCAAGAATATTTACTTGCGTATCTGTTAGGCCATTTCCTTTGTGTTTTTTGTCCCCATCTGGTTTAATAACTCAGAATGATTCAAAGTGGCTGTACAATAGACATGAATCATTCTATCAGCCAATTCTTAGGTGATTTTAATAATCTATAATTAAAATTATATAAAAAGAAGGCGATCGAATTTTTATTTAGAGAGAGACACCCACTCACACACACTTCTTTTAATATGACGCAATAGTTATGCCGCCTGGGATAAATTGACTGTTGAATCAGGCCCGAGTCAAATAAAAAATGCAAGAGTTAGCACTCAAGTATGCCGGTGGCAAGAATACAGACCACTTCATTCTTCTCTGAATTCATCGAAAACATTTTCAAGAAGAAACAATTTCCCATATCTCTTGTTGCAGTTGCATAAGTCAACGACGAATGTTAGTTATAACATTCTGGCACGAAATGTGGACATCTTTTTGTCGTTTCCTTGGCAGATTTCATTGCCCATGTATTTTAAACGACGCTTTCGTTCACAGGTCTTTGCAAGTAAATGACCATGAAACCATTAAAGAAGTTATCTACGATGAAAACAGGTTAGATTAATGACAAAAGTAGGGGAAAGGGATAAAACAATCTGTGTGCGGGAGAGAGAGTGAGAGGGAAATCAAGATCATGTTTTTTGTTAACAAGAGAAGAATAAAAAAAAACAGCATTTTACGTAATACGACCTTCAGTCTAATTATATCAATTTCTCCAGGGCCGTAGACCAAGGGTGCTTTCCCAGAGAGTTAGATCGATCTAAAGATTAAGATTTAAATCGACCTAACTCCCTGGGGGTTCACGCTAAATTGCAGTCAGCCGAGCGGGCACCATAGTTAATTACCCCTTTACAGCTTTTAGTAGGCGGGACAGACGCTTAAGCCGGCCAAGCTGACAGTATTCTAGTGAGACTCCCCACAGGGATAGATCGATCTAAAAATCTATGGAAATGGGGTGCAAGATATATGTAAAGATTATCTTCGGGAATAATGAGTACCGGGTTCGTTTTTGACATAAATGATTACCACAGACTGCAAACATCTTGTTTATTAGCATCATTCCACATAACGTAATGAAACTTGCACAATGTACAACTGCATCAGAACAGCTGCCCATGTCATGAAACATGATTTTATTCAGTAAATGAAAATTGCTTTTTCTTTTCATTACCATAGATCGAATTTCAAAGCATCTTGATCATTCCGTGTTTTCTACAAACCATAGTGAGTGTTCACTCAGGTCCAAGATGCCATCAAACACTTTTTCTCATTTCAAATCTCACACACCCACCCATCCCACTTCAATAAAATAATGGGCAATATGCTCAGGCATTTCGAGATACTATGCAATAGATACACAACACTTTTCTGTACAATAAAATAAGTCAGGCCAAATGATGAGATTTGGATGACATTATATAAATCTATTTATTTAATCATCAATAGATAAATTTGTGAACAGCACAAATTAAAGAGTCCCAGATGTTTAACTTTAAAAGTTATTTCAACATCATCTTAATTTAGTTGATAAGTTTTCATATATGATAAATCCACATATAAGATTTAACTGTTGAATGTTTTGTCTGTTCACTCTGACAGACTTGGACACAACTGATATCTATCTATCATAAATGAAAACTTTTTAACTAGCACACTGAAATCCAATGAAACTTTTTTTGCATCATGTTAATTTGTAGAAATACATATAGTATATACCATTTTCACCTCTGTGAGCTGCCAAATAATTTCGACAAAAAATTTATACAATAATTTAGACAATAATTATATGCTTGTATATAAAAAAATACAGTGCATTATAAACCTGAGGGGCCAAACATTAATATACAAAACACTGATGAATGAATGAATGAATTACAGCATGTATTCAAACCTAGTCAGAATAGGGAATCTCAGGCACAAAGACAAGATATAAAAGTATACAGTAGGTACATCATGGTTGAAACCTCAGCATATTGACCCATATGTTACACCCATTACAATCTGAATTACTTTCCATTTTATGAATTTTTTCACCTTCAGCTGAACACGAATCAATAATCTTAACAGTTGAAAAAAAAAAAAAATGGCAATCTTGCATGCTTAGACTATTGATCTTATTAATCTGACAAAATGTAAAATCTAAATATGAAAAAATGCAAAATCTAGATATGATTATTTGCAAAAACTAAATTATCACTGATCTGGTAGAACTGACCAGGTACACAATTTCACTAGGTATAAAAACTGTTGATAGTGTCTGCAACACTTGACAGCAATGCTAAGAGAAATTGCCATTCTGAAACTGATTCACCATGCACCTCATTTGTTTCATCTCCCAAGTCCCACAAGAAATCCTTCTTTGAAATCCTCACAAATCATTCTGATTCATTTGATGATAAATTCTGGGTCTGTGTTCATGACAATATGATAAAGCCTTCGAGAAAGTTCCTTCCCTATTCGTCTAGATGTCTCCAACACGCCGGCCCCACGTCGTACCTAAGTGACAAATGAAAAAATATGATCGTTAAATTATGATCAATCTTCCTTTAACTCACAAGGTCTTCACAAAGGTGAGACAGAATATGGTTAATTAGGAAACAAATGTGTCAATTGGATTGCAAATCAAGGGATTAAGTATGACAGGAATTGTCCTGGCATAAAAATCACAGTTGCAGATGTCTTTAATAAAACACCCGTAGTGGGACATTCTTATCCATTTATTCATTAATCTATCTTTGTATCTTCAATAAAAAGCATATCAGAGTATCTCACAGACAAAGAATTCAGAGTAAGTCTGAGATACTATTAAGCCATGCTCCTTGTTGTGAATCAAAAATACTTCTAGTGAGGCAAGACTTTATAGGTTGGCCAATAATTCTATAAAAATAAATAATCCATAAAACAAAAACCTTTAATAGTGATCTAATTTGTTCAATGTATACATTTTCACCATAGAACTAGTTGGCATTCCATTTTCTCTACTTCTATGATTTTCACTAAATTTAACAATATAAATATGTGACACACCAATGTCCTTGCACACTTCCTCTTCACAAGAAATCACTCATTAGCATTTTTCAATATTCAAAACTTTGTTTTATTTTTCTTATTAATCATTTATACTTTCAGCTTTGATAGTACGGGGGGGATGTATGTCAGTTGTCTCTTAAATCAGTGTTCATTTTTGTATGAAAACAACATGAGGGAGAAGAAATAAGTTTACAAAAAGAGATTCTGTAACTAAAATGTACATCTATCATCTACAACTTTTAGCTTGTCACTGTCAACCCATCCTCACTGGCAAAATGTTTTCCTTGTTTGTTTTCCCCCCATATCTCCCCACAATACCAAGACATTATGTGACTTTGAATTTTTTTTTAAATGATGTACTTTCAGTGAAAAAAAGTGTAACTGTAAGGGTGTACCCTCAAAAACTGAAGAATATAGGTAATTTCAAGCGCCTACTGAAAGACACACCATGAATACCAAACTTACATGTAACACGAACCAGGAATGCTGGTTACTGGCTGTAAAATCTGATCTTGAAAATCTGTGATGAAAATCTAATATCCAAAGAACTGCTTTACAGATTATGCAGACAATGGATGGCCTTCAGCTCATAACATTGCTTCTAATTACATTTAGAGAGCAAAGATACCACAACAAAATAATAAGAAAAACCGAGCATAAACTGCTAAAACCTTTCCCGTGTTTATTTTTGTATGACGTCTGCAGCAAAGTGGCAGGTTAGTGGTCTTTGACGGATTTAACACCAATAATTGGATCACAGTAAATTCATATATAGGAATCTAATCTAATCTAATCTCTCTCTCAAAAAAAAAAAAAAAAAAAAAGGAAGAGAAGGGAATCACTACATTTTGAGATTTAAAGTTTATACTTATCTATAAATCATTGTCAGTATTACAGCATATTTAGCTTTAATATCATTATATAATTATTCACTTTCCATAAAAATATTTACATAGGAATAAACAGTTTACCAGTATACCTTTCAGGCCTTAAATATATTTTCATTAATGCCCCTTACCAAACTCTCTCAGTTAAATTTCCAACTTCAGGATAGAAACAAGTTAGTTCATAGTTGCAAGGTATGGACAAAGTGCACTTTCCAAGCAAAAATAAAAAACTTCAAACAAAGACACACATGGGAAATCATACTCCCTTGACATGGGATGTTGACTTCTACAGTAAAAGGTATAAAGTATCCATTTGGAAAGCTGCCGCACAATGTGTTTCATGCTATCATCTTCACGAAACAATGGGTAATCAACGTTTTCATTTACACTAGCTACGGTGAAAAACCCATTGAGGAGACCTAAATATAACTCCTGTGCACATCCTTTTTTGGTAAACTCTACCTTGATTGCAATCAGTCAAATGTAATTGATTGATTGATTACACACTGTGGCCCCACTGTGATCAAGTGCAGCAATATCCTCCACAACATGCAAATAACATCAACTGCTGCAAAACATTATCACAACATTTGAATGGCCCCCAAGATGTTACGTACCATTTGGGAAATTGTCAGGTTATGTGCCACACTCTCTTCTGATCACCAAATAATGGAAAAGCTACCAGACCACTGCACATTGAACTGTTACTTAATGTTTCATTACACTGTCTCTTTATGATCCACCTAACATGTAATGTTTCACTTAACAAGGAATTCTCGGTTAAGATGTCTTATGAAAACTGGACATTTATTTCAAATTAACTTTTAAATGATTTGCAAATTGTGTACACGTGTACATTAACTTAGCTATTCACTTTGTCGGTAATTACAGACAACAGTTTTAGTATCAGTCAAACATGCAAGATGCACTTTATTCCCCATTTCATGAAATTGGTAATCTTTTTTTGGGTAAATTGACAATCAGCCAAAACACGCATTACATAAAAGGACACCTGGAAGACATGATCTTTTTTATTCCATTTTCAGAACAGAATTTTTCAAACAAATCGATAAAAGAAAAGAGATTAACCATAATAATAAAAGGTTCTTTAAAACCACGCTCCACCCATTTGTCTTAACGCCTTTATACATTACTAAAACAGAAGCTTATAAGTATAGGAAGCTTATCATAATTGCATAAGCAGCTTATCATATAATATAAGCTTATCATTAGTGTAGAAAAAAAAAATTTTTACAAAAAGGGTGCATACTAACTCTCTCTCTCACAGACACACTGCTACTTAACATGTTAAAAGTACAAATATACAAAAGAGCTGAGCAAGTAATAAAAACTTGACTATTACGGAGTACTTTCAGAATCGTACAAACATTATTACAAGTTTCAAAAAACTGAATGTGAGAGGAAAGCAAAAAAAAAAGGATTCATCTTTAACCTGATTCTAATGTATTTGACAGAACATTACTGTACAGGATATCCATGATTTATATTGTAACAGATATTTGAACAAAGACAGCCTGCCATGATAGTAACTTTTCTGATACTCTAACATATTTTGTTGCTTTCAATAAAAATAACTATATTATGTGATATGTTCATCAGGAAGAGCATTGCATAAAACATGAAATGTGATGCTACTCACTGTAATGTTCTCCAACAGCTGTTCTGCTTCTTTAGTAGAAGAGCATGATCTGTATGCCTGCAAAAAGAAGTACATGCATTTGAGAATGTTTTATAAGTCACGAAAAAGAAACTAGACTTATGGGTATTGTAACCCTTTATCATCATCCAGATACTGAAAATGAGGTTTTTCCTGCACTGAATAATTCAATAATGCCTCTATCTTTGTGCTGATTTAAAAGAATAAAAAAAAAAATTCCCCAAATTATAAAATATCGGCATTCATATTTCTCATTGCAATGTATAAGCACAGGCAACTCGAAGCTTTAATTGTCAATTTAACACCTTTGGTGAGATAGCAATTGGTATGGGGCATAACTTCATACCTGAACAAGATTTTATCAAGAAAATTGGCAGAGTTGACCACAAGTGTATGGGCCGTGCCATGATTTTGGTTAAAATGTTTTTGTTATGGAGTTATGAGCCCTTAATTACATTAAACAAAGGCATTATTTTGCTTCATCAACAATAAAATCTGAACTAAGACTTTTAAGAAAAATTGCTGGCAAGGTGTACTAAATGGTGTCATTAAATCAATGTTGGAACAGTGATCATAGGTGCTCAAGTTAAAGAGAAATTTGAGAAACTGATTTTTTTTTCAGTTTTTACCCCCAAATCACAATTATGACGTCAACTGTAAGATGACATGTATGTAAATGTTAATTAATTTAGTTACTGAACACTGAAGATTTATCTATTACCCAAAAGAATGTATGTAAGGCAGTAAATAAGGAGTTTGGGGCAAAGGGTGACAATATTGTTAACTTGCCACATGGACACAGTTGGGTGGAGATGCAACATTACAAGGTACTAGTATATGTCCTGCAGTCGCAAGGTCTTGCTTTTATGGGATGTAGAAGCAAAAACATTGTTTTAAAAGACTTGAGCAATTCGTTTAAGATTGATGAGCTTTTGAAGATCATTTTCTAAGAAGCCCAGCAAGATATTGCCTAACATGCAGCTGGAAGCAACATAACCTTTGGATCAACTGTTTTACTTGATTGCCCAAAGAGCAATTCTGGGTTTGGACTGATTTTTTTTTTTTTTTTGTGACAGATGCAATAAAAAAATAGTGCATCAGGTGCAAAGTACTCCTCTGAATCAATGTGGTAGATTTAAGTTTATATGCTACTGTCATTCTATTGGCAGCCACTAATAACCAATTATGAAATAAAACACAAGGATTGTGACCTGTCATGAACGTAACTGTTTGCTAAACCATCAATGTGTACAAGAAACCAAGGAAACCCCAAATGAGCACCACGTGCATTGATGGTGGTTTACCCATCAATAGATTCTACTACCCAACTAAACAGTCATTAAGTAAATATAATGCGTTGTCCACTAAGACAAGAACCCAGTGTGTATATACGTATTGGTTTACCAAATATTCATATTGCCCTAACTAGTCTATGGATCAAATATGGCGTGTACTTGACAATGGATTCCCGCCTCCCTAGCACCGTCCCAGCAGGGGCAGAGCAATCAAATTTTGGCTACACTTTTAAGTGAGTCCAGCATATCTGATCTGCAGACTAGTTAGGCTGGGGATCAACTGGTTGTGGATACTGCCTAAGGCCACATTCAGAACAGTGGACTGACTAGCCCGAGGGTCTAATATGGCTGACCTACTTGAATACTTCCCCACGGAGAATCTATTCAATGTCTATTAGTGGATTAGACAGCAAGTTTTTTAGTGGGTCGGCATATTTGACCTGGGGACTAGTTAGTCCACTGTTCTAAATGCGGCCTGAGAGGCCTATCCACACAAATTAAGCGTCTCTAACCCTTGCTCCATAACAGCAGATGTGCATGAGTGGTACCACACCAGACACTGATGTGAATGGTACCCAAAGCAGACAAATGAGTGGTTCCCCAGACCACATACTTATTATGGTATGACACTGCAGCACACAGATGAGTGGTGCCACTGCAGACACAGATCTGAGTGTTACCACAGCAGACACAGAAGTGAGTATTACCACAGCAGACACAGGTTTGAGTATTACCACAGCAGACATAGAAGTGAGTGTTACCACAGCAGACACAGACCTGAGTGTTACCACAGCAGACACAGACCTGAGTGTTACCACAGCAGACACAGACCTGAGTGTTACCACAGCACCTTGTGCTTATTATGGTACCACATTGCAGCAGACAGGTTCAATGCCACAATTCATTGAAAATAACCTCCATAACATAACATTGCATATAGTAACACAATTTTAGAGATTCTGCACGACTCAATTCATTTAGTATTGGCTCCCCTCCTCCCTCTTCTGAGAACAGATAATTTCTGGGCTCACTAATGCCAGAAAAACTTCCTAATGAAACAATCAATAGAAATCAGATCATCCTTCATAAACAATTAACCTCTCAGCCCTCTTAATTGCTTGTCAAATATTGCAGTCTTTCAAAGCCTTCTCTATAGTCTAGGCACAGTGGTATCACAGTAAAGCTTGGTGAAAACCAATTTTTTTTTTTGAAAGGAAAGGGGCAGTAGGAATAACAGTGAACTCATGGTGCTTTTAGTGCCTTACAATCTGTCACTGGTAATAATCTTGTTTACTGGTCCCATCAAGAGAAGTGGAGAACTTCACCAACACCTTCTGAATAACAAAATGGACTTCTATAGCCACTAGCTTAAAAAAAAATTCCTGGCTGGATGTAGTGCATTTGTGTGCCTTCATGAGTACCTGTGCCCATGTTTGTAAATGGGTGAGTTGCTGGGTGTTTTAGTGATTTTCATCATTAGGTTGTTTTTTTTCTCATTTAAACACATTTGTGGTGAAATACCAAACAAAAGCAAACACTTAACAAATGGAATCCCAAGATAAAACATTAAAGTGGTGTTCAGAAAGCTTTTAACAATCCTATAAATCTGTCCAGAGAGGGAGAGAGAGAGAGGGAGAGAGGGCCAGGGGAGATCAAAAAGAGTGAGTGTATTCCTATCATCTGCCTCAGTGAGTTATCATTTCACATTCGTTTATTACATTCAAAGTATTTACATCTACCGGTACATGCACATGGATAACTTGTTACTGGATTAGAAAAAACCCACCAAGAGATCTTTTTTCAACATGAAGTCATTATGAATAAATCCTTAAATCCAAAATGTATTTTTTCACTGCCAGATGTAACAATCTATTACTAAAAAAATTTAGTTAATAGAAGTTTCCTTTGGACACCCCCTCCCCCACATACATATAAGACCACTCCAATCATATGAGGCAAACATGAACACACAGTAGAGCACACACAATATAACAAATTCGGTGGCCGAATATTTAAAGAAACAGACAAGATGAGGTTAAGGGCAATAGCAACGTCATTGATGATTATGAGACTTTGGATAAAACAGGCTTGTTACACTGAAAAATTTAATGTGTTGGGAATCCCATAGCTACAAACGAATTACTGGAATCTCCTCATTTCCTCTCATGTATCTAATCTGATCATCTTATTTGTCAAAGGTTGCCTCCAAAGGACCTCTAAAGTAACTTTAACCATGCTTCTAAAAAAAGGCCCAAAACAAGTGCATTTTTTAGCCTTGAATTTCTGATAAGATTTGTATCCCTACTTATCCTGATTAAAGTTCATAAAATGAAAGTCAGTATCCAATTTGTGCAAATCATGAAAATTCCCTTTTCCTGAATGAAATTTGAACATCATCAACAGACGGTTGATTTGGTTAGGTTCACTGAAAAATACTTGCTTAATGGTAAAGCCTTGTCAATTCAACTCCCATTTGGCAATCACTTATTTTGCTGCACTTTTAAAAACTACCCAGAATTAAAGCAAGTCAATAATTCCCTAACGTTATTACCAACCCTTGATTTCCAAATACAGTGAATAAACACCTCATCCCAGTATGAGATTAATTCTGAGTGGAATTTTGAAAATACAAATACCTCTACTTCCTACTGACTTGCTCAAGGTACTATCTAAAATACCCATTACTATAAATTATCAATTTTTCAATTGATGAGCTGCACAATAACTTAAGATGGAGTACTCAAAAAGGACAAATGTCTGAAAAAAAGGTGAAGAAGGAAAAGAAGAAGCAATAATCACTTCTTTTGTGAAGAAGTTTTTGACATAACTTGGCCACTATCAAAAAGAAAAGACAAAAAAGAAACACAGACAAACCAACCCCAATGGCAACATAACCTTTTGCCTTGGTGGAGGTAATAACGTAATTCTCCCTAACTGCTACTTGCCATTAACTTGGAAGATTTCTCATGGGACTATATAAGAAAATAATACCATGTATGTTAGGTTCACGTTGTTAAATTCCTGAAATATTGGACATCTGATTTTTCTTTCACACTAATTTCCAACAGACACAATTACAAAGTCACTAATTAATTAGTTTGTCAACATCACCTACTGCATTACATCACCATCAAATCAGTGTTTAATCAAAAATCTATGCACTATTCATGGAAGGACAAAATACAGATTTAACATGACAAGAACAAGATCACAAGTAAAAAAAAAAACACTGCCTGTACATTGTACAAGTAAGTTCACTCTGTGGTACATAACTGTACTTAAAGTGCTGTGCTAAAAAGGATGGAAACTGTGTGAAGTAGACTAAGATATGTAATTATCCTGACCCAAGCAGCCTATCTAATATCTGTACAGTTAGGTGAATTCAGCTGGGACTTTTCAAGCACACGTATGAAAGTGACCCAAAATAAAGCGATATTGAAGTCTGTCGATTTCTTGGAACTGTCACCTAATAGGGCTCCATACGTACATCTAATAAGTAGAAAATTATACAGAATGTAGTCTGTCAAAGGATTTCTATGGAATTCAGTATTATAAACTTGTGCATCTAACTTGTCTACCAGCAATGTATTAATTAACACTATTAATTAAGAAAGCCAGGGAAGTGACTTTTTTGGTTCCCAAAAAGGCAGAAATTTGCTGATAGAAAAATCCCATTACTGTTGTAAACACCAACGCCAACCAAAAAGTCAGAAATCTGCATATAGAAATAATCTCATCCCTGGAAAACATGTGGCATTTTTCTCCTAAATGGATTGGGTCAGAGAGTGTCTTTTCTACTGACAAAAAAAGTCAACGATTTTTCAGATTACAATACAGCACAGAAGGATTGTCATTTTACTGATCATATAGGAAATGTCCATTAAAATTTAGTTAACCAAATGAAGAGCATTTTGGAATACTAAATCTGACATTGTTTATTATTTTGTGATTACTATATTCCAAATATTTCAAACCCTCAAAAGAACAAAGAACCAATTTAAACCTGTAGTCTCAGATATTCACGTCTAATGCCATAACAATCATGTCATTACATCAATATTCCATTAGTGTAAGCAAAAAATGATAGAGGACTTTTTTTCCTCTTCTTTGCTACCTCCATCCCCAGAGGGCAAGGTGTGGTGCAATAATTTTTGCATGACCAAGGTCACCACAAGGTCACCAAGCACCTTCTCTAGCTGCACACAGACTTCTATTTTTATGTGCTTGATTTCCCATAGGTTTATCTCAAGTACTCCCACAGGACCACATTATCACCACTGATATTAAACTCTGACCCATTGTATTATGAGATATGTGAAAATTAGTCAATTTTTATGTGTTAGTAGAAAAGGAGCTGAGCTATTCTATTTCATAATTGCCTTAAAATACATTTACTAAATGAACGTCTCTCAAATATTTTTTTATTGTCCTTGCTTGTGAAAATATTGAAAAGATTACAAAGTTTACGCTTGGTATATTAATCTTCAGTCACCAAATGAGATCTTACAACACAAAATAAAGGTAATGATGAGGTAATGTTCGTTTCATGTTCTTTCACATCTTAAAAATTGCCTTAGGATTAGACCAAGAGGAGCGAAGCCATTCTTAATGGGAGGCAAGCATTTTCCCTAACCTTAACTCACAGGCCTAGGAGACAAAAAGAGGGTCACACAAATTTGATCAAATTCTCAAATTCCCTGTGTAACTTGCTTGCTTGGTTGATCTATATAGAATTGTCTTTGTCTTAATTTTTCTTTTACTTCTGTCAAAAGACCATAGATAGATCCATAAATAATGGAGGACAATACATATTCATTGAGTGATATTTGGAAAAAAAAAAGAGGTTTTAAAAGAATACAACAATCCCAATGTAGCGCTTAGTTTCATTTTAATCCGAAAAATACCTTAATTCCATGCATAAAAGGTAAAACAGATATTTGCTGCAGCAAATTTTCAGCTCCCATCAGTATCAGAAAAAGATGTGCCAATTAACTAAAACAGTTGGGGAAACAAAAAAATCATCTCCAAACCTTTTTGATGCAAGGGGCATCTGCTAAGTATACTTCAACACAAGATAACATATTTTCAATTTAGTAGGAAATCAAATTTCACCCGTGTTTAATACTAACATAACTCACCTCATCCCAAAGGTTGAGAAATACATAGGGTTGAATCAACAGACACTGTTTATTTTCCCAATGAAATCTGTCTATACAATCAAACCATCAAATCAAATATTGCCAACACCTTACAGCAAGTATACAGAATACAGTGCCCAATATAGCATGTTATTGATAGAATCTGTCTTTTATGATTAAATTTTCCTGTCCAGGTATAATATTTTTATCATAATATTTTGTGACTAGTGTAAACAATAACATGGCATCCACCCATTACCCTTTTGGTGTACGGGTATATACGAGGGCAAAATTTAAACCATAAAGATAAAGCTCTCATGGACAAAATTGTATAAACAACATTTTAAACAGGTTTCTTTAAACAGATTATCTTCCATTTAACTTTACTCTAAACCTCACATTCTACATCTGGATAGCACACTGGCTCTTCTCTCAAGTAGAGGAGGTGAATCCCTTTTTTTTTAGTGTAAAGAAAGGATGGGCAGTGATTTAGAACCCTTTATATATTTTTTATTTCATAACAAAAAAAAAAAAAATCAAGTGAAATCAGACAGTATTACATCATTTCTTTTTAAAAACTTTCCAAGAAAACAAGCAAGATCCTTGTACAAGGAAGTGCTATTAATTTCTCAAATGTTGCCATTTCTCAAGATGATAAATTCTTGTTAGCATCTCAATGAAAAGACTACCTCACTCAGGAAAAGGAACCCAAAATGATAGTCCTACCACTTGAAAGCGAGCTCAGAATAATCAATAGTCATCAGTAACCTTTTGTGCGTGTATGTCTGATGTATTATTCATAAATTCCTTCTCTTTAGTTTTTTATAAGTATTTGCAATAATCTTCAGATAACATTGTGTCTTGATTAATTGATATCTATAGTCCTAAGTACTTTATTTTCACCAAAATATATTCAGGAACAAACTCAGTAGAATAGCACACATAGCCATACTTCAGGCTAGTGTATATTATTACCCATTACACAGAGGGAGGATTTCATGCAGGGTTAAGCAGCTCCATCTTATGCTGAACTCAATATCCCTGTATTCACTGTAACAGGAAATCTGTGAAATCAAAACTTTTCAATATTCATCCACTCATCAAAGAAATCATTAAACACATTATATAGATGTATAGGAAACTGGACGTGCAAATCCAGTCCCGTCTTTTATAAAGGGAAAGAAATCTGTCTTTATCATTACTCATTGTCAAGCTAAATTATCTCCTGAAATAGAAAAAAAAGTCAGAATAATTTCAGGGTAACCAGTGCAGAGTACTGACTAGAAATTAAAAAATTTAAATGATAAATGAGTAAATGAGAAGTAATAACTTTAAACAACGAGCTTTCAATAGCGTAGCAATCTGTCTTTTACCAATCTAAATCTACTGTTTTCTATTTTGTTCAATGGTTTTTCTGAAAAGCTTCAGCAAAATTTTTCATTTTCTAGGTGTGAAAATAACAGGTTTGTTTACCTTATTTCATATCTAATATGAATATGAAATTGTACCATTTCAACAAAATCAGCAGTATGCTCACACTTTGACTAACATAATAGTACACTAAATTTCTGAGTGTGTTCACATCATGACTAATTTTGACCAAATTTCAGTGTGTTCACATCATGACTAATTTACACCAAATTTCTGAGTGTTCACATCACAACTAACTTTATATAAAAAATTGTCTTTTCAACCTTATGTCAATGCCACATTTTAAAGGGTGTTTACATCATGATTAACTGAGTATTTTTGGGAATTCATGTGACCCCTAAGATTTTTAAAATTCCATACTTTATCAAACAATCTGATTGTGTTGACATCAATTATTATACGATGAATCTTCATTTTACATTTCGAGGCAAGTTCTTACATAAATATGTTGAGATAAAGTAGGAAAAACTGATTAGGACTTTATCAGTTTCTATAGGTTAAATATACGTTTCAAATATTTAAATAGGATCTGCGGTAAAAAGAAATCCCTAGAAAAAAATGCATTCAGGAAAAGAGGCTTCGACGAAGAATTTTGGTCAGGGAAAATTAATCAAAACAGGTCTAGAAGATTAATGCATTTGCATAGGGAGTTTGGAATTGGAAGAGATGTGTTACTTTTCAGAGGTAAAGTAACGAAAATCCATTCTAATTTTCACACACACACACACACACACACACACACACACACACACACACACACACAAAAAAAAAAAAAATAAATAAATAAATAAATGAATTAATTTTAAAAAAAAGGCTCAGTCTTTTTTAATTTTTTTTCTTACACACCTGTATGAGCATGCAAGGTGAGGGATATGCATTCACAATGGCGGACGCCATGTCTGGTCCCACATTTTTCAGCTGCTGTATTTGCTGTCTCCATGCCTTCAGCAAGCCTTTGCCTTCCTTATCTGCCTTCACTGTGCCTCCTATATCTGTGTGGAAGGCAAAGATGTTCTGTAACCTTTCTCTTCTGGATAACATGAACACATATCAAGGTTATGTAAGATTTTAGTACCAATAAATAGACAAATATGTTCTTTTAAATAAATGTTCAATAAAATTGTAGGCTACAAATGCTACTGTAAGTACTCGTGAAATGTTTATCAATTTTGAAACTCACAACGACCAGTAAAAACTGAAAAATTAATTATCCGCAAGTAGACTCCAATATATATCTATGTTAATTTTGCTGCAAGAACAACATGAAATTCTATAAGTATGGCACTGCCTAAAACCCTCTGTATTTAAAAGTATTTAAAACAATTAAGGGTCAATAACAATGAAAGCTACAAAATGTAATACTGAATGAAAACACTGGGGAAAAAACAAGGGCATCACTTGCAAAAACAAAAAGAAAAAAAGAAAAAAGTTACCAGCTGTCTTCAAATAAGTTTCTTACTTGAAAGGAGCTTCGGCCACAGCCTTGGTTATACATTTCAAGTGTGTTGCCACTTCATCAGGAGTCTCAGCCAGCTTAACATTTATTCCTGTGTGAAGCTGAAGATCCACAACAGCCTGAAAATACACAAAAACTAGAACTAGCAAAAAACATTATACTATCAATTGTATTTGTCATGAATCTTCACCTACAAGTGTTCTAAATTTTAATAAATATAATCAGAAATAAATTAATAAGAAATTTTACTGAAAAAAATAATTCTTGATGAAATATTATTATGATCTGATTAACAATGCCATAGTCTTAAAACAAAAAATGAAATGATTCAGCATATGTATTAATGTTATCTAAATATCAGCGACATGTACCAAAGTACAAACAAAACACATCCAGTACCTCCTCCACATCAACCCTGCTAATGCTGGCACCAAGATTCAATTTCTTTTGTCTTTTGGCAGCAGTTGGTTCATGTCCTGGGTCTGTGGCCAGCACAGCTTGCCGATGAGCTCTGTTCTTCATTGTTTTCTGATCCCTGTTGAGAAGGATAATAACATAAGGACTTGAAAATATGTGAATCAGTGTGGCATTGAAGCTTCATACATTTTTATGACAATGTCATTCATAATACAGATCTGCTACTTTGATATTTCAAGTGTCAAAAAAAAAAAAAAAAAAAAAAAAGACTTGCAATTCAGATCTACTTAACTGTATACTCAAGTTATATGTTTAGTAAGGGACACACTACCTGAAGTTTTTCTCCATGCCTTGTATGATGAAGGTGACAGCATGATGTGGACAGATGTCCAGGACAGACTGACCATATGACCGCAATGTTGGTGCAGTCGAAATGTCTGCATGAGACAACCCTGATCTAACCTGTAAAGAAGAGCATTCTTCTTAAGAAATTTTAAATACAAAATAAGTTATTTAAATTCAAAATTGGCCTGGAAAGACAATCAACCTGGGTGGAAAACTGTCAGCTTGGACAACAGACCCCATCCCTGTTTTACTTCACATGATTTCTGGTTTTGAAATTAAAAATTGATTTTTTAGTATTATCTAAAATATATTTTTCTTTGATACACTGTGGGTACTAAATAAAAAAAATTCTTCATGAAAATATTTTATACAACTGTATGTGTATGACCACAACTATATTAAGCAACATATGTATCATATTTAACACTGTCAACCTAAAAATGTTCTAGAACTTCTTAGTTGGTCTTATACCTGCTTGTATTCATCAACCATGGTAACGAATTCCAAGACTGGGACCAGCACCACCAGCTGGTCTTCTTCTAATTCCTTGAAAGCAGGAAAAAAAGAAAGTTTTCAAGAGAATTTGAAACATATTAGGAAGATAATTTTTACTTTTCAAGTGCTCTAGGTAGAGATGTATAAAGATTGATTTTTGACTCACTATACCACAGAAACTGCACAAAGACACAAGTCCAGTGCATCATTGAAAAGTTACTAAATAAGTGACTGACACTAAAATAGATAATAAAAATGGACATAAATATTAACACATATTAGTGCCGTAGTATGGAAATTTGATACACTACAAAATATACAGTTATTGAAATCATGAAACATCTTAACCCATTAACACCCTGTTTTTTACCCTCTTTACGATTATCTATTTTCCCAATGCTTCTACCTCATCCCCTAATTGTCTTTTCCAAGTGATGGCATGTGTAACAAGCTGATCAGTCACTCTGTATTGGAGATCTGCAGTTTGTAGGTTACTCAGAATGGATGCACCACTGGCAGATTCCACAACCTGGCGATCTAGTACCACCAGGATAAACTAAACAAATTGGCATAAATTGCATGTGAAATGATTGATGGTTATAGAAAACTAAAATAATGTTGAGAATGGAATTGAAAAAACATTACTAAGGGTATATTTTGCTTGTTATTACTATAGTTTGTTATTGGAATGGGACAACATCTACATTTGCTCTAATGGTCACAATTAATTGTTGTACAATGCACATCATTCTGACCTTCATACAGTTTCCTGGTTGAGCATTTCTCCTGGCATCAATCACATTTTTCCTTTTATTTCTTTCTTCTTGTTGTTGCTGTTGTATTCTTTGTTTCTGTCTCAATTTCTCTGCTTTTTCTTGTTCTTTTTGGATCCTAATTGCATCTTTTTCTTTTTGTTTTGCTTCTCTTTGTTTTTCTCTCTCAGCTTTTTTGATCTAAAAATAATTTAAATATAACCCTAACCCATTCAAATTCAAAACAAATATGAAAACATAAGAAACAAATTTCTTTTAAAAGTTTCTTTAGAACATGTACTAATAATATTTTCTTTTTTTTTTTTTTTTTGGGCAAATAAAACAGCTCTTTTTCAGTTTAAAAGGACTTACCATTGCCCTCATTTTGACTTCACCTTTATCTGTTTTTCCCAAGCTGGCAGAATCTAGTGACTGTAAGCTATCTTCACTCTGCTCGCCAACAAAAGATTGCACAGATCCTGAGGTGCAAGTAGAACTTTGCGAATTATTCAGTGAAGATACCTCAGAAGTTGACATGGCATGTGTCGTGTCTGACTTGTAGTTCAACCTTGCAGATAAACTAGGAAGCTCTTCAGAGTCTTTACTGATGTTATATGTATTAAATGCAGTGAAATGTTTCATAGGTTCATTTCTATTGAGTGATGAAGTACTCGTATTACTCAATCTTCCATGCTCTATAGAATTTGTTGCCATTTCTATAGGCAATCTTTTACTATAGGTCTCAGACTGTCTGTCAATATCACTTTTATCTTCTATGGTACTAGTATTAACATCCTTTTTCAGTCTCTTCTTCAGGGACCAAGACAAAGGCTTTTTTCTAACATGTTCAAATCATCCTCATCGCTAGAAATGCATGTTACACTTTCATCTGATTCATTAGATATAAAATCATTCTTGTGAATGCCCTTTGAGTTACTGGTGTCTGAGGAACTTCCTATACTATTCATCTTTGGTAATGGAGGTATCTTTTCACGTTCCTTGCTAAAATGAACATGAAGATCTGGCAAACTGTCGTTACTAGTACTTTCGTCACTGGTTTTGAAGCTGGAATTTGAAGTCAATGACGTATAATATTTATAAACAATAAATAAATATAGGTGTAGAACTTATCTTGGTTCCAGTGGTGTAACATTTCCCCCATTCAACTTTTCACTACAGGTAGAGAACGAAATTGGTGGTATTCTAAAAAGGCACAAAAGTCTTTAAAAAAAGCTAAGTGTGATAAAATAAGGGTAGCAAGAATGTTGGCGAGGAACATTACGTCTGTTACTGTACGTTAGTACCAATATACTAGCTAGACTCCCAGTGGCAGAGGCATACCAAATCCAAAATTGGCCTATTTCGCCATAAGGCGTGTCATAAACACCAGCAGCTCAAATAAACTCTTTCTCGAATTGAGGGATTACCATTTAAGACGCACTATGGATAGATAGATTCTTTATTGATACACCTTTACAAATAAGGTACAATCAAAGACAAAGACAATTACATCTAACTACAACAGTACAAACAGGTATATAAATAAATATACATGATTTCAATGTTTACATGTAGCATAATATCAATACTATGTATGTGACTATATGTGACATTATCATCGAGAGAGAGAGAGAGTGAGAGAGAGAGAGAGAGAGAGAGAGAGAGAGAGAGAGAAAGAGAGAGAGCACTTACTCTCCCATTTCAGGATAATTTTAACCGCTTAGGTCTTTTTCTTAGTAAGATATGGATTTTTATCTAAACCGTAGTGCTAAATATAATCCATTTCAAACATTTGCGCTTTCACCATCTGTACACATTGAGATTCGTGGTGCCCGCCTAGCCGTGGAACTCACATGTGTAAGTGCTACTACACCTTCCGGTCCTTTTAGATAAAGTGGATGTACACATGAAAAAACAAATATCTTTATTAAAATATATTTTTTTCATTATTTCAAATTTAGATTGATAATATATCTATTGTGTAAATTTCTGACAAATAAAGAGAACTAAATTGCCCACAACTATTTTTTGGTGCAAGAATATATAACTACTTTCAAGATGTCAGCCTCCATGCTAAGGTGGGCTGGAGGAGTTCTCAACAAATTTAATACGTTTACTGGTATGTCGTTTTTGCAAACTTACCATTATTTTGTAAAAATGGATACTATAGTTCAGTAGCTCTCTAGATATGGTTAACACGTGTCATTGATTATCGTGTTCTACTAGAGCAGCAGGGCTAGACTACATGTAGTGTTTTGTATTCGGCATACGTGTAGTAGTGTAAAACCCGTAAAACTCCAATTAATAAGTACTGTAAATCAGTATTATAGAAGTTTTTGGCCTTACATGCTGGGTAATTACCTCAAGCAAGTCCAAATATTTGGGCAGTGGTGATATTAAAAAAATAAGGCTCCTTGTTTTTTTCCTTTTTTGAAACAAAATTTGATGGAAAAGATAAAGGTTCACGTTTTTTTCGTTTTATTTGTCCAAAGTGCTATTTGAGAGGACTTTAATCACCTCTTAGGGGCCATTCAGAATAGTATCAACTGATCCAAGGATGAAATATATCTGACCCTACATGAAAAGAAGACCGCTTAATCCTGTAATGTTCTCTCCGCCTCTCATACACCTCCCCACACGGTGGTCCAAAGGAGCTGAGATTTATTTACTGTGACCCTGCAGTGACTTTATAACATGTCAACCAACTTTAGAAATGTCTATTATAGTAGTTTTTGTTATTCGTTTGAACCAAAATAATCAAACTTCAGATCATGTCTTCATTTCAGTAGGATAAAAAATTAATGTGCCTTTAGGGGTAAGCTGTACAATTGCTTCACTGGTTACAAAATACTCGGTGATGTCACAAGATTATGAACATGGTTCAAGAATGCCCTGACATTTTTACAGTTAACCTCAACAGATGAGGTGTTCAATGATGACAAGGCGCACCTTTTGTCTAACTTTTATGTGCGTCAGAGGCCTCGTCTGTCTCATTACTAAGAACATCTAGCTCGGTATACTGCATTACATTGCAGATGACATAGAATGGGAAATTATTAGTACAATATCTGAAATTGAATAAGTTGTTTAGAATGTACGACTATGACACTAACATAAATGATTATTACAGGGCCCTTAATGTCAGTTACAAGTACAAGGAATGCTTCTCATAAAGCTGCAGGGGCAACAAGGAATAAACAGAAAAAGACAGTGAAAAAGAATCGAGGACCAAAGAAAATGGAAGGAGAGTGGGTGAATAAAGGGGAAATTTTGGTTGCACAACTTGGCTTGAGGTTTTGGCCTGGTCAGAATGTAAGTAAAGACAAATACATTAATTAGTAAGTTATAACATGTATCACCTGACATTATCTTTAGTTCGACAATTCTTTAAAGTTTCTTAAAACAGCTGTTTGATAAATGCGTTTTTATCTGTGTTATAGACTTTTTTATCAGAACTCCACAGACATGCTGAAATTGTCGGTCCGATTGTTCATGACCAGGAAAATTTGTCTTGACCTGTAAAAAATTGGACTTGATCAGTCCAAATGACCGACAAGAGTTTTAAGAACCACAATTTTGAATTTACAGTCATCATTCGACATACCTCACTATTAAAATTATTTTAAACCCAAAGCGTTTTTCCCTTCCATTTCAAACCTATCACATTCACAAACAAAGTAAGCTACCTAATCGCACTGGTAGTATTTGTCTCAAACAATTTTCGGTCTGACAAAAATCCATTCAGTCTGGCAAATTTTTCATTACTGCTGGTCAGAATGTCCGGCCATTCTGCATTCAGCATATCTGACTCCAGTGCCTGTTGTACAGATTTTTCATATTATGAAGACATCCAATCCACATATCCAAGGAATGGCTGTTGAAATAAATGTATTACAGTATTTATAATCCAATTTAAATAGTAGGAATGTCGGAATGCAATGCAGTAACCCAGTGTATTGTTTATTTATTTATTTAAATTTAGGTTGGAATGGGAAGAGATGGAACCTTGTATGCTTTAGACAGTGGACATGTGATAACATCCAGTGAACAACTGTCTCCTTACCCACACAGCCCTTTGTATGAACATGTTAAAGAAGGCAATAAAATAACTAAAAAATTCTGGCATGTTATTCCTTTGCCTCAAAAACAGACATTTAAACTGAAATCACAAGTATGACAGCAACTGCAGTGGAGTCCCTTATGTGAATAAGGGAAGTTTGTTAGAAGAGATAGAAATTATTGAACATTTTGGCATGTTATCTCTAGATTGCCATACGAATAGGCATGGAGTTTAACCTCATAAGTTTGGCGACAACTTAGATGTTCAAGTAGTGATGTGCACAGTAGAGGGACAAAACATAAAACCATCAGGATGTTGTGAAAAAATTGATGAGATGTAATGATGGGAACAACATAAAGTTGTCAAATATGTTGGAAAATTTAGACTGCTGATGTATACAGGGATGAAAGTTTCTGGACACTGACATATTTACAGTAAAACCATTATCCTGTTCTGTAGAGATTATGGACTGCAAAATAAAAATATTGAGTAGAACGTTGTGTTTGATTTCCAAATTTGACATTGTTTTTCTTGACAAGACATCGAAAATTGACAACAATGTGAGAATAAGCCATCATGTTTATTTTATAATTTTATTAGAGAGTTCTTTTGAAAGGCAAAGCTGATTCAGCAATAAAAAAAAAAAAATGAAGATGCAGAAGTGTCAATTCCCGTTCAATTACACAATTAATAAAAATTGTCGAATGATAAATAGAAATGTCATAACTGTTTTGTATTCGTTATTGAAGTACATTTACAAAATAGGCAACCCTTGTCTGCAAACTGGCTGTGCTTTTTCAGTTTGTACAGATCCCAGGCATTCATTCACGTAATTACCAATGGGTGACTGGTCCCACAGTATTTTATAGAGACCCCTTCCATTAAAAAAAGGGACATGAGCAATTTGCTTCTCAATGATTTTTACTTGAAATATCGTTGCTCTTAACAAATCGCGTTCAGAGAAAGAAGTCGTGTGATCTCCATCGCATGAGACGTGGTCCCAGTACGTTTTATCACCATAGCCTGATATCTCCGTTAGTTTACCGATTTCTTCAAATTCATAATTACCATTTTCCTTATTTTCATCTTTGAAAACAACTTTGTCGATTTGTGGGTTTATTAACTCTAAATCTGTTAACACTTCGCTTGTTTCAGTAGCCGATTGAAGTTTAGTTGGTGGGTGTACATGTTCTGATTTCTTATTGTCAACTATTTGTGTATCCGACTGATCTTCCTCTCTAGGGTAACTGTCTGCCATGCCTGTGCTACTGTATGAAAGTGTGGTTTTATCTTTAATATTACCAGTTATGTCTTCCCACTCATAACCGTGTTCTCTTTCATTACTTTTAAGCCATTTCTCAGTTTCGTTGCTGGAATCGTCGGTTCTTTCTTCTAATTTCTGCGAAGTAAAAGTAATCTTGTTTTTTTAACAATTTACTTGAAGCCTCTTACTTGTGTTTAAAATTTGATTGAAATTTAAGACAGGCCTACAATAGAATTTAAACATAGGCACTACCATATTTTAAGATTTTACTTCATCTTTCTCTACATCACTTACAGAAAATGAAGACTCGAGTTCGACTTTCCAAGTTTTACTTTCTTTTACTTCGTGTATTGTTGCTTCTACTTTCTCGGCTGTGCTAGTTGAACAGATACAAGGACAAAGGCAGAAGCGTGGCATAGCACTATTTTTAAATACAGTCGTTACTGTTTTTGTTCCCGCGCAGACTATAGGCCTATAATAGTGACTTGGGATTTCAACGCCGCAGTTCTTTATGACGTAGCCTGCTTACGTTACCAAAAAGAATGACTAATACGTGACGGGTACTGAAGTCACAATGACATCTGACGTAATATATGTCATGGCATAGAGACACCTACTGCACTGTCAACAACGTAGTTCTTTATGTCACACCTTGCCAACGTAATTGATGATGTCATAATTGGATATGATTTATCTAGAGAAACCTGCATCGTCAACGTCACAGCTCTTTTATGACGCAGCTTAATTATTGACATCATAAATAATGCGCCATTTTCAATTATGTCATCATTAATTATGACGATAACTATATCATGGCAACGAATGAAATATGATTTGGTCTGTCAGACAGGAGGTGAGTAACTAGAACATATAAAAGTTATGTAGAACCAATATAAACCGGCTTTCTGAAGGATTAACATGCGAATTCGATGTACATGCAGGTGATCTGAGAAGTAATCTTATGAAAGAGTCTTGGTATAAAACAGTAAAGCTTTCCTATTCTCAGATAGGCCTACTACAGTATTTGTCTCGTGATAGGCGAACATTCATATTATAATGTATTCTAATTCAAATGCCGTTCCATCTCGTGAGTAATGATACCTGAAAGTAAAGAGGCTAGTCTATTAATCTGGGGAATTAACCGCTTTTGCGAAAATAAGCAAACTTAGACTGTACATATTTTTCTCGTGTAAAGTAAAAAAAATGTCAAAAGTTAGACATTTGTGCAAAGGGCTATACTAGATCGACGTCTCTCTTCTAGTTGATCGGTTAGGACGGCGATTTCTGTATTTCATTTGCTTCAACTGATGCAAAAGGTAGGCACCCGAATTTCCGTCCGCGTCCCGTATACCCATTCTTGCTCCAGAGGCAAGCAGAGACTCTGCCAATTCAAACTGTGAATTTTTTAAAGCAGTGTGCAGGGGGGTGTTTCCTGCGTTATTGCGGATATTAATATCGCCACCTCCGTTTATAATCTTTTTCATTATGCTCACATAAGGAGAAGACGTGGATTCATCAACATGGTAATTCATGTAGGCACGGCTGCTTATTTTGTGCAAAAGTGTGTTTCCATGTTCATCTGGAATGTTCACATCTGAGCTATATTTCAGTAGTATCTCTGCTGATTTAAGGTGGCCTTGTTGAATGCTGACATCCAAAGGGGTTTGTCCGTGATGGTTTAAAGCATTTACATCTGCTCCCATTTCGACTAATATTGGCACCGTTGAAATTTGGCCGTGAAAACAGGCTACGTGGATAGGTGTGTTCCCATAGCAGTCACGCGCGTTGATATTGGCTCCCTCATTCAAAAGAAGCGGCACCCCCAACTTTTCGTTGCGAACGAGTTCGTGAAGCGGTGTCTCACCTGCCACAGTCGTCGCATTCACGTTTGCGTCATTGTCCAGTAAAAGTTTCATAGTGTCCGTTTTTCCTACTTGGCAAGCTATGTGCAGAGGTGTTTGCTTGTCGTTGTCAACTTCATTAACTTCTGCTCCATTCCGTATTAAAAGACTTACTGCATCTGTCACATTCGAGGCAATGTTACACGCAATATGTAGTGGAGTTTCCCCCTCGGCATTTTTTGCGTTTACGTTAGCCTCATTAAGAATCAAACATCTAGCATTTTCAGATGCAATCCACTGCGAGGCCAGGTGGAGTGGCGTGCTCGTGTTCTGTGTGGTTGTTGCGTTGACATCAGCGTTGAAGTCGCACAGTGTTTGTATGGCCAAGGCGGAGTGGAGGTGAAGAGATAACGCAGCGTTCTGCATAGCGTTCAGCCCGTTCACAGAATGGGAACAAATGTCCTTCACTTTGCTGCGATGTTTCAGTAACAGCTTCTTCATCTCCGAAATGTCACATGCGTCTGTATAACGCTGGAGTTCCTCAGCTAGTTCTGAAACAATCTCGGGGCTGCCCATGCTGCTTTAAAGGCCTCTCGTGCCTTTGCTGGGCCAGGCGCTTAGTGCAAGACACAGTGCGGAGTGGACTTTGGTTTTCCTTTTATCAGCGATGTCCTCGCTTGTGTAAAATGTCACATAGGCACGATTCCATGTGCGATATCAAAATAGACGAGTCACAGGTGCGACACGGTAATCAACAGCATGCTGAGATAACATGGAATTCAGTATTGAGTTTTATCATATCGAATTATGATAGGTCGCTGAAGGGAAATTAATTTTTTATTACTAATCATTTTCAATTTTCAGTGGTCCAACTTACTTGTCGCGTAAATATTTTAATTGTATTATGTCTGAAATTTATTCATCATATAAATCAAAGTTGAGATACTCTTGCAATTTAATGGACAAAAACAATTTCAAATGCAGCGTAATTGCTCGTTTCTTGAAACATTTACCAATATGCAATGCAGTAAAATCATGAAGTAAGAGCTGTGGTGTGAAATGCTTACAATGTCTACCTGTAGCGCAGTGCATCATATGCAGTTCTTGTAGCACAGCAATGACACCATGACGATATGTAGAATTACTGATAACCCTCTACCTATCACTATCAGAGGCGTGAATTCGATGTGGGTGGGTATTGTAATTAATTAATAAGATGAAAGTTAAATTAAATGACGATGAAAAAGTTAACGTCAAATCATTATTTTACTCGACACGTTGACGAAGTGGTGATAAGATATATAAAAAATTAAAAAAAAAAGATGTAGAGGGTTAAACATTAGAAAGCTACTCACATGCTTGATTCGTGACATCATGTGGTGAAATACACTGTCAATCATCAATTGCATTTTTAATGAAAACCATGCCAAATAAATACATAAATACAGCCTCGATTAATGTGAAGTAGTGGTAAATTTTAAAGCATTGCGTACATATTTATAAACGATGTTGACTGAATACGAATATTAACCAAGGCAGGAAATCAGAATGATCAGTAAGAAAAATATCCGTGAATCAACAGTATTTGTTTAAATATATATTTGTTCACTAATACAGTAAAAAGAACAAAGATTCCAATAAATTACCTATTAAATATTTTACAAATAATTAAAATTATCATAATAAACATATTGCCATTTGAATATAGGCATTATTTACACGGTGCAATTACAACCAACCCACTCATACCCCAGTATCTGTAACAGTTCCGTATCATAAGTGTTAGTTGCAGCTTTGTGTAAGTTACATAAATAAAGGTAAAAAATAGAAAAAGAACAAGAGGAAATGAATACAATGTTCATCTGCTGTGAGCACTGATACTCTTTATAGTGCGCCCTTAGTATTTACCGTAAGGAAAATAATTATTTCCAGAGTTAACAAATGTGATTTATTAATGAAAGTAGTTTAATGGCGCTGAATGAAAAACGCGAAAGCAACATCAAATAATCCCCCGGTTTCTCCAAATTGGTACCATATAATCAATTCCATCATCAAATACATGGATGAAATATGACGATGATTATCACTTATAAAAGTTATCTATCTGAGGTAGGCCCTATATGTATTAAAAAGGAGTTCTCACGCCAAAATACAAGTGAATGACAGTTAGCTCCCCAGTTGCATTATTTGAACACAAATACGGTGGCTATATAATATAAATCACTGTAAGAAATTCCTGAATGTTAAAATGTTATGCGGGTGAACATCCAAGCCGAGTTCTCCAGCAGGGAAAAACAGGAATGCGATGAACAGAACTCATCAATACTGATACGATCATTGGCTGGCCTGTACATTGCTTGCCAAAATATATGACAAAAGCATGCACACACCGATTAGGATTTAGGCTTAAGCTACCTTGGACTGTGAGACCTTACATGTATCCGTGACGTCACACTACTAAGCCAAAAAGCGCCCTTATCTGCAGTTTAAAGCTTACACGATACGATTACATCTCAGAGCATTCAGAGATAGACCAACAAATTTAGCGTGACGTCACGTGAGTCTACCACGTTTTCACCTTGAGAACCTGTGACAAAGTACTTTTAGCATTGGCATTGATAAGGTAGGTTACGTCCTTTTCCGTGAACGACTCCCAGTCTGTACAAGGCACGCTGTCTGTGAGATGGTGCACAGGAACAAACTTCTCCACTCCTTGCCACCGGTATACAACACTGGCTGAGGTATCACTATCGTGCTGTGCGTTAGAGGCTATGAGAAATGTGTCGTTGCCTACTGTGAATGTCTCCCAGTCTACTATACTGAAATTGATAAATGAAAAAAAGAACACCGTGTGAAATTACTTGGGCTATTAATCGTATGAGCATTGAGAGAATAGTAATGATTGTGTTTTCTTCTCTTACACAGCGAGGTCACAAGCGAATACAGAAACTCAAGTACATGCATTTAGACAGATCTTGATCCTCCACAACACAGTTTGTTAATAAACATCGTAAAATTGTAAAAATCTGATAGATGCATGACTTAAAGATCAACAAAAATTTTGAACAAACCAGTCAATGGCATTGCTCGTTTCGTAATTTTTTCTTGATAAGCATAAATCTTAGGCAGTATTCTTTTACCTGTTTGTCTCAATATTTTGAAACTTTTCAAACTGTTTAAGTTGTAAATTAAGCTTGTATATTGTAGAGTTCACGGTGTATTCGTTAAGTTTCCGATGGTTTTGCGGGCCGTAGTTATACGCGTTTGCCACAGCTAGAAATAAGTCGCTCCCTATACGTATAACTTCCCAGTCCGTTGCACCGGTTGTCTGAGAGAGAGAAAAAAAATAAAGTAAATGAAAACAAATTAATTCTAGCAAAATTTCCAAAGGAAATAAAAATTAAGACAAAGTTATCAAACTAAAATACAGAATTGTTGAAAAGAAAATGACAAACCACTGTTTATCTAATTATCATTATCTCAAATTTAAGTTTTTGGAACAGTTTTTCGTTGTGCTCTTATTATTCAAAATGGCACGACGGCCCGTGTGACCATTGAACCACGATGATTTGCCCGTCAGTTTGACTTCAGGGTCTTGCATATCCAGGTTTTTGATTACCGCGGTCTCTTTTCATTCACACCACTATCTTAAGTTAAACTTACGGGCGTACATTGATTAACGCGTATCATATACGGGCGCATATAGATAATTTTCGTAACTGGTGACATTTTTGCATACATGTGGCCAAAGTAATTATCTTAAAGGGATAAAGCATATTTCAAGACGTACGTTTCTTTTTCCAAATTATTTAATACTTTCCATAATATGTAGATGCCCGCTTCTACTCCTCCCCCCCTCCAATAACCTTTGTGTTAAGCCACACCAGAATATACATTCACGTGTATATTAGTCTGTCATAGAGCATTTTTACATACCTCAATGGATTGAGCAAATATGAACTGTCCCTTTTGCCAAAAATACACTGCTGAGTCCATCCTTGTGGAAACCCCATCGAATGCGTTAGCAACGACCAAGAAATGGTAGGCGCCAACAGTAAAATGCGTCCAGTCATAGGCCGCTGTGGTGGGAATGGTTTGAATTTGTTCGAAATACCGCGACTTGCGGTCATACTTGTAGATCACAGAATCAATGCGTAACTTTGTACCTGAATCGAAAATGAATGCTCCTTTGATCATTCCTATTTTTTATTCAGATATAAATTAGGTTTAAAGTAAATTCTAAAAAGAAACAAACTGAATGCTAAGGGAAATACATCATAATATATCTGAAAAAAGTTTGCCAATCTTTTCAATATCTACTGAAACAGTAAGGGGATTTACGCCTTTGCCGATGGCTCTTTTACTAAAAGAACATCAACATTCTGTATGCTTTTGTTTTCATCGTTTATATTTTTTAGTGATTGATATGCTTTTGCTTGTTATAGAGAAACTGTTTGAAATGTGAGAAACTAACATTAGCTGTCTACAGGTAGCACAATTAATATTATCGCTGTAATAGCATCAAAACCATATATATATATATATATATATATATATATATATATATATATATATATATATATATATAGTGGGACTAGATTAGGAATGGGCCTGTGACACATATATAATTATATATACCTTTTGCATGGTTTGCCACCGCAAGGTAATGTTCGTCTTCAATTTTAAAATACTCAAAATCTCTGGCCGTGTATGTGACGATTTCTTGGTACACCCGAAACTTCTTTCGTCTCTTACTCCACTTGTAGATGACGGAAGTTGAACTCTTGTCTCGCGAGATTCCGTAGTTGGCGACTGCAAGGAAAAACTGAAAGTGAAATGGGGATTCAATAATGGCTAGAAATCATACTATTTATCATGTTTCTTTCTAAAAGTCGTCTTATTTAGTTTTTCAGATAGAAATTCTTGCAAAGTCCACCAATGCCGTAGTTGAATTTTCGATTAAGGTATGTAGTTACTCGGAATTCTGAGAAGACGATGGAGCAAAATGTGAGGCTTCTTTTGTGACCGACACCCTCTACTGGCGGAAGGTAAATCCGTGTCCAGTAGATAAGAAGCAAAAAATAAAATATGACTGACGAGGGATGCATTTTCCATTCTCCTTACCTTCCTATCTATAACAAAATGCTCCCAATTTTGTGCTCCCAACGTTGTGAGATTCTGATATTGGCTGAACTTTCCGTCCGTCCACTTGTAAATAGTGGACGGTTGTTTGGACATCACCTGACTGTCGTAATTGGCCATAGCCATAAACAAGCCTTCTTCCTGAATACGAAATACCTCCACGTCTATGGCCGGCGTAGTCGTGATGATATTTTGGTACTGTTCTAAGTAATCAAGACGTTTTTGGCGTTTTTCACCTGGAAGAAAAAGAATGACGATATTTTGATGGCGTTTTTGGTGATTCGGCATGTCGATTACGACAAGTGTCATTTTGAAATGTTAACTGTTTTCACTTGAAGGAAAAAGAAAGGGAGGAAAGTAATGTATATAGTACAATAGGTCATTGGGTGTATGTAGCTTACTAACTGCTTTAAAGTTCCATTCCGCTATTATCAGTGTACCATATTAAACACCAAACCCAGGTGCAGTGACAATATTATGGACCACTGATTTCTGAAAATTATAACTATCTAATAAAAAATGGCAATACATCTTTCCTTAAGTGTTTGGAAATGGTTCGCTAGTTATGACAAATAATCTGTAGTCTAATCATATGTGATAAAACTAATATAGAATATTCTTTTATATGCCAATTCAGCAATACACAATTCTTCATTTGTATGGATACAATAGGATGTTCAAGATATCGCAATGTGTTTCAGTCTTATGTCGTGCTGTCGCGCTCCATATTGTGAATGGAAATTTAGATGTCATACACATTCATACACCAATTCAGCAGCCCACTAAGCTGTTTTGTATCAAAACAAAGATAATAAAATACGGGTGATGCATATAACTCCGTGCTACGACTATTCCGAATGGAAATTGTATTAGATGTTTTATCTATTCTTCTCCCCATTCTTCAACAGTCCAATAAAATCGAATTGTACGGCTGCAACAGGCCAGGTGGGTCAAAGCATTTACGTTACATCGTGCCGACTTGTGAATGAAATGTTTCGCTGTCATCTTCATTTATATACGTTTGCCAACTCAGATAAACTATTTATGCCCATACCACAGAGTATGACGGATATGACGGAAAGTGTCGGACTTCTGCCAATAAGATTCTGAAAATATATTTGATTTCCACTTCTTCTATTACAGAACACAGCTCTATGCAGCAGATTTTAAAAGAACATATGCTTGTAATACCTTTTGTATTGTATCAATTAGGCCACGAAAGTTTTGAAAAAGATGCAACAAAACGTTTACATTATCCTACACTATACTCGACATAAGTCCCCATGAATGAAAACATGGGTATAATACACACTTATATACTCATTCATCAATTTACGTCCGTTTGAATGTTACACAGCTTGAACCTTTAACAAGAAAAGAAAAAGTAGATCAAGAACATCGATTCATGCTTAATTCAGTAATTCTATTATTAGATATAATATTAACAGGCCAATACAACTGATACAACGATCTGTTTCTGTTACACTGCACTGTGTCACATGCATATAAAATGTAGTGCTGTGCAATTTACAAATGTGGGTGGTATCATTATACACCAAGAATGTGAATATAAATAGTAGAACATACAGTACGTAGATATAACAGGTTGATTAATTATTTTCTTTACGACTAGATGATCTGCAACGTGTCGTTGTGTTTTATGGCGTGTAGTCAACCATTTTGACGTTACGTCAATATTTTTGGCGTTGTGTTATACAACCAGACGTTATATTACGTCGTGCTCTGTGACATACAACTGGTGCCGTGGGTATATATATTAGCTGTACGCACCTTGTAAATCCGTGACACTTTGCCATATCCCTCCGACGCATGTCCGTAGACTTGATGTGGCAATGTCAAAGACAACCTTACCACTACTGGCCCAAGAGCAGGTAAGGTCGCTGTATTTTGCTGAAAAACGATGAAAATAATTCTTACAGAACGGCGTAACTTTATTTCCTAATTACACACTTCAAGAAAAGGAAGACGGGTTTTGGTATCAAAATGAAAAATATATTTCCTGGGTCAAACACTATACTTCATTAGTAAAAACAAATATAAAAATCTATGATCAACAACGCACTGTCATCATGCATGGCAATCGCTTAAAATATATTCGTCAATATCGTTCTATACTTTACATTGAGTGAATACGGTGAAGTTTGCATAAGGCATTATAAGGGAAGTATCGAAAACACGACGTTAATTTTCAACTATATTTTAATGTATGTAAAAAACAATTTTGCATTTTTTAGGATTAAATAACAAAAACAATACTCCTAGAAAATCACAGGCATTATTCTAATATTAAAACTTACAGTTCATATTGAGGAGATCCCAAAATGAACTAGTACATGGGATATTTTAAAAAAGACGCACAGCAGAGTGATACAAAAATACATCTTTACGAAAAATGAAAATATTTGCAAACTGTCATAAAATGAATTCATGTTGCGCATACCTTACACACTGGAGGAGCAATATCCAACACATATTTACATATGTTCCATATTTCCACTACAGTGTTGTCAGCAGACGAAAGGCATATGGTGTAACTTGATATTTAATTAAAACAGATTTTATCGCTTTTCGACACTTTCCCCTGCAGTCAAAAAACGCTGTATCAAAACACATTTTGATTATATTTGTATATGTGTAATAATTCACAGTGGTAAACTCATTTTGTAAAATAGTTATTTGTTTTCTACCTTGGGTTTTTTTTAATAAACTTTTGCTATCCGAAGGAGCTGTTAGTATTATTTTTAAAATATTTTATTATATTAATCACATTATTAATTTTGCCCTTACTAAATTCATTGCCACCTCGTATGGCTCCAACGTAACGCCACGATCCTTTTACGATAAATTCAGCTTAGATTGTGTAAACTAGGCATATGCAAGTCATATAATCGAAGAAAATCACAAATCTCTTTTCATTTTTACTTCAAAATGTAGCCCCATATGCCTTTAATGGTTTTGAAAGTGCTTTTTTCTGTCATAGGGGCACGTCATCATCTACAGTGAGGTTTTGTGTTGTGCAGACACATGTTACATGTAGTAAAATGCACAGCTTTGGTTAAAAAGTCATTTTCTGAGTTTATTTAAAGAAAAAAAAAACGTCAGGAGCACTCCATCTGAAGACTACACAAACATACTTAAAATAATTCTTCGATTATATGGGGGAATGTTGGGATATTCATGAAATCTGAAAAATGTATTGAAGTTTTCGCGTTCGGTTCGGTTTTGGTCCTGATAATACCGAACAAAATCCAACTGACATTAGCACAGGCGCCTTTTTTCCGTCCATTTACTTAATTTCAATTCCTTTTTATATTATCTTTTTTTTTGGGGGGGGGGGGTGTCACACTATATACCGTTCATTTTCCATGTTGGACTCAGGCGAAACTGCTGTCAGTTCTTTAAAGCAGTTTTGTCAAATTCCCTAACACTTACGTTCCACTTCGGAAGGCTTTCCTGGGTGTGGCGTATCGTTCTCCCAGCCTCGACTGATGGTTGGTAGAGATGGCGTGAGTGACGGACAAGCAAGACGGGATGCGTCCGAGCCGGGGAGTAGGATTAGTTGCTTTAGAAGACCCTAAAATATCAGTTAACATCAAAAATATATTGCATTGCATGTATAAATGTATGATAATACGTTCTTGTTAACATGTATGACACTTACTTTAATAGTGCTAACGTAATTGATTTGCAAGTGACGTTACTTACTATATACTTATTACTAGGATTTAACCAGTTAATAATTAATATCAATAAATAAAGAAAAAAGATAAGAAAGGGAGAAAAGTGGATATTCTATCGATTAACAGCAGTATGAATATTTGGATTTTTCTACTTGATGCAATTCATTACACTGAATTGATTCGTCAACGTCTTTCCATTGGCGATATGCACATTGTTGTTGGTTGTATTCAGCCACGCCGGAAAACTCCTCCTTAATTTCTGATATTTCTGTTCTTTGCAATCAACTCGTAAGCCAACTATCTTGGCTGTCACTGTCAAAACAAATGTGTGCCATTTGCCATCGAATATATCAGCCACTTTGAACACTGACGTCCTTTTAGTCCCCGGCGTTGTTTTATAATCCGTATAATCAAAAATTATCCTCCCTTTCGACAGCCTCAGCCCTAGCTTTACCTCTAGACTTTGCTCGGGCATAAGTGCAAAAATGTATTCGTTGTCAATGGATTCCACTGAATTTGGGGGGAGTTTGAGAGTGACGAGTATGGAGAATTCTTCGGGAAATATCGAACAGCGTGTGAGGATGTTTGATGCTGGGAATCGAAGTGTTTGAGCCTGCTTGGAGAAGGAAAAAGCGTGGACGTAGCCTTCATCGTCATATATAAGATTGACTCCCCGTGGAAGCTGGTACCGATCTGGGACGGCATTTCCGATGAGATATATTGGACGCAGAGCTGAAGAACATAAATCAAAAATATTTTGTTAGCAATTGTTATTTTTTCTGTATGAAATGACAAATTTGATGAATGTGTTGAGGTTCGTCTGCGTCTTTATTTTCAAACCGATGTCCATTCAATAGGAAAGATAGAATGCATAGCTTGAACATTAATCAAAAGTATTTTGTTAACGTTTATCATTTTTCTTAGCAGAATGGCAGAAAATGACAAATGTATTTTGAAATGAGATTTTTTTCAGCCCAGAATATTTCCAACGAATACATTAATCGGAAATATTTTTCAAACTGATTTAAATAAATGGAATAGATGGATATACAGCAGAGTTGTAAAGCACAAATCAAAAGATTTCAGCGATTATTTATATATTTTTCTTTACTTTGAATGGAAAATAATGCAGAATGTTGTCTTAATTTGATTAATTTTCAGTTTGGCCTCTGTACATATGTAATGTATATTACAAGATATCATGAATGCAGTTCACTTGAATGTAAACTCAAGTTTTAATAAGTAGACCTATCCTTCAAAAAGTTTAATAACTGCCTTATTTTGCTTTGCAAGCGAACGACAGACGTTGTGTAAATGAGGTTTAGAAGAATGAGAATGCGACAGGATACATGATGGAATGAACTAATACTTTTAACATTGACTAACATCATGATATCCCAAGAGTTGAGCGTTGTCGGTTACTTCTTTACTTTGCAAATATTAAATGGTAACGGGCATCTGATTACGTTTGTCATATTTTCAGGTAGGAAAGCTGGCATGATGCAGAATTTAATGACGATCACTAGAGACCCAATGCCGATTTAAATCAGCACGGTTGATAAGATCAAAGGGTACAATTTCAAGATAGAAGGTTTAAGGGCGATAGGTATGATCATAAGCAAATATTTAAGTAGGATACCAGTACCACTTGCATGCTGTCAAATTCATTCCTGTAACATTTCTCATCTCGCGTAAGCTCTTCTCTCGCTCAACTCAATTTGAATTTTAATGCAAAGAAAATCTAATTTTTGGCAAACATTGCATCTTGTAAATCACTTACCAGGACACACCCACTTTATTGAAGATTTGAAAATGACTAACTGCTCTTAACCACCCGGACAATGAAGTTCAGTTAGTTTGTTTTCTAATTCTGTGTACTGAGCTGTTTAACCTGTCATAATCACTCAGCTCCCCACCCCTCGACCGTCTCGTGCCAATATTTAGTGTCTTAAGTAGATTATGGCGAGTAGTAGGTCTTTATTATTAGTATAGAAAGGCTAGCATGCCTTTCCTACACCACAGAGAGAGAGAGAGAGAAAGAGAATAGAAAGGCTTGCATGCCTTTCCTACACTACACACACACACACATACACACACACACACACACACACATCTAGAGGGAGAGAGAGAGAGAATGTCGATCAGTCGAGCAGTATATCTTAACTACTACAACTATGTTGTATGACAGGTAGAATGCACAGTATACAGCGAGTATATAAATTTGACATTTTAACAAATATCTCAGTTTGTCTAGCAGATTTGAATTTAACTGGTAAATTGCCCGTTATTCTCTCCGGCCACTGGGAAACGGACACTATGGTCTATGATATGTGTCGCATTTCTTCTCCTCGTAAAAATGAACCTCTATAATACTTGGTCTCTTTAATGGACAGCTAGAGAATGCATCGAAAGACTTGATATTACATTTTCTCAAGTCAAACCACCTTTCTAAAAACGTTGTTTAACTAGACGTTTTGGCTGGTTGGATGTGCGTGTCCCAGTCTTAGGATGCTGCGGGGGGTAAGCCGACCCTAAACAAACACATTCGACAACTGACACTGCTTGACTTCAAACTGATATTTGGAATTTTATTTCTGTCGTCTCTTCAAATTACACCCTGTCGGAAATTGAAATAAGTAAAGAAGTAGTCATTCAAGGTATGTCACGATTGTTGAAATTAAACAAGATATGGATTTCATATATGTTCATGTTCTCGTATAAAACTGTACCGGTAGGCCTAATCGCTTTGAAAATATTACATTTAGCACTAATTCTTTTTGCGCCATAACTAGGACCATGTTTATAATAAAAAGTGACTTTGGTCGAGACTTCCTTCTTTAAGTTTCCAGTTCATGTCAGTCATTTACATGAGCAAGTCGAACCGCCCGTTCGCGATTAATTGAATGTGATCAGGCGCTCCCAATACAAGCCGCCCTAGCAGAAATTTGCCACATAGAATAGCTAAGGGTTCTCCAGGTTAATATGGTAGGCTATAACACTCGGGGTTTCCCAGGTTGAAATGGAATAATAATCTGAGTATGGACAAGCAGGTTTTGGTTCATTTCTCTGCTGCACCTGTTGCTCACCTGTTTCAGGGTAATTTAGCTGCACGAAAAATAATTTTCTGCTGTCTCATGCAACACCGACATATTCTGAACTGGATCGTCCAGGAGTGGTTTCATATGATAAATGTAAACGTTCCTAAAGTAGATGCAACATAAATTAATTTACATAATTCCAGATCTTGTCTCCTGGATGCAACCTGGTGTGATTCTCTAATTATTGCCGACACAATCATAATGGGTGGTCGCCCAGGTAACACGAATTTTTTCATACAGTCCTGTAATTAAATTTAGATAACATGAAATGAGCGGAGGCTAAAGATGCGGCTGTTTCTTGTCAGCGGTGTTAATCTAGGACAATTATGAAGTGATGATTGATTGACGTGCATCTAAAAACCAAGGGTCCTTATCGTTCAGACATTTACGCAGCCATTAAAATTCATAAATGAACATTGCTGGGACCTGCTAACTGGTTGTTGTTCATATCAGCAGAGACGGACAACTAAATGACAAATTGATGCTACTCGTCGATATTGGACTTTTCAGTTCGCGCAGAGAAATAATTGAGTTGTATTAAATAGACATCAATTCAAGATCTCTCACGTAACATCCAGAAACTGTATATCCGAAATAAATACACTTCCAGGGTTAAGTTGGAAACGACAAAGTGGGCTTAAATTGGAAATTCCTAAAAGCAAATTGTAAAAGAAAGCAGTAGCAAAATTCGCCTTCGGATATGGCAAAATTCTCACCTGCTCGAGCAAGTGTTACGTCACGATGGAATTTGCGCACACGAATTACGACATCCCTCTAAACTCCAGACAAACCGTTCGTACATCGCAGAAATTACAAAATCAATAGCCATAAAATTGGATTTTATTGGTGCTGTAATAATATACAAGGCAATACCTAAGTAGACAAACAAAGATGGGGCAAGTTTTCATGACTTTCAACCCAAAGGTTGAATTTAGACAATTGCTCTTTTGCCAATTGGTAAATCTGTTTATTGCCATCCTAAGTTCAGTTACTTATTGAATTTTCACTCCAGTGCCCAAGGAACAAAGCTCAAACGGTACGAAAATATTTGTTTAAGTGTTTTTTCTACTTCTATCAGATAGCAGAAGTTTAATCTCTAGCATTCGAACTTATCCCATGAATGAGTTGCATTCACCTGCGGGTTCGATAGAACGGAAGAGAGTTCTTGGGGTTATCTTCTTCTTGTGATAGAGCAATGAAGTTGACACTGTGACAAGCTAAAGTGCAATCTTGAGGATAAGGCAGACGGGATTTTATACTAGGCTCGCTTAATAAATTGTACATTGTCAGCATTTCAATTTCTAAGGGAATTTAATACTTCAAAGTAGTCTGTGAGATAAAGAATAAAAGAAATTAAATGAAACGGGAAAATAAGTACCATCACGTATTTTTGATTACCTGAACCAATTCAACATTTCAAATTGTTTAAAGAGCTCAATATTATAGTGATTTAATGCCCGCACGGGTTTAATAATTCAATATAATTTATAGCGCCTTGGTTCTCCACTTCATCAATTCAAGAACTATAAAGCATTCTATAAAAGTTGGTGTAAAATAGGGAACCACCATTAAGAGTGTCTATGTATAACAATGTTCTAAACAACAGGTTTCAGACAAAAAAAAAAGAAAAAAAAGAAAGAATGTATCTGGACTAATCGACAGAACGGAATAGAACAATGTCGGTGAGGTGCATTTTTTGTGTGATATATCAATGTTCATTTACATGGTGTGTTACAGATACGGTGAAATATTTGCCAGGGAGTTAAAGCTACTATGTTCAAATGCACCAGAACCAGAACTAACCTCCCTCAATCTGTCCTGTCAAGTTACATGTTCATTTTTTTTTTAAGTTTTGAAGTCGTATTTGTATTTAAGTATAGTATGACCGAAAGTTATCCGCGTCACGCAAAGTAAGAATGTGAGAGGCCTCTTCTTCAGAACGCTTCTTTAATACCTAGTCTATTTCGCAAATCACCTCTCCACAAATATTAATTCCGAATATTTTTCAAAGGAAATGCGCACTTTTACCCGTACTAATAACCCGTCAAAATGTCACAAGGCGCGTGAACTACCATCAAGAAAATTATGTGCTTTGAGATAACAATATAAACGTCGCTTAGATTACTTTTATGGGGCTCTTTAACTATATCGCTGTTTGACGTGCAATCTCTAGATATTGTTGAGAACGAGAGATTATCAACAAAGGGCGCTAATTGTCGACCTCCTCGGACAGCAGCGAGAGATCCCGCAATACCCAACTTTTTTGATGGATGTCTGAAGTTTTAACCTCATCTCTCCACAGCTGTCGAGTTCTAGTTTGTCTCCGTTTCAGCAATTTACTTTGATATATCGTCCGGAAAACGGAAACTTAAGAATGCCTATAAATAATACTTTCTTTCCAAATTAATATTCTTTCTTGGTAGCTTTTGATACAGCTGAGTAGAAATTTGTCCATGTGAAAGGGGCATCCTTTTGTTGTGGATTTTAGAATTTATTGACCTATTTCAGTTCAGTGGCATTTCTTTGAAGTTCCTTCGGTTTTATACCGAAGATAAGACTGATTTTTATTGCCGCAGAATCTTAAAAATAGGTAACTCATAAAATAGACTAACAAACCGAACACCTGATTAATATTTTGGTGGAAACGAAGAGATGATTCATTCTTTATCTTTATATCTGTTTTACAGTGTTATATTAGCAGAGATATGAGGGCATTTCCACACAATAGAAAAGTTGGAAAAACAGACACAGTAATAAAGACGAGGAGGGATAGTGGTGTCAGATTTTTTAACATGCCCACTGTATCATAGCCTGAGGAGATGCACTATATATCCCGCTTAATGAATGTGGTCAGGACACGAAATATATGTTCTAAATCTTACAATGATATAATGATAAATCTTATATCAAATCATGTCTATGGTAACCTACCTGTACATGCTTTGGGGAAGCTCTGTCCCTCAGCCTGAAGCACGCAGAGTAAGACTAAAACTATGAAACCAACGGGCACCATCGTCCAACTATCTGTCATTCGCTGGAGAACACCAGTGTAAACTTCGACTTCGCTAAGGTACGCTCAGATGCCTTCTGCCAAAACCCTGACATCCTTGCATAGTTTTGTTATTTTTCATTCAACATCTGTCGCAAGTTGCGGCGCGTCACACTTGTCTTTTGGTGTCCTTGTTCGTATCTCGTTAAAAGAAACACAGACTGTTTCAAGTTAGCGCGGCGCTTATATAAGCCATATTTTCCAAAAATGCACATCTGCTACATGAGTAACTCCTCGGTGTCTGTCTTGTCCCTTGGTTGAACTTTTCCTCCTTAGATATATAGAATAAGAAAGAAGCCGGTGTCAGTGTTCAGCTCACCAAGTACAGACTGGCTGAACATTAATACTAAGAAATTGAAACTCCAACCTTTTATGTTGAAACTGCACGCATGAAGTTCGCTTGTTGATCTTTTGCCCGGTTGTCAACACCGCTGTGACTATTGTAAGACGTAAGAAACACCCGTTTCACGCGTCGCACATTGGTGTCTTGGTCTCCCCATGTGGAGAGCTGACAGTGTCAACATGATAATATATAGGTAAATGTGCTGGCCTCTTGTGTGTTATCACTATCGCATCAAGGAGAGAAGAAGAGGATACAAGTTGGAGTAAAGCTTGGGTTACAAAGCATTGCCGCATCGTCCCCGCCGATCTCTACGTCATAAGAACTTGTGACACCATCATTTATAAATAAATGCGCATCGCGTAATTTAAACATCAGACAAGGTGCTCTCCTTCGCTATTGATGTTAAGAAAGTGCCGACAGTTGGTGGGCCTGTGCCTTAAAGCTTAGTTTTTATGGCTGCTGTCAGCGACAATGACCTCAGGTGGACCCACATGTAGTTGTGGCCTTCCACAGGCGCACGCAGGCGTGGAGTGGAGTTTATGGTGAGATTGGCCCCCGTGGTTGATCAAACAGACCAGACGTGTGACCGACACGAAGAATTTTTAAGTGCTGCTCACTTTAGAGAACGGTAATCACTTTCAATCCAACCTCATCGGTTCACTTCCAGCGATAAAGAAAACGGGCTCAGATAGGATATGCCTTGTATTATCATATTTATGTTTAATGTACACTATCTGAACGCAACTTAAATTGCCGGTCATGGTCAGTGTTTTATGATATGCTTTGTCGGTACATATTTGCCGCTCAAACTCCCCAACAAAAGGATTGCAACAACACAATCACTAAGTATTTTACTCGAGCCTTTGGTTTCAATTGAAGCTCAATAGAAACTCGAGGCTTTTGCTATCAATACATTTGATATTGTATGCATTATCATTGGTAATAAGATATGCCGACGTAGTATGCTCGGCTGGCTCAGCAAGAGCCGTATTTCCCCTTAGGTCTTTGCTTTGAAGCCGATACCTGCATTCCTCTAGCCAAAGACCCTCGCTCACGCTCAGCAACGGATCGCTAAGTGCAAATTAAATTCTATTTTCATTTTATGTCTGATTTGGTTTAACGATAGCACCCTTGTCAGCTCTATTCTATAGGCTGCAAAGAGCTTTTGCTGCTTCTTCCCCATGCCCCCGTAAACATTTATGAATCTAGACAGATTGGGGTTTTCAAAGACTTAACCCCTAACTGCCCATTATATCAATTTCTCGATATCCACGGACAAAGTGAATATCAATCATGAATATTAAAGTGCTGAGACCTTTATAGCACCTAAAAACATCAAAGAAAAGCGAAACTTAGCTACTGCCAAAATGTCACGGCGTTTTCTTTTTATGCCTGGCACCTAGTTATATTTGTATGTATGCATCATTTTGATGAGATCTTTATAATAATCTTCAACCAAACAAACTCTGCTCCGTTTCACGCACTACTATACTTGCGGTATGAGATGAAAACGGGAATTTTGCAGTTGGAATGAAAAGAATGATCATTGATGAATGTAAATATGTTGGTTAGTTCATACACCAACTAGTGAACTATTCATACACTTCAACAAGACGTTGGAAATAACGCACACACAAACACACACACACACACACACACACACACACACACACAGAGGGGGGTTGGGAGAGAGAGAGAGAGAGAGAGAGAGAGAGAAGGGGGAAGATTGAACCTGTCCGTAAATCGGATAGTGATCACACTGTCTGAAGAAAATGCTGCCCGACTAAATTGTGCAAATATTTCTACCACCTGAAATATTTTAGATAACCCCTTTCATTCCAGTTTTGAGCACCCGTTCTTAATCAGAGTTTACGTAAGATCGTCAATTTAAGACACCATTGGTAAATTAGATACGAGTTGAAAACTACCTGAGGTTAATTTTATAATCCCTTTCCTTAAACTTAATTTTCCTATTTATACCAAATAGAATTGCGGGCAATAAACCAATCAAAATGACTCGAAGTTGTAATAGACACGCGTTTAAGGTAGATAAACAATCACAAGTACAATTTGAGCAAATAGAAAAGACTTTCATGTCGCATTACCGGGGCAGTGGCCAAAGTTTGTCAGGCGAGAAAAGAATCTTTATAAGAACTAAACTATAAGAACGGGATTACTGTAACAAATAAACTCCACTCGACAACCCCCCAAATCCTTAGCTTTGATCAAAGAGCCAATTTCTATATGAATTATACTATAAAGAGCTCAAGGGTCCCGAACTTGGCAGCGGGGTTGATTTTCCATTATTTACCTCTATTTCGAAAGTGCACAGTGTCAGACCACAAATTATGCTATTATAGCTTGTTATTGCCTAAACCATATCTAATATATTAATGCGTGTAAGGAGGTCTATCCCCTTACCGAGTCATTTTCATTTTTACCATGTCATTTACTTCTGTCATGCAGTATTTTTTAAAATCTAACACTCATTTTGGTATTTGTATTTATTTGTACTCTTTTTTATCTGGTGATGGCTGTTTTTTTTCTTGTGTGTTACATTCGAAAATTCAATAATATTAGCTTGAAAGCAGATGAACTGGCGGGGAAAACTTCTAACAAACGGATCTTAGTTGCGCTTTAAGTACTTTTTTTCCATAAAAACCAATTTCAACTTCACATTTCCTCGCATTTGAAAGCATAGGGCGGAAAAACATTTTAGAACGTGTATTTCACCTTTCAAATAATGCTCGGTATTTCGATATGTGTATATTACAATTCTAAAAAAAAAAAAAAAAAAGAGAGAGAGAGAGAAAATACCCGCCTCTCTGTGTATTGTTAAGATAGACTTAATCAATGTATATATAATTTGCGAAAAGCAGATCATAAAAAGTTATTGAAAGAAACGCCAGTCCGTTTAGTTAATATGCCTTTATAAATGATTCTGCTAGTCATGGAGTGCGATAGCTTTTTTTAAAAAACAACATTAGTATTTCGTTGTATAACACTTTATAAATCGAGGCCCCTATTTTTTTTCGCAGTTATTTAATGTTTGTTTGTTTTTTAAATTCTAATTAAGGGGGTGGTTTTATCTTTAGGTTTATTCTAAAAAATACTTAAATAGGGTGTTTGCGTTTGTAAATGCTCGTTAAGATCCAAACGTAAGTTAATACTAATTTGTGGTAAGAGATAAGGGCCTATTCATCTGTTGACATCATTGTCAATGCATTAGAGAAAACTTTAGGGTGTCCCTTTACTTCTCAATCGCATCTACACTTATTCAAAGAACGTTGCATAAATTTAGATATATTCTATATTTTAAGGTTCAAATTAGCAGTGAGCATATACTTTACAAGCTTTTGATTGCATCAAATCAATACGAAATCATTGATAAGTGTAAATCTAGCATAAGTTCGTCTTGAAACTCTTCTAACTGGAGATTGAAAAAGACGAACGCTGCCAAGGACAGGACAAGCTAGGAAATGGGAATGTCCTCTATACAACCACATGGAATGGGATGAATCTCACGAAAACATTTTGAATGTTTATGTGAAAAGGTAAGGTGTATATATGTTGTGTTGTCTGTAATTGATTGAAAGTGGTTTGCATCAACTTGGTAAATCGTTTGAATTACGCAGATATCCGTCGACTGCCAACGTCTATGCTAATTCAAGTAACTGAATTATATCATGTCACATTTTTGCAAGATTTTTATTTTCAGTGATATACTCTTTTGAAAAACGATATTTTAAAAAGTTCTTAATCGAACTTACTGTTTCTATATAAGTACTCCTGAAATGAGCAGATTCTCAAGAGGTCCAGCTTTTTATGGAAAACCTAAGCAAACTGTCACAGTAGAAATGTAAATGTACTCATTCTAATTTCCACTGGTAGTTGTTGACATTGAAGAACTATCAGGACAAAATTGTTATTCTTGGATCTAAGTACAGCATTTGTGTCCTTTGATTTTGGAATGATGATATAATCTAATCATTTCCTTGTTTGTGATCTACTTACTAGTACCATGTTCCTCATTCTTCACCCAGTTGACCTTCAAAAAGTCAACTGTCCCCTTTGCCAGTAATCTATGAGAAAAACCCAGCTTTAGAATAAGATCCTTTTTATCTTAAAGACATCTTGTTCAAAATGTGGTTACCTGTCACTGATCTACAGAAAACCCCTTTTTTTACACTCAACCAGCTCCTACATAGTAGCACAAAAATTCATACGTTAGTATTCCTCTTTACATTTTTTTATACTTGTATGTACTGTATAAACTTACACATGGATGTTACATGTTTAAAATGGAATTCAAGTCAGCTATTCAACTTGATATGGGGGTCTCTCAAATCTTTTTCTTACCTTTCACGTCCTCTAGTGGATCTGTAAGTGTTGAAAAGCTATAAATTATATTTTGCCATTGACATCACTGTGAATGAGGTAAAGATTGGGTAAGGCTCGTCTATCGGTTATGCTGCCATGAAATTGTTCACCCATTGAAGATGGCCATTAACCCCATAATTAGGTTAAATTATATTTCCCACCGGAAAAGACAAAACTTTAAATTAATGATCCCTGGCTTACTTCTTACATTCAAAGAACTAGGTAAGAGGTGAGCAAAGGTATTGATGGCTCCAAAAATGCAGCTAATTTGCCATCTATACTTATACCTCTCAATCAATAGCACATATAGAACATATCCAAAAAATGTAAGTAAGAGTGATAACACACAAATTTTAGGGCAACATCAGCTCCCTGGTTTGATAGATGCCTGCACCTTTTTTAAATGATAGATGAAATTGAGCCTCAAACCACTGCCATAAAATTATTTATAGCTGGAAAAAAAGAGAGCAGACTTTTGAGATATTACCTTTGTCACAACTGTACAATATCAAATGATAATTTAACTAAAAGCTGTGTCAGTCAGTCAGTCTAGGATCTTTAAATGGAGAGATAAACAGTGTGGGGAACTGAAAGTCAGCATGAACCCTCATTCAGTGGCTTGCCCTTCAAACAATAAGATAATTAGTACCACCNAAGTAACTGAATTATATCATGTCACTTTTTTGCAAGATTTTTGTTTTCAGTGATATACTCTTTTGAAAAACGATATTTTAAAAAGTTCTTAATCGAACTTACTGTTTCTATATAAGTACTCCTGAAATGAGCAGATTCTCAAGAGGTCCAGCTTTTTATGGAAAACCTAAGCAAACTGTCACAGTAGAAATGTAAATGTACTCATTCTAATTTCCACTGGTAGTTGTTGACATTGAAGAACTATCAGGACAAAATTGTTATTCTTGGATCTAAGTACAGCATTTGTGTCCTTTGATTTTGGAATGATGATATATTCCTGTTTAATCTAATCATTTCCTTGTTTGTGATCTACTTACTAGTACCATGTTCCTCATTCTTCACCCAGTTGACCTTCAAAAAGTCAACTGTCCCCTTTGCCAGTAATCTATGAGAAAAACCCAGCTTTAGAATAAGATCCTTTTTATCTTAAAGACATCTTGTTCAAAATGTGGTTACCTGTCATTGATCTACAGAAAACCCCTTTCTTTACACTAAACCAGCTACATAGTAGCACAAAAATTCATACGTTAGTATTCCTCTTTACATTTTTTTATACTTGTATGTACTGTATAAACTTACACATGGATGTTACATGTTTAAAATGGAATTCAAGTCAGCTATGCAACTTGATATGGGGGTCTCTCAAATCTTTTTCTTACCTTTCATGTCCTCTAGTGGATCGGTAAGTGTTGAAAAGTCATAAATTATATTTTGCCATTGACATCACTGTGAATGAGAAAAAGATTGGGTAAGGCTCGTCTATCGGTTATGCTGCCATGAAATTGTTCACCCATTGAAGATGGCCATTAACCCCATAATTAGGTTGAATTATATTTCCCACCCGAAAAGACAAAACTTTAAATTAATGATCCCTGGCTTACTTCTTACATTCAAAGAACTAGGCAAGAGGTGAGCAAAGGTATTGATGGCTCCAAAAACGGAGCTAATTTGCCACCTATACTTATATCTCTCAATCAATAGCACATATAGAACATATCCAAAAAATGTAAGTAAGAGTGATAACACACAAATTTTAGGGCCACATCAGCTCCCTGGTTTGATATATGCCTGCACCTTTTTTAATGATAGATGAAATTGAGCCTCAAACCACTGCCATAAAATTATTTATAGCTGGAAAAAAAGAGAGCAGACATTTGAGATATTACCTTTGTCACAACTGTACAATATCAAATGATAATTTAACTAAAAGCTGTGTCAGTCAGTCAGTCTAGGATCTTTAAATGGAGAGATAAACAGTGTGGGAAACTGAAAGTCAGCATGAACCACATTCAGTGGCTTGCCCTTCAAACAATAAAATAGTTACACTTGTATTTTGCAAACATGTATGCTTGCCTGTATTCTTTGTCCTTTTTATCCCAATTGGCAAACAGTTGGAAATGCCATTTATGTCTACCATTGTATATACCTATAGCATTTTATATTTTATGTGCAGTTATATTCCACATTCAGATTATTATTTTGTTAAAATGATTTATCTGGTGCCAGATATTGTAGCGTAGTCTGTTTCTGTTTGTGAAGAAGTGTTACTGTCATGACACTGACTCTCATTGTGCAAACACGATCTATGGAACAAGCCCATTTAGAGATTTAAGAAAGACCTTCAGGAATCATGAGGGGATGTAAAGGGTGCCCCCCCCCCCAACCCCCACCACCACCATTATTTTGGACATCCGGTTTCAAAATCCTGGCTAAACTCCTGGTTTCATGTGTTCAAAGACGTTTCCGTTATCTTAAAGAAAATTGTATTTTGTTGAAAAGCAGCCATGAATTTTCACTGCTTTAAATTGCCTACATTTTGATTAAATTAAATTTTATGGTATATCAGAGTTTTATAAACAATTACTTTTCAAGAGTTAAGATGCCACATTAAACAGGTCTAAAATAGTCTTTTTTTTAGCTTTTAATTTAAAATTTAATAAATTAGCTTTTTTCTCTGCCATGATTTTAAAGCTGCACACATAAGATTCAGCTGAAATTCTCTGTGCAGTTTGCATGGATACATGTTATGATGTTCAAATACCATTATCACCATAATATATGTATCGTCCCTCGAGGTATCTGCTTTAAATGTCATTTTCCTTATTTGAGCATGGCCTTATGTGGAAAAGAAAATATGAAGTTTATTAGCTAGGTCATAAATATTGATGCTAACCAAGAGTGCTTTTAAGAAATAAGGTCATAGAACTGGTGTATGCTGCTGAATTCTTTTTTTTTTTTTAATTTGATTCTACTCACAGATTTGACAGCAAGGGAAACACCATTATTTTTTCCCATGTTAGTTATACATAAGGGCAGTCCATCTCTCTTCTAGGTCATGCTAAGTAGAGCTTGAAATACAAGTAAAAATATTGAATGTTACTTGAGGTGGTGTACTGCCACTGATGCATACACTGTTACATTGTCTGCTTGTTTAGTAGTCTTTTTTCTTTGACATTTTGCAGGATTAAAGGCGAACAAATACTGTGTTAAAGGAATACATTATAGCAACACAATAAAATGTCCAGGTGGAATTCAGCAAAACGCCTTGTTTTATATGGCCTAGCTGCAGGTGGCGTTGGAACAGCATCAGTATACATGATATCAAATAGGAGGAAGCATATTGCACAGGTAAGTTTAATAAAAAGTAAATTTTCTTTTGTATTACTCTGTCTAAAATACATTAATTGAGTCTTATAGCTTCACAAATGTATGTTTCAGCTATATTAAAGAAAGATGTGTATTAATGAAGATTTAAACTTTAAAAATGAATTTATAAGAAGAGCCAAAAATAATCCATCTTGAGTTGAAAGCTGAATGGTAAAATAAAAATTGTAGAAATATCAAAAACAGTTGGTAACCTTAAGTATTCCTCCCATGATATGTTTTTTATGATAATAATTCCGTAGTCCTCGGGTATTAGCTGTAGCGGCTCAAAGCACAAGTTGTCCTCACTGACCTTTGTATGAAATGCAGCAAGCAAAACTGACACCGCAAGAATTATTTATGATGAATCTGTTACTTAAAAAGTACCCATGTAGATTAGGGCCTTCTTTAGTAGGATAAAACATTGTTTAAATATAATATTTTAGTTTATTGGTATTATATTATATTATATTATATTATATTATATTATATTATATTATATTATATTATATTATATTATATTATATTATATTATATTATATTATATTATATTATATTATATTATATTATATTATATTATATTATATTATATTATATTATATTATATTATATTAAATTAAAATACCAAAATGTCTTGATTCATGAAAATCTGTAATTGATAAAATGTTTTTGTTATTTTTAGGATAACCCAAATGTATCTGCTGAGAGGTTGAACCAGCCCCTGCCTACAAGAGAGGAACAACTGGCCTCCCTGGAAAATGACCAGTTTGATGTGTTGGTGATAGGAGGAGGAGCCACAGGGGCAGGAGTTGCTTTAGATACTACAAGCAGAGGTATATCTATAGCCTTTTTTTTCCTTTTTTAGAAAAAAAACATCTTGTCTCAGTCAAGGTTTTCCTTTGTTTAAGAACAACAAGAACTGCACTTTACATTCTTGGGCTTATTCATTTAAATTTATTCACGTAAGTTATTAGAAAATTGTTTGAATGATGAAAGTTTTTTGTTAATTAGACAAAAATGGAAATTTGTCCTCTAAAGACTGTTAGAACAGATAATTTTTGTGCATCCATGTGTATGAAAGGGCTATTTTAGCATTGAAAACAGTCAATTCAACTAAAATTGTACTTGATTTTTTTAAAAAAGAAACATTTATTTTAGGTTTGAAGACTGCCCTTGTGGAAAAGTTTGATTTTTCTTCTGGGACAAGCAGTCGCAGTACAAAGTTAATTCATGGAGGAGTGCGTTACCTACAAAAGGCAGTTTTTAATTTGGATTTGGAACAGGTAAGAATATTTAAGTGAAAAAGGTAGAAATACTAAGGAAGTCAGGTTATATATTGAAGTAACAATTAAAGTTTCCAGTTGTGTTTTCAAAATTAATATCCAGCAGGAACTCAAATATTGTAAACAGGTAGAGTTGTGAATAGAAACAGTTATGTGACACATCTCAGATTAAGGGGCTATGATAATGTAAGACTTCTGTGTTTTAGTACCGAATGGTGAAAGAAGCCTTAGCAGAAAGGGCGAACCTCCTAAAGATTGCTCCACATCTCTCGTATCCATTGCCCATTATGTTGCCTATCTACAAGTAAGTTTTCCTATAAAGAAAAACACTTTAATATTGAATATACTAAAATAATACAAAATATAATTGACACATCCAATAGAAATTAAAGTCGATTTTTTAAAGAGATTCATGTTGACTGCTTACCATGACGAGATGCAGACAATTAGACTTTTTCTTAAAAGATAAAAGTCAAATTAAGTAAAGGTTTATCTTTTTATTTCATTTCCATTTATTTGGATAGGTAGGTAGTTTTCTATTTTGATTTAATTATTATCTCCTTTTTGATCAGATGGTGGCTTGTTCCTTACTACTGGGCAGGAATCAAGTGCTATGATTTGGTGGCAGGAAAACAAACACTGAAATCAAGTTATCTGCTTTCAAAGAGTCAAGCCTTAGAACTATTTCCAATGTTGAAGAAGGACCAATTGGTGAATGCTTTGGTGTATTATGATGGTAAGTATTCACTGTTAAATATCCATCCCATCGTTATTATAATGTAGTGATTCTTATGTCAAGCAAAAGTTGAGTCTACTGTTTATGGCATTTCACATGTTATTTTTAGGTATGAATACTGCATATTGCTTAACTTTTAAGCAGAATTTATTACTAGGTAGTTGTAGAGTTATTACTGTAGGTTGATTATAATCAATAACATATTGATATTAATAATTGTGGAATTTATTAATATTTTCAGGTCAGCATAATGATGCCAGAATGAACATTGCCATTGCCCTAACTGCTGCTAGACTTGGGGCCTCCATTGCCAATCATGTTGAGGTGACAGAAATTTTGAAAAGTGAAGATGAAAATGGGAAGCTTGTCTGCAGTGGTGCCAAGATGAAAGACCGCATTACAGGTGACTTGAAATAATACATTTTTATCTCAAAGCTAATCTCACATATAAGTCGAGGATTATGATATTGTATAATTTGAGGGTTACCATCTGAGCAATGTAGATCTGCCATAACATTTTAATATATTGTATAATTTAAGGATTACCATCTGAACAATGTAAATCTGCTGTCACATTTTGTAAGTATGTATGCCATGTACCAGTAGGTGCTACTACATTTTTTTTTTCATTTTTCATAGTGTCTGTTTTTTGCAGGCAAAGAGTTTGAGGTCAAAGCTAAATGTGTGATCAATGCCACTGGGCCATACACAGATTTAATCAGAACTAAAGATGACAAAACAATACCCAAAATTTGCCAGCCCAGTTCAGGAGTTCATGTTGTACTACCAGATTATTACAGGTGTGCTGTATGTGTAGAAATTGTTGTGAAAAGTGCACTGTTCTTATTGATTTTACCTCAGTCGTCAGAAAAAGGGTTTAACATCACAGTTAACAGTCAGTTTATCATATTAAATTAGAGTTCTAAAGAAAGACAATATGCAATTTCTTTTAAAGAAAACCTTTTTAATGATAACAAAATGGCTATGTTTATAAAAGGCAAAAATGCTTCTATTTCTAGCCCAGAGAGAATGGGTCTCCTAGATCCATCTACCAGTGATGGCAGAGTAATTTTCTTTTTACCATGGCAGAAGGCCACTCTGGCAGGTAATTTCTTATAGATCATTTATTTCTCCAGGAAACTTTTTTTCTTTAAAGTTAGTTTTCAGCTGCTGTCCACTATTATAGAAATACAACTTAAAACAGAAAACCTAGATATTTTAGACAGTAAGGGTATGTACCATAGACAAAAAACTTTGAAAATTGTTTCTTGGGCAAATTCATGCTGTATGCTAAATGAATGTATGCTATTTTAGGTACAACTGATAGGAAATGTGAAGTCACAGACAACCCTAGTCCATCAGAAGAAGAGATTGCTTTTATTTTACGTGAAATTCAAAAATATCTTGGCCCAGATGTAGAAGGTATTGAATATTTTTACTCAAGGGATGCAGTAAGGGACTACTGGGTATCAGGACAATTCCCCCTCGGACAATTCCCCCCGGACTATTCCCCCCGGACAATTCCCCCCCGGACAATTCCCCCCCCCAGGACAATCCCCCCCAGACGATTCCCCCCCGAAGAATATATATATTTATATACAAATATAAAGTAAAGAATACAAAGTTCAAAGTTCTTTTCATCCATTTTTGAATATTTCTTAGTGTGATGATGCAAATCAAGGATAGATAATATTAATTCTATTAAACAATTTATTTTCTTGGAGTTCAAGTACATGAAATTTTCGAGATAGAAGTACAGAACATTTTATTAAAAATCTGATCAAAGAATATATATCTCCAGGTAAAGGAGGGGTAAACAGATGATCTCACTCATAAAGGTAGCCCTTTGATGAATTAACTGTTACTTTTAATTGCTTTATTTCTCCCCCCCCCCCCCCTTGATTCAGTAAGTCTTGAATCAAGGTGCAGCTCTAGGTATCCCTGTGACTATTTGTCACTTTTAATTGCTTGACCACCATCCACCACCCACCACACTAAAATATTTATAAAATATCTGTTTACCTGTTCATCTGTTTACCCCACCTTTACCTGAAGGATAGGTGGTTATACTTCCATTATATACTTAATAAATCTTCCTGTATTTGTACTCAATGAAAAGGGAATGCTATCTATCAAAATGGAATTTGCTTGCCAAGAATTAATAAATATTTGCTGAAAATGGGCTATCTTCAAAAGAAATTTTTTTTTTTGGGGGGGGGGGTATTCATTATTGATTTATTGTCAGTTTAGATTTAGGTATAAGCTACATATTTAGCATTGGCACATATCCCAGAAGCCAAGGGCAGTTTATGTCTGTGTGCAGATAGTGTGGAATTAAAAAAAGATTACCAGTCTAACATGAATTTCTTGCAATTTGGCATAAACAAGAAACTTAATTGGATGGCCTGGAAACAAAAATACTAGAATAAACTGAAAATGTAAAGTACATTTCATATGTATAATGTATGGGAAGTGAAGAAATAGCTGCATTGATTGGATTTGAACTGACTTTCAGTGCGCCGTGGTGATGTGCTGTCTGCATGGAGTGGCATTAGACCCTTGGTGTTAGACCCCAATGCTAAAGATACTCAGTCTATTGCCAGGAATCACATTATTGAAGTCAGTGGAACCAACCTCATCACTATTGCAGGTTAGTAGTTGCAGCATTGCTTTGTGATATGAGTAACATTCTTCATTGCTTGAGTTATGTTCATTACTACAGTAACCATACTTATAAGTATTTTGGAAGGCAGTTTGTCCCAGCATATGTTACAAATTGTACTATGAAAATATAATTTTATGATGAACTGCATAATTATATTAGCTCTTTTTTTATGAGTAGAAGTTAATGAATAATGAAAACAAAACAATGAATTAAGCAAAGTAAAAATCATGTGGAACAATCTTCTATTCTGAGAAAACTATTCCAGCATGTTTTACAAATTACAGCATCATAGTATCACATGAAGATCAGAGAGTTGGTAATCTTACAAAAAAAATGTCCACATATATTTGTCCATGTTTTTTAATCTCAGGTGGTAAATGGACAACTTACCGCAGTATGGCAGAGGAGACTGTGGACAAGGCCATAGCTGTCTGCAATCTCAAGCCCAAAAATGGATGTGTGACTAAGGGCCTGTTACTTGATGGTGCTGCTGGCTGGACTCCTACTATGTTTATCAAGCTGGTGCAGGATTTTGGTCTGGAGAATGAGGTATTGTGAAAATAACATAACTCCCCCTCCCTGCCCCCCCCCCCCCCAAAAAAAAGTTTTTTTTTTTCATAAGCTTTATGCAGCACAAAAAAGGTTTGACTCTTTAGAGAAATTTTTCAAAGAAATTTAAAAAATTATTACATTCTGTTATGTATTCAGTTTGTTTTCCTTTCTTTTTCTCTCGCCAACACAGTACACACTGCCGTTTCAGGTTGCTCAACACCTCGCTGACACCTATGGTGATAAAGCTTTCAAAGTAGCTAAGATGTGCTCTCTGACTGGAAAGAGGTGGCCTGTGGTGGGCAAGAGATTGCATGAAGAGTTCCCTTATTTGGAGGCAGAGGTAAATGTGTTCACAGGGCTTGTAAGGGAAAATATTTTGGGATCTCAGGACACAGTTTCTATCTGTACTACAACCATTTTTCATTATATAGACACAGATAGTCTTTGAACATAGAGTCACAAGCATTGAAAATGCTGATCTTGTATCACTTCTACTTTAGGTCCGTTATGCGTGTCGTGAATATGCAAGGACAGCTGTGGATGTGATTGCACGGCGGACAAGACTCTCCTTCCTAAATGTCCATGCCTGTGAGGAGTCCTTGCCAAGAATTGTGGAAATTATGGGAGAAGAGTTGGGTTGGAATGCTGCAAAAAAGAAGGTTGTTTTATGAAATGGATGTATATATATATCCATTTTTGAAATGTTTTATGAAATATATATATATTGAGAGAGATGTTTAGGTTGTTAATTAGAAAGATCCCATTAAGTCATTCATCGATCAAAGTATCAATGCTGTACTCTTAAAAATATAAATTGTCATTTTATATACATAAAAGTAAGTACAAGTGTATTATTGTAATGATTGCCCAAATTAATAGATTTATATTCAATAGATAAAAAAAGGTTTTTCAACAATAAGTTAACATTTTAGGAGGAAATTGAGCATGCCACAGTATTCCTCAGAAAAGAAATGGGTCTACAGCTAGGCAAAGGACTGAGGGATATACCTGTCAACCTTAGCAAGGGAGACATAGATAAATACATGAAGAAGTTCCGTGAGCTAGATGGAGACAACAAGGGCTACATTACAGTTAATGATATCAGGAAACATTTGAAGGTAAATCCATCATTTTTCATTATATTTGTACAAAAAAAGTATTCTCAAGCTACTGTCTATGTGTGACTCTCAGTGTTAAAGCAGGTCATGTTAATTATCATATACAAACTGTATACTTTACATAGGCAAGTCAAAACATTAGTCCTTAAATGTGTCCCATTTCAAACAGAAAGTGTGTCCTATATTTTAAATCAACGTAATAATTTTATTGAATTAGAGTCATGATTTATGTGCTTTTAGTAATTTCTAGTTCAATTTTTTGTTCTTCTCTTGTAGTCTTGATACATTACATCCATTTTTTCAGGGTTATACATCTTTATCTATATAGATCATAATGGATTAAAAATTCAAGACATTTAACAAATGTAAATTGTGTTGATGATTAATTGGATTTCACCCAGATGATTTTTATTTTGATAACTGTCTTTTTCCTGATTTTTTTCCTTAAAACATATATTCCCATGTTTTTGTGATTTAAACAAGTGATTTAGCTTTCCATAATTATTTTTTGTTTCCCAGGAAGAGCCAGATTTATACTTAAGGGTATGATACAGTCTTGATAAGGGTTAACATTGCTTTGTACTGTATTCCTGCCTTGCAACTTGTGCCATTTCTCATTTTGTTCATTCGATGCTGCTACAGAGCACATTAATGGAGGGGTCACCACTCATCATTCAAGAAAAAGTCATCTGCATGAATTAAAAATGTAGATTTACAATTTTTTCACTGAAAAAAAAATTAAACATTCAAGTGTGATGCCTTACAATATTTGTAAATTTTGTTTGTTTGTTTTTTTGCTTTTTTGACTGTTTACAGTCCACTTCTGTTATAAAAATATGCAGACATTACAACGTACAAACTTGACTTTAAAAAAAGCACAAACTTGATTTGATAGCAGGCATCTAGTGAGTGATATGAGTAACTGGGGTTATTATCAGTTTTATTGTCCCCTGAATGTTTGCTTTGAAGCATGAACTAAAGCAGTGTTTTTGTGAGTGAGAGGATTTCGGTCTGATAAGTCTTTTACAACTTTTGCTTTAGATGACCAACAGAGACCATTGGCCTTGATTAAGAGAACTTTACCAAATGGCTGACTCACCTGGAAATCATTTCAAGCTTTACTAAATGGTTGTAACATTACTCATTGTTATTCATTGCTTTGAGTGCTAAATGGGAAATGTTGCTATTTATATTTTAGCTGTATGCACATATATGACCAGACTTTTAAGCTTCAGCTACTGCTTTATATGATATTCACTTTGATATTTGCTTCCTTTAGATATGCATGATCATCATATAGTTATGGACCCCTGTATACAGAAACATCTGTTTGCCACAGACTTCATAGATCATGGTCAAATAGAGCTTTTTTTTCCAATGGGTAGGAGGTGGTTGAAAACAAGCTGTGAATTTTATGTTTGCATGTTGGAAAGGTATCAGATAATTGCAGTATTGGATGAGAACATCTGCACATTTGGTTCTCTAGGGAAGCTTCACTAAAATGTCTTAGACACTGCGTTCCCGTACCTTGATCAGTCTAGTAGCATGGAACGACCCATCTCAGAGGAAGTTTTTGCTAAAGTGCATTCAGCTTAAATGGCACTGATGTCTGGCACGCCTACTGAAGCTATTAGGGGGTAATCAACTATTGTTGAGCAGCTTCAGTAGGCGTGCCAGGCATCTAAGCCACTGAAACTGTATGGAATGTATTGAGAATGCCGTGGGAGATGGCTTGATCCTGCTAGATTGATCTAGGTATGGGACTGGGGTCTTAAATGAAATGCACTGTCCAAGTAATATTGTGTCTCTGCTTATTACGTCCATTTCTTAAGCATTTATAAAATATATTTAGTCTCATACCTCAGCATGATTGGTGACGGAGGCATATACTAAGTATTAGGTTTCACTTTAATTTGCAATAATCTCATTGTAACACATGTTGTTTTATATTCAAAATTATTTTTTTAGTAACTGCTACTCTCATTAGTAATATATTTCTGTTATAAATTAGACATTATAGTAGATAATGAAATACATTATAAATCAAGAAAAACTGAGCGAAAAAATCCATCTGAATTTTTGTTTGTAGGATACTTTTGGTGAAAGAAATCATTGGGAACTTTAGTTTCCACTGTTAAAAAAACATGCACATGCAAATGTTCACATCCAGGAACCACTCAATGAAGTACTCCATGGAAACAATCATGCAAAGCCTAAAACTATAAATACGAATGTTAGACTCGGCAAATTTAGGTTGTAAGACTTGTTTTAAGTGCTTTAATTTTTAGGTGATACATGTAAGATACGCACAAAGCATAAGAATGCTGTCTCCCTCATCACAGTGTTAGCATGTTATCTCTTAACCATAAAGTGATCAATGAGTTTCCACTATGCCACTCATTCTGATATGCTCATATTTTTAGACAGCACAAGTGACATAAAACATGACTTTTACAAATGTTTTTACAATTGGCTTTTCCAAAAAAAGCTTAAATTTATTTACAGCAAATAATGCCCTGGCCTTCCTTTGTTACAAAGTGTTCCTGAAATAGTGATCTTTTAAGATCGAACCCCATTTGAACTATAGCATGTATATTTAAAGTGAGGTCAGTGCAGTTGCTTTTTAACAAGGCAATTGGAAATGCTTATTGAATTTGCTTAGCCTTTGAAGAATTATAAGTTTGTGTGGTTCAGGAGCAGTATGTTTCAGGTGGTATCAGTCACTTGCTTTTTTCCCTTTGTCTGCTGTATGTACCCACTGGAACAGGGAGAGAAAATCTGTTGTGGTATGGTATCTTTCTATTCGCTAATCTAAAAGTAGTACTTAAAAGCTTTGGTGATGTATCAGGCGGTTTCTCTTACTAAACTTACAGAAATCTGGTGAGCGTGTGACTGGTGAACAGCTCCATGATATTCTCAATGACGTGGACCTTGCTAAAAATGGACAAGTTTCCACTGGAGAGTTTTTGCAGGTAGGAGTCAATAGACTGTCTGAAATTCACTATTATTGTTGCAACAGAGCTGCATATGGTTTTTGGATGTGTCTGTAAAATATTGTGCACACATTGGCATTTCTTAAGCATGACAAGAGTATGATTTGCCATTGGAAGTAGTGTTGCATTTGTTTTTTAGAGTGAGGATCAAGTGTGTTCGCATGGAAATATAATTTTCCAATGCAGTGAATAGTACTTTATTGGTAATATCTTAGAAATTGCTTTTTGTAAGTAGTAAAGACATTCATCTCCTCCTTTTACTCAGCATTATTCTTTGAAGTATATTTTAAAACAGTTAAAGTAAAAAAATTCTGGAAAAGTGCCTTACTTTTGCTTTCTTTCAGTTGATGCATGCCATTCAAACTGGAGCTGTGGCACACAGTCGTTTAGCTACTGCCACTGGGTTAGACAAAGAGAGGAAAGCCATCCCTGTCAACCGCAGTGGTGGAGGGGTGTAAAGTAGAACACTGTATGGAGTTCCGAGTCTGTCTTCAAGCATCAACTTTCTGACATGGTTCTGAACCATAGTCATCAGAATCTTAACATTAATTCAAGAGACGTTTTTTTGGAATGAAAAAAAAATGTTTGTTTAATATTGTATAAACGGTTCTCAGCACAACAGTTGTATGAATTACAAATTTCAGAGCACCGCGCCAGGTCAGATATGAAGAATACTCCCAAAGATGAAAATAACCTCAAATTATCTGGATACAGGCTTCCCAATAAAAGATCAACATATTATAATAAGCTTCATTAGAATTCCAGTTGCATTTTTTTTTTTTTTTGATCAGGTGTCTTTCTTACTTTTGAGCACTTCTTAGAAAATTGGTTTATAATTTTTAACTTGAGTTTCTTGTTGTACATCTTTTGTAGGGCAATGTTTTTAATTTTGATATGCTAAGACTTAATTTGACAGCATTTTCTTTCCTAGGTGTAAAAATAAACTGCCATTTAAATTTTTTTATATTTTCTTTCTTTTACACAGTACAACATACAATAAATCCTCCACTGAAAATGAAACGATGCTACTTAAGTCAAATATCAGCCACTGCTGGCATTTCTTTGCCTCTGCTCACACTCCATGTTGTATAGGACGAGTTTTTAATTTAGACTGCGTAACAATTACTTTTATCAAATACAAACTGTCTTAGAAAATGTCTAATGCTACGTCTGGAAGTTGAAAAGCAGAATATATTGTTACATTAACTGAAAAATGTATAGTAATTCTTTTTTCCAATTTCAGAAATTCTTAATCAGTCCTCTGCAAAATGTAGTGTCAAATCCAGTATTATCAAACATGATTGAATGTAATCAAATCCAAAGTTCTGAACATGCTCAAGCCATCACTTCTTTCTTCCTCCTCTTTCTTTGAGTTGAAGTGTTACTGTGGCTCCTTTCATGAAATTGTAATAGGCTAAAGTATTGGAGTCCTTGATGAAAATGCCCTGAAAAAAAGAAAAGAAAAAAATCATAAAAGACTGAATGACCAAAGATTTCATATATTCAGAAATGGGAATGGGTATCAAAAGTAAAATTCAGCCTAGACTTAATGTGTTAAAACACTAGACTATTTAAGGACAATTTAACTTTGTGTTTACGAGATATCTATTCTCATAGAACTTTATATACCTCATACTGTAATTTTTGCTTTCCTGTTGGCATACCCAGTTCTTCCTGTAATTTAGCCTTAATAACAGACACCTAGAAAGAAAAAAAATTAAATCTTCAAATCTCTGATCACAGAACTAATACTTAACATTTGTTGATTTGTATTTGAGGGGCACCATTTCAAGGATGAGTTATGGCAACCTTAAATGCACATATAGTAATTTAGATACAAATATCAGCTATCACATTTTGAAATAAAACTACTTAAAAAGTAATTTACCAGCCATGTCATCAAAAAATACCAAAATTAATGAGCCACAGATAGACAAATTTAAATGAAATAAGACAAATTTTATAGTCGTCAACCGAATAACAATGCCTACAATTCTATGAAATTACAACAATACATATTTTCTAAAATCTCACTCACAGAATCTGTTAAAGGGAAGGAGAAGGTCAAGTATTGTCCAGTCAACTTCCACTCTGGCTTATCTGGAACGTTGGGGATCTGTACCTTGAATAACACTGGACCCTGAAAGTTAAATAGATAAATTTGTAATCTGTCCAAACAAAATGTTGAAAATAAAATTGAAAAATTTGAAATTGAACAGAATATTTACTTTCATTACAAGAATCAGTATTGTATATATAATATTTTAATCATACATTACTGAGTAACTTCAAACTTTGCAGCAAGATAAGCTCATGCTCTGATGAAAATTACAACAAAGACAAGGAAAACAAAAGACTTCGCAATGAAGGTGATACAACTCCCGATTTCACCAGTTCACACACCTTGCCAAATCTTCTGATCCATTCCTGTTCTGGAACTAACTGATCCTCAGTCTTGGCTTTCTTTGATGGTGGCTCCTCATCAGTCTTAGCTGCTGTAGGCTGTGGTGCAGGCTGGACAGGTTGTGGGGGAGGGGGGACAAACGGTCTGGGTGCCATACCCTGAATGGGAGGCATAGGAGGCATTGGCGGCCGCACCACACCTGAGATAGGAGAAAAACAAAGTGTTTTCAGATTAAAACTAAAGGCATGATTACATCACCAGTAAATGTCTGAAATGGCTAAATGTCATTTAAAATTACTAATCAGAAAAATTCAGTGTTTTTTCTACTACAAAATTAAATAGGTTACTGCCAATTTACCACATAACTAGCTTTGCATTTTTATTCAATTAAAAACTATCAGCTAATGGACTAAAAGCACTTTCCCCCATTCCCTTTGCACTTACCCATCATAGGCCTAGGTGGCATCATTGGTGGCCTGGCCTGCATTACCAGCATGCCAGGTTGTTGCATCTGAGGCATATGTGGGGGTACACTGGGCCTAATGGGCTGAGACGGTGGCCTGGGAGGAGGGGCCTGCTGCTTAGGCATAGATATTGTTGTAGTGGGCATAATAGGCTTGGGTAAAGGTGGAGCACCTGCTTTGGGCATTGCTGGACCAATCTTTTCCTTTTCTTCATCTTCACTGTTGGATGAAAGTAAATAGGAGGTAAAAGTTGCAGCAAGATTCACTAAATTCAGAGAATCAATAAATTGTACAGTATTATCTTTCACATACTTGCCTACTGTCATCAATGTCATTATTTTACTGAAACTACAATGTTTTCAAATAACACAGGCAGCTCACATATATCAAAACTTACACAAGACCCTTCACTTTATGAATAACAGCAATCTGTTCTTCAATAGTAATGTTTTCTCTGGCTTTCTGGGTGACTTTTTCCATAGAGGCTGTGTGGCCATCCCAGGTGACTTTTTCACGAGTTCTCTGCTCTTCCTCTCCAATCTATAAAATTTTTAATATTTTCAAATACCAATAACATGTACACATAACACATCATGTATAACACAACAAGTATAGCACATAATGGATAAATCAGTTGTTCATAGAATTTACCTTACAATGATAAAATCACAGATAAAATAATAATTAAACATTTATCATATTCTATTCAATTTCAAATACTTAACATGTGGAAAACACTTGCCACTGAAGAGTAAAAGTTATGATAAAGTTATGATAAAGATACAATATGTACCTTTTTACCAATTTGTGTCTCTTCTGCACCTGAACCAAAAATATCAGTTCTTCTTTCAGCCAACTGTTTCAGACTGCTGTCAATGGCAGATCCTGGTGCATAAACCTCCTCTTGCTCTTTTCTTTCTGCAATGGTACGTTCCTGTTGCTCTCTCCATTTGGGGTCTAACAACCCTGTTAAAAACAACACATTCATATATTCACATATACTGTACATTGATTTATCTTGAAAAAGGTTATCACAACACGAGGGTGTAGGCTTCAAGTTGGTTAAAATTACTTGCAAAGATAGCTTCTAAAAATCAAATTCATCACATAACAAGTAAATACATGGCATTCATTGCAATTTGTTCTACTGAAAGTTAGGAGCTAGGTTTCAGTTTGACCCAGAAAAAACATTTCAAAGGCTGCAGAGCTGCAGAAAATTAGCACTCACTGACAAGGTAAAGGGATGCAAAAGAAGACAAATGAAGTCTTAAAACAAGTTAAATCCTAGAAACACTGTACAAGAAAGAAAGAGATCAATTTTTACTATGCAGTTGAACACCTCACCTATCCTCATGTGCTCTTGCACCTTGTTGGCTGGGATCTTCTCTCCTGTGATGGGGGATATCAAGTACTGGTCTGAGGGTGGCTCATTGCTTGAAACTTGTTTAGCAGCTGAAATAAATCACCAAAGACTTATTTTTATTATTATTGATCATTTAAATAAAGCATTTACATTTTTTTGGATCATTATTAGAAGCAAGTGTATTATTGGAGCTTAATTTCAATTTCATAATTTGTACTTTTTGTGTGGAGTCAAAGTAAGTGTCTATATATATTCCAGTCACTAGTCTGTGTCTATGTTGTCACCGTAGTTGTTGCAGTCCATCCTGTGCTCACTCTAGTCATTATTTTTGATTAGCAAAAGTTGCTAAAGGGTACAAATTTCTATTAGCATTTTCTTATTTCAATTAGCAAAATTTGAAAGTCGAAAAATGCCACCACTCATCAGTTTTTATGCTAACATACATAAAGGAAGACACTGGACAGCATAAAAACGTAAAATTAAATTATAAAACAGACTAAATGTGTAAGTTAATGTAAATAATATTTTAAGAAAAGCTTATGCATGCCTTAACAATATTAGGTAGAAACCAAGATCCAAGTTTATGCTGTTGTACCCAACAGGTCTTAATAACAGTCAAAGAAAGACAGAGTTCATATGTCACTTTATTACCAGGTTACGTCAGCATATGCATTATATAATTATTAAACAAAAACAACAATTTAAAACCAACATTTTGCACTTTTTCATTTCAACATATTGCATGTAATCTGAAAAAAAAAATACAGAAAATGTACAGAGCTTCAGGGTGATGGGAGTTAAATGTCACATCTTGAAGATGCCAGTGTTTGAAAAGTAAAATATAATAATAAATAAAAGGATAACAACAAAAATATTCCAATACAGCTGCATTCAAACTTTAAATCTAGCTGTATTAACATGATATGAATAATCCCATTGAGTTGGAGGATAATAAGGCACTGTAATTCATCTATAGCATAAATGTTGACATTACACAAAAATGATTTCAATTTCTAATGTGCATCTACTAGTAGACTCTATGTTGGTAATTGTCACAAGGTCATCAGGTAAATCTAGAAGTGGCCCACCTACTGGTTCATAGTATTGAGAAGGCTGCTCTGTTGGAGGTATTCTAGTAGCTGTGGTGAAAAATGATTCTATTCTGGACTGCTTATTAGAAGAAGCAATCCTTTTCTGTGACTGCCCTTGAAAAACTTACTACTTGATGATAATGAAAAATGGTCAATCTTCAAATTCATCACGATCACAAATATAACGGCAACTGAAACTGCAAAATGAATATAAATTGTACAAAATTGTACACATGGCTTTATTAACTTTCCAATCATGATAATATTTCATCGATTTAATCATTATGTTCCCCACACAAAAATAAATCAAGAACGCACTTATGTCGCTAAACATTGCGCAACGCATCGATCGTCACGTGGTCGTGTAAGCATTTTTAGAAGAAAAATATTCTTTTTTTCTTTGGGTACAAAAAACTGTTTAAGAAAAATAAATTTACCAAAATTCTCATTAATACAAGATTATACGACAAATAGTTACCCGAAGACAGAAACTGATTAGAAGACAGAATACGTGGACCATTAAAAACCTTTCACTGTTGAAAGTAACTAACTTACAGCAAAATAAGCTCCAACTACTGAAAAGTTATTCATTCACTTTTTATTTTACATCCCAAAGCTTAAATTTTGTATGTAATACAATTTTGTTTACATATCAGATAAAAAATCATCTTACCTTTTCGAAAATCTTTGAAAGCATTGCCACATCGTTCTCCACAGATCATATTTTGAGCGCCATGTGCTGACTGCTAGTGCGGGCTATCCCGCACTGAAAATTTGGTTGCCTAATCCCGTCAGTCATATGGATGTGGAATGATTATTATACATACATTTATTTGTTTATTATTTTCTAAATCGTTTTAATTTTATTTTCACACCTACAAGGCTAGAATGTACATCACACGACTCGGAGCACCGTCTCTGAATTGTTGCCTCGTTTTCAATTAGTGTCTGCACGAAACGGAGGCATCTATATATTCACTTTCATTTGGACGTACATGGTAGGCAACGATGTAAGCGTGGTGACTTCTATTTTTTAATGCAAAACCAAAGCAAACGCACTGAAAGGTGATTAACATTTTATTGTATTAACAGTTTCGCAAAATTTGCGAACGAGTAACATTTTGTTTTCGCATTTCTGAAATGCAATTCGCTATAGCGAACTTTGCGAGCGTCTAGCGTGAGCCTAGCCATCAGATACTGATTTGCTGCATGACTACTTAATCTTGTCTGTTTTACTTAAAATAGTTTTTTTTTTGGCACAGTTGCAGGTCATGTTAAAACCATCATAACCTAATTTATTTTTATTTTGTATGTATTTATGGGATACTTTCACTATAACTACTGTAATACGTATTTCTCTTAAAAGTTCTTGGGAGGGGTGGGGTAAAATTCTACAATTAGCAGAGTAAGATCTTCTATTTTCAAGAACCAATTCTCAATTAACAGCTCATTTAAATATTTTCTAACTTCAAGTCATTAATATTTTATAAGTTGTGAAACATATTTCTTGTGTGCCTCAGTAAAACCTACCTTTAGGATTATAATCCCTCCTGACAATGACCTGGTCAGGGGTGGGTGGCAGTGGGGGTGGCTGGGGCTTGTCACTGGGGGGCTGGGGTGGGAGAGGAGGCTTCTCCTGCACAGGTTTCGGTGGTCTGGGCGTCTCACCCTCTTCATCTGATTCTTCTTCCATATCCTGCCAAAAGAGAACATTTTTATTTCTTCCAATATGGGTACAGGTTATACTCTCTTTATGAATTAGTGTGGCTAATTATTATTATTATTACAAAACTATTTTTGCTTCTGGGCCTGAAACCAAACAGCAATCTTAGACAGCCATGATACAATCAATGCGGCAGAATTCTAGCAAGGGCAAAAACACAGAAACCATGTCATTATCTCAAGAATAAATGAACACGTTTTTCTACTTACCTGAACTTGTCTGTTGTCCTCTTGTAAAGGCCTTCCCTCATCATCTTCTTCTTCATCATCTTCATGTTCTTCATCTGAGAGTTCCATTTCAGCTTCTGTAGTTTCACCCTGTATATGAATTTATATTCCCAATAAAACCCTTTTCATAAAAACTGGGTCTGAGAGTATCCATACCTTTTCTTTTTCTACATATAAAAATCATAATGTTTAAAAAAGAAAGAAGAAGAAAAAGAACACTTCAGTATCTTTTGACAATTATCATAAAAGCCTATTTAATTCCAACATTCCAACACCTGCTGCATCATTCATCTTTTCCAGATTTAAAATGGGCTTTTCCAAAAATATATTAACAATAAAAATAAATGACTTACCGGCCCAACTACAACTCTCTCTTGGGCTAGCATTCTAGCTCCAACCTCTTCAGGAGTGGTTGGGGGAGGGAAGTTACCTATAAGATACAAGCAGAATTCCAGTGTTATATAAATTACAATACCTTAACATTTCACAGGAACAAGTCAACTAAGGGGGGATAAATTAGTGTTATATTTTTTCTGTTTATTATCTTTTTCTCTTTTTTTTTTTCACCATGAATTTGTTTAAATTACTTTCCTTTTTTACCATAATTTACCTTGCTCATGATGCTGAAAGTCTACCGTCTCTACAACAACAAAATCATGCCAGTCCACTTGAGCATAAGCAACTGAAAGAAAACATACAAGTTACTGGTTAAACTTTTAAACATAATAAGCCATTTTAAATTGATTGTAAGCATTTCTTATATCACAGTTGTTATAGGAATAGGTAATCAATATCAATGATAAAACAAGATTACCTTTTTAGGAAGAAGGGTTTATCTTGATGTCCAATTAAACTAAATATACTTGCATTCAGTAAAAAAAGCAAAACCTCAACATTGTGGGTTGTGTACCAACCTCTTTCCTTTTCCAAAGCCTCTTCTTCTTTCCTTTTTTCTCTTTCTTGGAATTTCTGCCACTCTACTCGATATTTTACTTGGTCTAAGACCTATAAAGATAAAGATCAAATCTATACAGCTACACCAAACTTTTTAAAAGATTAACTGGTGAAATAACAGATTCCACTGCTGTATAATTAAAAAAAACCTGACCATAGTTCCATCAAAGTCAGTCTGAACTTTAAGAACAAAATTACCCTGTGACTTTAATCGAGAGCAAGTCTGCAGTAGTCAATATCAATGAGGTTACTGGGTAAGACTGACCAAATTTTAATTTTTAGTGAAAATTGGCCATGGATAAACAAGTTGATGTCCTATTAAATGGGCAGTGCCTCAGCCTAAAGACTACTTTAAAGTGCCTTGAAAACATGCCAAAACTTACCACTTTAGGATTATCCGATTCCCTCTTAAGGTTGTTAAGCAGGTCTTTTGGTGGAATTAATATCTGCGGAATAGAAAATATCTTATTATCATGATCCAATCTTAAATCTTAGCAACAAATACATCAAGCATATCAAATATTTACTATCATCCACAAAAAATGCTCAAATTTACAAAAACTGTCAGAAAAATGTGTAAAAAATTACTTCATAATGACTTTTTAAGACAAATTTAATACATTTAATAGTTATGACAATACCTTAGTATATTGTTCCACTAATTTTGTGAAGTAATTGAACAAACTATGTTGGGGCCTGAGGAAATCAAACTGATAATTCCTTTGTTCTCTGTTCATGAGGTTGGTAAGGAACTGACGCCCATTCCTGGCCACAAACTGTGCTGTTAACTTCACAACATCCCTGAAAATAGAAAATATTAACCACATTTGCTGTTTCTACAACTGCAAAATTGTGTGTGTGCACTGTGTGTGCATATCTATGTACACATACACATCCAAAATCTTATCTTTAATAAATAACGTAAAGTAAAACTGAGACGTCAGGCAGCAAACCTACACCTGAAGACAGACAGTGTAAAAGTTGATCAATTCCAAAGACTGAGTGCTCACACAAGAGTTCAGAATAAAACTTTCATTTATTTGTAATATTTGTAATATTACTTACAAATCAAAGGCTGAAATAGAGGGTGGATCAGCAATGAATTCAAACTCTGGGGGTGGTTCTTTAGGCACAATTTCCTGGACGACTGGTGCTTTGACCACTTCCTGTTGTTTAACTGGCAGGCCGAGACCCAAACTGGCCTTGGGAGCAGCTGGTTCTTGACCTGCAAAAACAATTGTTTTAATCTTAAAATGTAACATTTTTCAGTGAATTGTTTTTTTTTACAAAAGAATTTATTTTATTTAGCATAAGAACAAAACACATTTTGGTAATGATGCAAAACATTCAATCAGTATAAACATGGAAGGTACAATAATACAAATTATTCCCTTACCTCTCCCTTCCTTAAACTCTTTGACTTTGTGTTGGTAATATGCATGGTAGGGATCAGTCGGGTTCAAAAAATTGAACTTTGGGTTGTTGATCTCATTCTGCCTAATCCTTGTCTCAAACTCTGGTCCATTCCTTGCCACGAAGCTAGCAGTTTTGTCAACAATATCTTATTGGTCATTAAGAGAGAACAATGACAAGATGAAATTATCAATGATATAAGTGGTCTATTCAATAGTGTATATAATTCAGAATGAGTGCATATATATTAATGTACTTAGTAGTTACAATAATTAGATCTTTTACTTAAAATTAGCAAGAGCAAGATACAAGTAAAATACAACCAATCAGTTTCACAAAGGTATAATTCAAGTGTTGAACAGTTTCATTGGCAAGAGACATACTGATTAGAGCTTTTCTATGAAGACCGCGCAATGCTTTGGATATTATTCAAAACTAGTGACAGTAATTGTAAAACAGTACCAATATGTCCATGCGTACATTATTCGTAAAGAATCAGACCAACTTTGTTTGTATCAACTTCAAGTTCAAGGATACTTCTAACCTCGGGTGGTGGATAAATTATACCAACAATAGGCTTTCCACTCAACCCAGGGGCATCTTTCTGTTCTTCTGAATCTACTTCCACTGGTACCGGCTGCTGTACCTCGATTGATGGCATTTTTGATTAAGAAATGTTCAAGAAATCATGCAAGATAAACGAAAACGTATCGCCAGCATGCAGCCAATATGGCGACCAGTTACAGGCGGTAAGTTTTCCATGTACCCAATCATGAAAATAACGCTCATCTCCTTTTAGCAGCCTCGTTTTCAATATAACATCGCGTTAGAAGAAGGTAGAACTCCACCTTGTGTGCAACCGAATAGAGAAAGATCATTCATCATTACAAATTTATCAGACAAAACCACTTACATACAAAACGGGCTAATTAAATGAAAAGCAATGTACGCATTAATGCAGCGACATCAATATTTTTAATAAAATCATGTTTGACTGTCACCTTCATTGGTTTATGAGCCTTGTAAATAAACATAAAGACCACAGAAAATGATTTAAAAATACCAGACAATTCCAAATATTGTAACAAAAATGGGTTAAGTGTTTGTTGATGAATTTAATAAACCATAAAATAATGTAAGCTTTTTTCTTTTACTATCTTTTTTCATCTTGAGTCTCACAGGTAGAGTGGATACTTGATCTACGATATCATCACGTCTGTATATTATTGGTGTACTGTTGTTACAGGCATTTTGTACAGCTAGTAATTAGGCAAACAAAAAGAAGTAAAACACTTAGGCCTTATTTACACATTGATTATATTATTTATATATAAAATAAATAAACAAATATACTGTCTGTAAGTTTAAATAACTTCTCTTGATGATACTCTAAAAATGACATTTCTCAATTTAAACTATTATTTTATATGTACATTTATTAGCATCCTAATTTACAGTGTTAAATATGTGCATGCAGCATGAAAACCTATTGAAATGGAAATATTACTTTTTACAGTACATGTAAGTTCTAGCTTAGCAATAATTACTTTAAATGCATATCTCAATAATAATTAAGTTATATATATCTAAATTTTCTTTTTAGTATTTTATGCACAACAAAAAGAAACTCCGGATTCACTTAGATTTTCATTGAGCCACCTGCACAGCTAAGCAATATCCTTGATTTTCCATTAAACATTTTTGTGCCTAAAAAATGGTACAAGCTCCATGTCTCAGTAGATAATAAACAAAGATATTCACATCAGTAAAAAGTCACTGTAAAAAACACAGTTTTCATGGAATTTAGAAACATTTTCGATGGACAATGGATGGTCCACATTCATCATATTCTTGTTTGCTTATCCACATCTGTTGGAAAGTGGACAGAGAACCAAGGATTGAGCCACCAATCCAGACAGAGTATTTCCTCTCTGGGGGAGCAATCACTCGGACCTTCATTGAACTTGGGGCCAGGGCTATCAACTCCTTGTGTACCCTGTCAGCAATACCTGGAAGAATACAATGAAATGTTAAATATCTTAAAATAATACTTTTGAAATAAAATTCCACCCAATTTGAGAAAATAAAATTTTTATCATCTAAATCTTGTTATCTTCGATTCAAAATATACCAATATTTGGAAATGTTATTAATTGACCATGGAAAAAACTGACAATTACAATGAATACTGCCAATATTGGATTCAGGAAGGAACTAAATTAAGGATGCAAGAATGTCAGTTATACCTGGATACATGGTGGTTCCACCAGAAAGGACTGTGTTGAGGTACAATTCTTTGCGAATGTCCATATCACAATTCATAATAGAATTGTAGATATGCTCATGCATTCCACAATCTTCCATCCCTATAAAGGCAAAAATAAAAGTCCACAATAAACAACACAAGAAGAGCTTCATCATATAAACTGTCCAACAATATTATAATTACTTATTAAGCCTATTGCTAATTAGCCTCTCAACTAATTTGCTTAGAGGCACTCATACATGAATGTACAACTCAAAAACACATAAAGATATATAAATGTTGAGGTGAAGTCTTCATTTTTTCCTGTAAAATGAAAATGACTGTTCACTCACCAATGAAAGAAGGCTGAAACAGTGCCTCTGGACACCTAAATCTTTCATTTCCAATGGTTAAAACCTGACCATCAGGCAGCTCGTAGCTTTTCTCAACAGCAGAAGAACCAGATGCAGTGATCATTTCTTGCTCAAAGTCTAGAGCAATGTAGCACAACTTTTCTTTGACGTCTCTCACAATCTCCAATTCAGCTACAGATAAATGAAGGTACAGCTGTAAGTATAACTCACTTTTTTCTGAATATAAAGATGTCTGTTATATGAAATAGTCAAAATAAATACTCTTTTAGAAAGAAAAAAACTACTCTGGCACAGTAGTCCAAATGCTTGTTAACATTTCAGATTACATTTCATGCTATGCTTGATTCTTTTTTGTTTCTTATTTGTTCCTTTCTTAACTGTTTAAGGTTCAAAAGAGCAAAAAATGTCCAAATTTACAAACCTGTGGTAGTGAAAGAGTAACCTCTCTCGTGCAATATCTTTGTCAAATAGTGGGTCAAGTCTCTGCCAGCAAGATCCACTCTTTTGATTGCGTGTGGGAGAGCATACCCTGAAAAAAAAAAAGAATAATATTTGTAAAATTAATCTGTTTAATCAAGTGAAATGTACTTGGGTATATGATGTCTCAAGAGATGATAAATGCACATGAAAACTCAATTCACAAGTAGGTATAAATCCAAAACCTGGTGCTCCAATTTATAGTCGATATCTTGTCTGCTACTTGAAACACAAGAAAAAATTTAAATGTACAACTACAGAATAAGCATTTAAACTAGGCTTTTAATGAATGCTCAAGAATTACTTTTGGAAAGAATAAAAATGTGTATTTACAAAATGACACACCTTCATAAATAGGCACAACATGTGAGACTCCATCTCCAGAGTCCATCACAATCCCAGTGGTCCTTCCAGCAGAATACAATGACATTACAGCTTGAATGGCCACATAGAAGGCAGGGGTGTTGAAAGTTTCGAACAAAATCTGGGTCATTTTCTCCCTGAAAATACATACAGAATTTTTATAATTTTGTTTTCACAAGGTGTAAAATAATACCAATTAAATGCAAGTAAGAAACAAAAATGATTATCTATCAACTATTTTTAGATGAAAATCCATCACTTTTTCCATAAAAATCACTGAACAAAACACTTTTTACTTGGTTATTATATCAGTGAACAAATAATAATCTTAATAAAATATATCCCAAAACTGCACCTCAATTAAAGATGATTCTTATATCACATTTTTTTCTCCACTTCACTAGGAAATGTGTTATGTTATCCCGATTAACAGCAAATCTACAGGTACATTAAATGATCTGTTCCACTAAAAATTTTATGTACTGTCAAACAGTGTTTCCCCTCACTGCTTTTATCTACCTATTTGCTTTTGGGTTCATGGGGGCTTCAGTCATCAAAACTGGGTGCTCCTCTGGTGCCACTCTGAGTTCATTGTAAAATGTATGGTGCCATACTTTCTCCATGTCATCCCAGTTGGTAACAATGCCATGTTCTATGGGATATTTCAATGTGAGGATTCCCCTTTTGCTCTGGGCTTCATCACCTATATAGGAATCCTTGTTGCCCATACCAGCCATTTGTATCTGATTTAAAAAGATACAATTATTGGCTTATTTTTCTATTATTTTTTTTACTCAATCATTGTTTCTACTATTTTTTATATATTCATCAAGTTACAGTTTTTATCAGTGTTTCTAGGTTGGGAAAAAGCAACAGAATTAAATATTTGAGCATTTATCTATTAAACTGATTTCAAATTTAAAAAAATGCAAATCAAGTTTACTTTCAAATGACTTGCATAACAACAAATGTCTCGTTTTGTTTGTTTTTTACAAAATGAATATAATTGCAACATTGACTAAAAATTGTTGAACATGATGTTATCTTTATTTCTCATTTTTTATTTAAATTTATGTTGTGGGTAAATTTCAAAATATCTTTGGTGGAACTTTCCTAACTAGACATGCTGAAAATCAGAAATATAACTGACCTGATATCTTGGCCTGCCAACAATGGCTGGGAAAACTGCTCTTGGGGCATCATCTCCTGCAAATCCTGCTTTACACATGCCAGAGCCATTGTCAACAACCACTGCAGCAATTTCTTCATAAGTAGTCATAACTGAATAATCTCTTGTCAAACCTGAAATGGAAGATATTTCATAAGTATATAGCTCTGGACAAAGTGTGAAAAAACATTCTTTAAACTTCTCTTCTTGATATAAAATCCATCAAATGTCACATTTTTTCCTTGAACAAGTGCAGTAAATTTACGTGTAATATTAAAAATTCTTCTCATCAAAATCATAAAAACAGATTCAGCCTGTTGATTTTCTACCTTGGATATAGGCTGCTCCAACTGCTAGATTGGTTAACACATACAATAATATTTTTATGGTCTGTTGTCAATTTGCAGCGCTTTTATACCCGATAACGAACAGTCGTGCACAAAAATAAAATGTCCACTCACATGAGCCATTTCCATATAGGGAAAATTATTTTCCATATACGAGTAAAATTCTTGGAACCAGCTCCCGTTTCTGCAGTCATATCCATTTTTGGAGAAAAGAGCCTATTTGCTGAAATGAGTCAAACAGCCAATCAGCACAAAGATTACATCAACCACCTTGCTAAATCTTAAATAGATGCTGATGCTATGCTAGCTACACACCAACAAAATAACAAGTCGGTTTGACCATCTTATGATAACCAATGGCTAGTAAATTTGTTTCACCAAGTTTATCATTGATTTGTACATATCACTGCCTTTTAAGGTAACATGAAGTGTGTATAAGCATGCTGAACGTTATATATATTTCAGCTATTGATCTAAACAATGAACAACCTCCTTGGGCAGATATCCATATATGGTAACACCAAAGTGTCAATGCATGTGTTAAATGAAATAACCAATTAAAGAAATGATACCATGTCAGTTAACTCATATGTTTACTAGATTGATATGACAAAATATGGTGAAAGGAATTAAGCTACCCGAGGTTGTTATTTGTGAATAGCTTTGTGTAGTCTTATACATCTCTGACTGTGTCTCTGTCATGTAAATGAACAGTATGTGTACTCTCACAAATTCAGTTATTGAATCATGGATGAATGTTTAAAAACAGAAAAGCTTACAATTGCTCATCACATAAGAACACATGAAAAAAAAAATACAATAAAAATGAAGACTGAAAATTCTGAAATCAGGCAAAACCTCAAAAACTTTCATCCATGTCGAATGCATACTACTAGTACATGTAGCACAAGTACTGTATACAGCAGGGTATATCACTATAATCAGTGACATTCATCAATTTTTAAGAACGCTGCAAACGATGCATTTGTCTTTTCAGCATTTTAAAATTTTATTTATCACCTCATTTTTTAGCATTTCTACTGTTATTGTGCCGTGTTTATGGCGGTTTATCCAAGCTTTTATAATGGTAGTTTAAGAATAGAAAATACAAATTCCATATGAAAAAGTAGAATATACCGGTAGGTAATCATATTCAGATCAAGCACCGTGACTGACAATCACAGATACATTCGTCCTTGCACAGCAGTAAATCTAACGTATTTTCAGTTACACTTGTGAAAATGTCATACAGTATTTCTTGTCACAAAATGTTTGAAGATCAACAAAAAGGTTCAGTAATATACCTTACAAAATGCAGACATAAAACCACTTGTTCAGCAAATTAATCACTCACATGGACTAGTCAAAATCTATAGTTAATGCTGACTCACAAAGTGACAGAAACACAAACACAGCCAGGTAAGTAAAGGTAAATCAATGAAACGACCTTGACATACAAATAGCCCTCATTGCATTAGTAGAGACACCGAACAATGTTGGTTGCGAGCTAGCACATTTTCAACCTGTAGCGCTACCACAATCTCAACCGGGTACAACACTAAAACCAGTGACAAGATAATTGACTAAAATTATTTTTCAAATAGGGCTGAAGGCTTTTTCCAAAATGTAATGAATAAATGATAGACATACGTGGTTGGTGACCTATCACAAGTGACAAACCATGTGTCCTACTAGAAAGCAAGTATACCTACCGTAAAATACTGCCATGTATCTGATGATGCATTTTAGGATGACATATGAACGCATTTACAACACGTAACTTTTGTTTGTGCAGAGTTGCATAGATAAGCGCAATGGCTTAAAAAACTACCAAAGCTATCTGTGAAACTACTTACACTTCTTTAAATAATTTAGAATAATATTTTCTTTTTTCTTTTTATTGGAGAAGTAAAAAGTAAGACACATAGATCTATGCCCGGTATGCAACCTGTTTCAAAGCCACGCCAAATGCACTGATCGCTTGAACCACTTCAACAAATCAAACGTTACGGTATGTGAAACCAACAAAAATGAACCAGAATGGCAAACGGTCGGCTGCTCAATGTCTGCGTTTTGTTTTAAAATTAAATTTACTGTTGCCTTCTGCTTCAGTCTTAAAACAAAAATAATTCTTGGTCAAAATTTATCTTGCGGGCATTTAGGTTTGCGCGTTGCTAAACACCACAACCCTGAGTTTATGAGTTCTAATGGCGACTCTCCTTAACATAAACAATGGTGGCCGCAATATAAACTGATGGAAAAAAGGTCACCACAAACACTCCCGTCTTCAGGGTGCCTTGCCGGTTAGAATTATCTGAGTGCTGATTGACCTTACATGCACTCGACAGCACCCAGACTGCTCAAGGTGTTAATACAAACATTGAGAGAATAAAGTTTTAGCGCTACGATCACGATCAAGATTTTAAAAAAGCTCGCAGCAGAAGAGAAGGTGTATGTCTGTTCATAAAAGTTGGCTTTTGAATGTTTTTATATAACCCGCTGAAGAGACAACTCTACAGTTCAGTCAAACCCAAATCCCCAGTAACGACCAATCTATTCCCATTTGTTTCTTTTATTTTGGTTCACGAAGTGTGCTGGCTTGCGTTTTTGACGTCATGCCTCAAATTGGTGCAGAACCATCCCACCCATCCAGCACGGTCGATATATACTGTGGCAAAGTAACATCAACAACGGGCACTGAATTTATAAGTAAGAAACCACTGGGTGAACGGGAAATTCAATTGAGGATTTCTACCCATAAGTGAAGAAAGTACACAGAAGGTATCAAAGTAGTGGGGCTATTTACACGGTAAACACAGCGAAGAATCCTGGGGTTGCCTTCTAGCGTACTTGGATCCACGTGTTGCAGACGTGTGTTTGGCGGTACGCGCTACTTTGACCGGTCGTAATTTGCCTCTGCCTGTGTCAAAATGTTCTGCAAGACATTAACAGCCACTGTGACATGGTGCAGACTTTACAGACTACAGCTTCACTCGGAAACTTTATAATCGCGTTAGCTTAACTAAGTTTCTCCAAGCTTTCGTAGACGTACAGTGTCCAGACTTAATCAGTGACACACGGATGTAATCTTTTAATTAAAGCACTGGAAGAACTCAGTGTTTCTGCTGGAAGGCACCGACGACATACAAGGATATTCCTCAGGATTTACGAAACACATCGACTTTGAAACAACCTGCTTTCTTTCTTTCTTTGCGCCATTTCTCAGGACTTTGAAACTCTTTCCTCTACAATGTCGGATATATTATTGTTTTTGATAACAATTTTCAACTTGTGGCTGGTGACGATGGCAAATAAGTGAGTACACATCAGATGTGATAAAGTCTAAGCCTATATTTGAATATATAGAATTTTGGGGACTATCAGATTTATTGTGGCGAATCAGAACCGCCTGGGACCAATTTATCATAAACATATAATCTTTTAAAGACCTGCAGTCAGCTGTTTCTTAAGCTACCGTACCTCTAGCTGCGGTCGGAAATAAATCAGCAGAATGGTTTCGCTGAGTTCCTATAAGTGCGAAATTCCATGTTTTTCTAACGTACCCTACCGCGTCACCATTGTACAGACGACAGTTCTGATCATTTTTGCGTTGAAAAGACACAGTGCACAACTAGGATCAGTTTCAAATTACTGACGAATTACAAACAGCAGTTGTTTTCGAATGCTATTTTAGGCAGCACAACATTTAGAGTTATTTGTGGCATTTATGACAACCCAGACATGGTATCAAAAAGTTAATTTAGATGTAGATTTAGCTTTCAGTTTTTCAGGAAATACGTTTAGCAAAGTAAAGGGACAATAAGCAAATATCTTAATGTTACGTGCCATGAAGATTAGTGTGAAAGGATGAAGTCCTTAACTTCACTCCTTTTTGTGTTGTGGAATTTTAAGTACAGGCTCTATATTTACGAATATAACAGAAGTTCCCTGACGAAAAAGCCGCGGCAGACCTCTAAAACGCACAATACATGCTTTCCCCAGCTTGGTTCGGTGTTTTGGTTATCGTCACTATGTAGCAAGCATAACACGATGTCAACATATTCGATTTTCTCGCCGTGCCCTGTCTATCACTCCAAGGCCATACTGGTCTTTTTTATTTTACATTTCCTGGCTGTTTACGAATCAAGCACATTGATTACTTGGCAAGGCAACTAATCGCCTAGCACTTATTTAATGGTCCCACAGTAAACCCTATGTTCTAAATATACTCCTGACTATAGTTTTTAGAAAGGTCGTTACCGATGGATCTAATTGTTTATTCACCGATGTTTGAAAACCTCAAGTCATCGTGGAGATTTAAACAGCTACTGACGGTTGAACTGATTCGAGTTCATTTACTCGGCAGTACTCACTGGATCAAGTTCACTAACATATTTGGTCCCCATCTTATGTTTCATTATTAATTCTATTTTCGTGTTTTAACGCGAATGTGGTGCCGGTTGGCTGAAAGAAAAGTAGCAGCGTTTTTGCGGAATTTTGGTTTATCTAATAGTGTTTTGATTCATCCGGTAAAATGATTGGAGGTCATCAAAATTCTACTGCGAATACTTCAGTGAAGACCTTGGCTGCCAATTCATTTCATTTTAGGTATTCTACTAAATTTTTGACCATCAATTATCTTTGTTTGCAATTGCAATATCCAATATAAGCAATAGATTTCCTATTTATTCTAGTGTTATACAACTCTGATGGAAAGTTGAAGTAATTTCCCCGGAAATGTGCTCTCTATAGACCCTGTTTAACGTTGACTCAAAATGGTGCAACCTTTGGAAAATCTTTCGTAGACATGACATGGTATAGAAAGGTTAATTATTCTAAACCAAAGGAAGGTGTTATGGACCATTTTTCTGCCAAGACAAACAGGTTTTTGTAGGACACCCAAGTTTTACACGCGTTTGGTAAATTCAATATTTTTGATAACAGCAGTGAGCTGAGCCGTTCATGTTCTTGCCACATAAATCGTCTTAAAATATTACTTTCCACTGTTGCCCCCCCCCCCCCCCCCGCAAAAACGCGACTTTCTGCATTTTGTAACCTTCGACAGGTGTTACACTAAAGGCTCTGGTTATCTATGTTTAGATATAATAAAATATAATATCTGGGTTATATGAAAAGAAAGACTTCTCTGTGTGCTATTTGAAAATCAATTTTGCAAGTTTGAGCCTCCTATAATTTCTACGAAAAAATCTCATAGCATATACCACGATTCTTAAAATTAAAAAGAAGTTTATTAGAAAAGAACGCGATACAAGCTAAAAAAAATTATAATTCAGTCATTTACGTCTCTCCTGTAACAATGAAAAAAATGCAATTTTTGAGAGATACTTGCGCTTTATTTTTCAAGTAGGCTACGGGTGACTGGCCGCTACTAAATATCTTCGATTTCAAAGAGGAGCTCAGTAAAAGTAATATATTTAAGTTCTCGTGATTCTTTCTCTGACATTATTACCAAGTAACATTATTTGAATTCTATACCAATTATTTCTCTGCTTAGCGGGTACCTGGTTACATGCCCCAGTGTATTCAGGCCAGCTGTTGAGGAAGTGGTGAGTGTGACCATTCTCCAGCCCACAGAACCTATTCAAATACTGGCCAAACTGTACACAGAAGACGGCAAACTACTCGCTAAAGCTTCGGAAGAAATTATGGGTACGTTGATTTTACTAATTTCTTTTATTTGGATAATCTATTTCCTTTTGGTTTTACTCATTTTAGGTTTATGGGTGACGGGGGTGGTAGCAGCATTGACATAATAACATCGTAATTTTGTCCATGTTTCTACTGAAACTTCTGAAAAGCTTTCTTTCAATAAAATTTTAGAAAAACAAGAAAAAAATCAAACGCTTTTTTCTTTCGAACTACTGATTGGATTAACCTACTTGTACTTTTAACTCAATTTGGAAAAGAGAGTGCTTCCTGATCGACGTAACCTACCATTCAATTCAAATCTGAATGCAGGCACGAAAATAGTAACCTGAAGTACCAAAACGCTTGATCGTTCCCCGTTTTCTCAAACGACTTTAAACGTTAGACCAATTTTGAAACTCAGGGTAGTAAATAACGCTTTTCACAAAAAATCTACGCTTATTGAAAACAGATATGAATTTACCAACGCAAAGCAAATCTGCGTAACAAGTGGGAGTAGGGGGCCAACACATTCCTGAGACTTTCAATAAATGCTATAAACTTGTTATTTTATAATTGACACTATGCACTCTGTTCTCTAAAAATCTGATTTTCATTTTATTTCTTTCAGGTAAGGGAGTGCTCAGGATTCAGGTAAGAATTATAAAATCGAATTTTAGTGCCACAATTTAATAGGTCGATGGAGCTGTTTTGCACATGATTATTTTTGTCCGATAATTTCCCCTCTACGATAATAGTTCACATAAATCTAAGAATAGTTATGAAATTTGTTTGAGGATTAGCTATGGATATATTTATTTTTAACCCATGAATTACTGTGTTTCGCTCCTTATTTTTCATTATAAATTACATTTGCCATGCTATGTCCGAACGGTGCCCCTTAACCGGTCATATCTCTAATATAATCGCGCAGAGGCAGGCCTCTACGATTTTGCCAACCTAAAAATTTCGACAGTTTTTTAAAATGGTAATTTTTTAAAATGGTAATTCTGTAGTAATGATGTATATGGCATTTTGCACAGCTCCTGTCCTGGTATTGTTCGGTAGACTTAGGGTGATCATGATGATGGTTTTATATAAGATGTTACTTGTCCCACTGGGTTCTTATAACGTGAGGGGCCTGAACCGACAACGTATCACTCGTCAATGAAGCCGCACAGAGGGTGCAAGAGGGTGTGGGGGGAGTGTACTGAAACTGGAAAAGCCTCGTATACAGTGTATGATCACTTTTCAACCGTCAAACCATTTTTTTCCTACCTGACCCCAAGGTCATGTCAAAGAAATGGCACGGCACCCTTGCGGTACGTAATGCAAGTAAACATACACGCTCGTCGACTCGTACGATGGAACCACAAGAATAAACCGTATACGATTTTATCGAACGGAACCCTTGACAAATCCGTGGCAAGGTTGACGTAACGTCAGTGACGGCATTTGCAAGGGTTTGAAGGCTAGCACGAAAAACTTTTTTTTTTTAACAACGCACGGTTTGGAAAGATATGATAAAGGTATGCTAATCTGTTTTTCTTACTTGAACTCGCTTCTTTTTCAGGTACCCCGAGATGCACGAGGACGTGCTACACTTAAAGTATGTGGGAATTGCCAGTTTCCGAAGGAAGGGACATACAATTTTTATAATTCAACAGTGATAGATATTGAGGATTCGGGTACAGCGGTTTTTATCCAGACTGATAAACCTATTTATAAACCTGGACAGAGAGGTAGGGGAATACATGTAGGCCTATCTTTGCCCGCTATATCCCATAACATACCCTGAGCCACGAGAGTTTGTAACACAGGGTGTTATGAGGATTTAAGCCTAGATTGCATATGCCATGCGATGCCCGTACGGTGCTCGTATGCTGCCTGTAAATCCCTGTTCGCGCGGCCACTTTGCGGATATCGAATATTGAAATGGTACGGATTCACGGCCTCCGTAGCCTCTTCGATTTTGTCATGCTAAAAAGAAAAAAAAAAATTCGTAAATCCTTAGGCCTTATAATTAGCGTAGCCGAGATAGCACGGTTCCCGCACTGGCATTGTTCGGTGAACTTGCGGTGATCGTGATAATGTTTGAACCTGTCGTTGGCCTCTTAGTTTTTTAAAATGTAATACCGTGTACGGTGACCGCATTCATCCGATAGCGTCCAAATTCATTTGTTTACTCGTTTACTAACTTTGCACCACTTGAAGTAAATTTCCGTTAATACTCACAGTTTCGGACAGGGCGAAGTGGACGGTACGGCATAGCATATAAAACTTTACTGTGGTGTCCAAGTTTTCACTGAATGTCATCGTTTACCCGTTTGTGCGTGATATTATTCTAAATGTTGTTTAGTATTGAGTATTGTAATGTTCATTTGGCCCAATTTTTTTAAATTTTGATATTTTTTATTTATTTTGATATTGAATCCGATTTCGTCTTAAGGTTTCAAGTACATGTGCAGTTTCGGTTATTTTTATTATTTCATGCAGTCAATATACAAACACATATTACAACAGCATGGGATTTGAATATTACATTTCATTCTATTAAATTATTTATTTAAAATCTTTGTGTATATATGTATATAATTCATAACATATTCTTCATCTAATTTATTTCAGTGTATATCAATATTTTAACAACAGGGCCTGATCTTAAGCCTGTGGATGACAAAATGTTGGCTTATGTTATGGTAAGACTACTGAAATAAACAGTCTGAGTTTCAGAATGCATTATTATCAGAATGCACCTGCTGAGGAGAGTTTTCAATGACCTCCAAAATTAAGGATGAAAACAAACAAACAAACAAACAAACAAACAAACAAGTAAATGATAAATAAATAGATAAAGTTCAAAATCATTATTTTAAAATAGCTGACCTCCAAAATTAAGGATGAAAACAAACAAACAAGTAAATGATAAATAAATAAATAAAGTTCAAAATCATTATTTTAGAATAGCTGTCTTTTTACAGATACTATTTATGGTGTATTGACCTATGTATGATAAAATACTTAAACAAGCACTAAGGTAATGATGTAAACACTGAAAGTTTTGTTTTTGATGTGACTTCAGGAGCCAAAGGGTTCTCGTATAATCCAATGGGCAGATTTAAAGCCTTTATGTTGTGGTGAGTTGAATATTATAGCCTGCTTCAAGCATCACCCATGTAGCAGTATGAGTTTTTATTGGCTAAGGCAGAAGTGTAATGGTTAAAACAGTCTCTATTGTACATGTGATTCACTTTTGCCTTTTTTTTTCAGTCAGGCCAGACAAAACTGACAAATTGGTTAACAAGTGTGAGCAACACCTTTTTTTGAATAATTCAGATTTTTTTAAGACCTATAAGACATTTTTAATGGAAAATAATGCATTGGACATTGAATTGTTAATAGTTAGAAATTACAATTGGCACAGGGAAAAACCTTAATGTTATCACATTTATAATTAAAAATCACACTGCATATTTCTCACATCCCACAAGAGAAAATGAATGTTTAACACTGCCCAAGCCTAAAATTTAGCTGTCATGCCTATTAAACTTCATATCTTTAGAAAACAAAAAGCAACTTGCAACCCTGTCAAAAGAGAGTAACCAACTTATCAATTTTGTCTGGCCTATTCACATAAATTATTCTAAATCTGTCTTACAGAAAAGTGTAGTATGCCTAAAAAACTTGGACACCTGTCTGAAATAAATCTTTGAAATGTACAAATTTATTTTAACCAAAGAAAAATCCAGTGTTAATGTGAAAACTGAATATCTAGGAGAATGCATAATAATTTTTGCTTCCAATTTTGATACATGGATGGTTATATACAGGCCAGTAGTCAGCGATTCCAAAGGGGTGGGGGCTCTTTTTCAGAAAAAGTGGACCCATTACTATGAAGCCTCCATGTATGTTGATCAAATTTTACCCAGAGCAGACTTTTTTCAGTTAAAAAAGGGAAGTTCATTCACTTCCCTCACCTCCCCCCCCTCCCCGAACCCCTCCGGCTATGGGCATGCTATATGTGATTCAGTCTTGTTTAAGATTAATGTAGATAAATACTCAATTTTTTTAAAGGTCTTGTGAACACATCATTTCCCCTCTCTGACCAACCAACCCTGGGAAAGTGGACCATATTTGCTGAGGTCCAAGGAGTTAAATATAACAGGACCTTTGAAGTCCAGAAATATGGTAATTTTTCAAATTTTATAAAGAAACAAATGTATTTAGAAAATACTCAGTTATTTTACTTTGTAGTGATATAATTTTCAAATTCGTTTTTAAGACCAAAAATTGAAAATAATAATAGTAATAATGAGCCATTACATTATTTTTACTGACATATTTTCAGTTGCACCAAAATTTGAAGTTATCATTGAGGCTCCACCTTATGTTGATGACTGGACCAAATGTCATGCTATTAAAATACGAGCAAGGTATGGAGTGCCAAGTCACAGTAACATTTATCATGGATCTTAAAAATCATGCACATTTTTTGTGCACTTTCATGTGTAAATTGTTTATTTTATTTTGCATATTTGAAAATTTCACCATACTTTATATGAGTTTATATTTAGTTGTCATAGTATTTTGCAATATATTTCACCTAAAACATTCCAAGATTTTAATTTTTGTTTAGGTATTTGTATGGTAAAGAAGTTATTGGGAATATTTCTTCAAGTGTAACTGTCAAAGGAACAGGGTATTATGAAGACTACAAAGGACTCAAAGTTGTGACAAATTCTATGGTAAATTGATTTTCTTGGACATGGAATACTGCTGAATTCAACTTCTTCTTGTAAGTTTTATCTTAAAAAACTAAAAACACCAGATCTTGATTTTTTTTTTTTGATGAAAAAATTCCACATTGGGTTTCTTATGTTTTATTTTTGTTGTAAGGTTTTACACATTCATTCCAAATAAGCATTTTCTTTGCGACAAACTAAATTCTAATAAGCAGCAATTTCAACTTTTCAGATCCGTGGAGTGGTGGCACTCAATGTATGTGTCAGTGACCTTTTTCCTTATGACTCTAGATCATACTTTCGAGGTGTTCTCAGCATCAGGGCTGTGGTTACTGCACTGGATGGAAACACTGCTGAGGCCATTGATGAATCATGTGCAGTCAATAAGCAACTTGTTGATTTAGAATTTTCTCAAGACACCCGCAAACACTTTAAACCTGGATTGCCATATAGGGGAAAGGTAAATAAGAAAATAATATATTTTTTATTACAAACTTTTGCAAGTTATTATGTATCTTAACTTTGTTAGGATAGTGATAAGCACATGGATACATTTAAAGATGTTAAAATATGGGACACCTGTCTTTTTAACTGACTAATAAATTACATGTCATTAGTCAATCAATCAATCAAACATCCAGTAGCAAAATTTAAGGCCTCTTGCAAACTGTTGCCACAAATGTGCTGCAAATTTGCAAGAAGGAATTTTACCATGCAAATGAGGTCCTGTTTTAAATTTAAAAGGATATGTTTTAAATTTTAAAAAATATAAATATTTTTTGCAAAGTAGCAGCAAATGTGCAGCAACAATTTTCCTTACTGAAAAATTTTAGTTTGCAGCAAATCAGCTCATTTGCTGCGAACTTTTCATTTTACTAAGCATTTTGCTTGTTTGTTTTTTTTTTTGTTGTTTTTTTCTTCTTTTTAGGTTTTGGTATATTTACCTGATGGTTCTCCAGGAGATGACATCACTGTGCAAGTTGCAGCAGATGTTAATGGTGATAGATTTTCTGAACAAGAACTTGTCAGTAAAAATGGACAAGTTTTCTTTGAGTTTCCACCTCTTCCTGTCATGGCACAGTCAGTATGGATAGATGTAAGTGTAGTCCAGTAACATCTCCTAGGTAAATTTAGCGGGCCAGACGCCAGTCTTTAAATGTCAAAAAAAATTTGATTTCTAATTGAAATTGTAAAAAATGACATTAGTTTAAACATCTTAATAGGTGTATTACACAGTGGTTTAATCGCGTGAAGTATCGTCAGGTAATATGGATGTCATTTTTTCTCAATTGTTTTTACTCTCCTACATTTCTGCAAGTAGGGCCTTTCTAAAATGCATATTTGTCTATAATCTCAAATGTTTATTTTCCTAGGCAAAGGTGATAAAGGTTTATGGAAAAGATGTCAGAGATTCATACTTTTCTTCTTACTTGTCTATTACAAGTTGGTATTCCCCTAGTAAGTGTCATTTGCTTGTAGAGAGCAGGGAGGATTCTTACAAGGTATACAGCTTGAATTTCATTACTATATTTTACTTATTTTAAGTAAATTTCCTCAATGTTTAAAAGGCAACTTTTTTCTTTGCAATTATAGATATATTTTCAAGAAATGCTTTTTTTTGTTATTGAATATAAAAGCTATTTTTATTGCTTGAAAATTATAAAATATTGAATAAACAGGGTGTGTTTTTATCATGAATATCATTTCAGATTGGAGACCTTGCTAAATTTAAAATCTGGTCCACCTGTCAGTGTAACTTCATGCTGTATTATGAGGTTCTATCTAGAGGAAATATTGTAACCTCAGGAAAACACAAAGTAAAAAGGCCACATTCTAGGCATAGTAGAGAAGCAGCTAATGTGACTTTGGTCACCTTCCAGTCAAAGTCACCAGGTATGACACTTCAGATGTTCTTTCCTTGACTTGTTGATTAACTACTTCTACCACACACAATCTTACTAAAAAAAAAAAAAAAAATAATAATAATAACAATAATCATATAATTATTTTTTTTTTTTGGGGGGGGGAGGGGGTGTTTTGGTCCAGTAATTTTAAAATTATTTTTTAATTTCAAAGAGCATAAGGGTCACTCTTTGGGTTTCCAAAAAAGCCAAATGGTAGATTTTTAATTGTTCTTAATATATTCTGGATACTTGGGTGCTTGGGGTTTTTGTAATCCAAATAATAGTAGTTTTCCATGACATTATCATTTCAGATCCAACCCCTAAATCCACCAACTGCCATGCAGTATTAACCTTTCCCATCACGGCAGCCATGGCTCCATTTGGTCGTCTGCTTGTCTATTATGTCAAGGACACTGGTGAAGGAGTCGCAGACACTGTCAGATTTGATGTCCAGCCAGGGTATGAAAATAAGGTACAATGGAGCTGCATTATAGTATCTTGTTTCTGTCTTTTTTTTGTAATTCTAAAAATTCTTAAGATCTGCAATTTTTAAATGTGTTTGATGGACAGCCTTGTATATTAGTGTTTGATGCAAATTTAGTTAAGAAAAATATGAAACATAAAATTGATGGCTTTGAATGAAGATTTTTTTATCTAAGACATAAAATATCCACTCACATTGTTCCTTAGACATATTAAGATTATTCTCCCAAATCTCAAAATGATGTGGCCTTTTTGTTATATATGAACAATCTTTTACAACAGATATCGCTTGCACTCCCCAAGACTGAAGTGGGTCCAGGAGATCTTACTAGACTTCGTGTTAGTACCAAGCCTGCCAGCTGTGTGTGCTTGGCTGCTGTAGACAGAAGTGTCTATTTACTCAAGCCTGGATACCAACTTACTACAGCAAAGGTAATGAAAAGCTCGAGACCCACTATTGACCAGTGAATGTCTCAATGAAATTATCGCTGAACCCAAAGGAATTATTATTATTATTTATTGATTTGTGATCTGCACGATAAAAAGGTAAAATTCACAAAACTAAGCAGAAATGAAATACTTTTTTGAAATGCCATGATTAAATAATTGAGTCTTTGAATTTACAGACATTTATTTTAAAAAATTGATTGACATTAAAGGTCTTTGATGAGTTGAAAAAGTTTGATGTCACAGCAGATCAAACTGATGATACCTATTGGTGGGGTATCTCCAGGCGGCGTAAGAAAAGGTCCACCTTTCCCTGGTGGACATTCTTTAGATCTCGTGATGCGAAGTATGCATTTGAGGTAAGTTATTAGAATATTTACAGTTATTCTGACTGGAGATTAACTTATCACGTGATACTTAAAAATATAATTGATACTTACCAAATTTTTGCTGTACAAGATAGCAAACAGGGACAAAAGACGTGACAAAAAGGGGAAGAGAAATTGTTTTTTTTTAAAGGTAAAGCTTATTATTTGTAAGTCAGTGGATATATGTCTAGATTAACTTTCATTTTTTTCTTCAGTGTTGAAATCAAATTATTAGTGTTGTCTTAAAATATAGTGTCAGCGACCATTGCTTTCAATCAGAGCACTTGAAAATAAAACCTGTAATTTTATTTTTTCTATTTTGTAGGAGGCTGGATTAATAATCTTGACTGACAAAGTTTCACTTAATCATAAACAAGATCCAAGGGATTTTCAGGGTCCTCTGTTTCAAAGTCCATTTGGAGGTATGGTCTCAATCTCATGGATTAATATATGGAATTAAAAAATGTATAACCNCCTACATCTGAAGGAAATTCCTGTAGCATGGAAGAACGCCAACATGATCATAATGTTCTTTTAATTTTGCAGGTTTCAAATTATATTGCTAGATAATGGGTGTTACTAACACCATATTTACAAATTCTATGGGTGCTATCTGTGCTTTAATGGCTGTAGACAGATATTTGGCTTTGGTCAGGCCATACTTTTATGCTGCAAAGATCACGCCAAGAGTGGCAAGAGTATCCGTCCTTGTATGCACCTTCACGATGTTCTTAGTCAGCTTAGGCCCCGTGTTTGGTTGGAGCAGTTATTACATCTCAGAAGGCATCAGCTGCCTCTACACCTTGGTATTCAGCAACACACACTGGGTGACATTTCTTACTTCGCTCTGTACATGATCTTGAATGCAGCGTTGGTTGGAACCATGATTATTGCCGTGATCAAAGAACTAATTAAGATGAAACGCACTGTGGCGCCCACAGAACAGCAGAAGAGAGAGGTTTTACATGCAATACATGTGTTTACTGCGTTCTGCCTACAGCGTTTTCGAGGATGTTTCCTTTTTAAACTTATTGAACATCAACTGAAGCCTTTCAGTTACGTGCTTGTTAATAGCAGTAAAACTCGTTCAATGCTAATCGAACTGCATAACTCCGCACAAATAAACTGACATCTATAAAACATCAAAAACACTGAAGTACTACAAATCTGGCTGTTTAAGTTTCTACAAGAAAGGAATAAATCAGACACCGGAACAAGAAATATAGGTATTAATAAATTATTATTTATTATTATTATTTCTGTAATGGTGCGTAGATTATCATGACCTTGTACAATATAATAATATAACAATATAATTGGTGCATTGCCATTTCTCTAGTTGGTAATTGTGTTGCTAGTTTGTGACTGAACAAATATATATCTTTATTATGAATTTATATAAGGAACAGATGTACTGATTACTAATAAAATATTCAAATTAAGCGGTGAGATATAACATCTTGGTGTGATTATAAATTAACCATAAATACAAATCGTGAAACATGGCCACAATGATATGTTTCACAATATGAGGTGATTCAAATTTACAAGGAATGGAGGAAGAACTACAATTCTACAATTATATAAAGAAATAGATAAGTAAATAACACAGCTACACATACTTAAATATTATAACCATGTTTAGTGAGAGCACTACTTCATTGACGAAGTTATGATAATCGGTGCCCTGTATTTTTTTTTCCAGCTTAAACAGGAAAAAGCATTTGCACATTTTTATGGTGTCATCGCCGCTGCCTTTATAGTTTGCTGGGTGCCGTTTATAGTTTCTTTTGATATCATCTTTCAAGTATACAGTAACATAAAAATGACCACAACCTTGCTTTATCAATACAAACAATATAACAGATGTTGTTTGATGGAAGAGGCTGATATAGCTACATCGGAGAATAGGGAAATCTCTTGATTTAAGCGATATATTGTAACGACGACGACTTTCTGGAATCTTCAATCATTTATTCACCAATCACTTTTCATACAGTTTTTAAGTATATATTCCCTTATTCTCCGTACTGATCGCGCGAGTAATTATGTTCTTTTCATTGTTTATGGCGTAATTTCCAGAAAATCATGTTGTTGCGCATAGTCGCTGGGATTGAAATAGTTCATTGGCACACGCACACATTTTTTTACCATAGAACGTAGGAAGCCATTTGACTTGTGGTTTTATTCGTAATTTTATTTGTGTTTTATTCGTGGTGGCCTAAAGAAAAATAAAGAGAACACAATAAACCATTTTAATATAAAGATAAATTAATAAATTTAACAATTACACTCATAAAGAAATGATTACATAAATAACTACATAAATTTAAGTTGTGCTTATCCAAATTATCATGAAAAAATATGAATACCTACTCATGATCAACAGTAACCTATCCCATGGCTACCTCAAAGGCTAGTCGTCTCGGTCACTCTGTCTAGAGCACGGCTTCTCTGGCCCCGTATCTCGAAAGCATCGCGTATTGCGAATAGCGATATCACATAGAGGCTATGTACAATGTGTTTAATATGGGGCGAGTATGGGCCAGTTATGGAATCGAGACGCTTGCGCACGGTCGCAATGCGCGATGCTTTCGAGATACGGGACACTGGACGACTAGCTAAAACACGCGACATCTGACGGGATATATAGATAAATACAGTGACGTATTCAACTTATTGGCTAATGGAGCCCATGCTCTCTATCACATGATCTGTGGATAACTTATCAAGACAACTATAAGCATGTGATGCAAGGACGCACGTATCGCCGCGCGTGCAACAATAGAACATTCCCTTATTAGGCCATGTCTAAGAGCATTGTTTTCAACTTAATTTATCAGAAATATTATTTGCATTACTCATACTTGAATCATACCCAAAACTAAGTATCAAGTGATAAACAGTTCATTGAAATTAAAATCTATTGTGAAATTAACCAATCACATAGGCTTCGACCTTTTTCTTCTTTTTCTGACACTAAAAACATGTTCTACACTTTTTGACTCTTGGTGAAATTTAATTTACACTCAATATCACTTTAATTTTTCATCTATTTGATTTCCCTTTTATTACTAATTGTAATTAGTGTAAGCGTAAGTCATTAACTTTACAACTTACACCTTTTCTTCAAAAGAATTTGTCCTCGAATTCTAAATCTTTACAACATACACTCTCAAATACCAGAGTCAGAGTCAGAAGTTTATTGACTATCGCCCTACATCCGGGCATGATCAAATACAAATACAAGAAGTAATCCGCAGAGTGATTACCATATACAGTTTGATATACATTATATAATGTCTAGACTAAAGCAGGGAAAGTACATGTACTACTCAATAAAGATCAATATAGGGATAATTAAAAAAAAAAAAAAAAACTGATTCAACTAGAATAGGCTACACTAAACCTTATATTAAACTAACTATTATTTAGGGGGATATGAAAACTGCATCATCAGTTAATCTAGGTTTTATTCAGCATGGATGCAATTTTCATATCCCTAGCTTTAAAACAATCATAAAGAAAATTAGTTGTGCATTTTGCAATATCAAAATCATTACATTGCAGTACAGTAATAAAAAGGTCACTGATGGACTCAGGGGCTGCACTGCCCAGTATATCTTTAACCTGGTTAAGGAATATGGCTCTTAGTGGAGCATAAGAGGGGCATATCATCATAAAATGGAACTCATCTTCAACTGACCCCATGTTGCACACCGTGCATAGCCTTTTCTCTATGGGTATTTTAGGATTCATGTGTCTCCCCTTTTCAATTGCCAAATTGTGGGCACCAAATAACATAAAATATATTTAGTCAAAGTTAGCATATTACCAAATAACATAAAATTCTCGAATCATTTAATCATAAACTCGTCATATTATCTTAGTGAAGTAAATGTTCAGTGTATGCACAAATAGGACACTATGTCATATCATTTATTGTAAGAACACAATTAGCCTCAGTTCTTATTAATTTAAGAATACATCATCAAAATCTATTACAGGATAAATCTTTATCCTTAGACCCCATTTCCATAGATTTTAGATCGATCTATCCCTGTTGGGAGTCTCAATAGATTACTGTCAGCTTAGCCGGCTTAAGCCTCTGTCCTGCCTACTGAAAGCTGTGAGGGGGTAATTAACAATGGTGCGCGCTCGGCTGACTGCAATTTAGCATGAACCCCCAGGGAGTTAGGTCAATCTAAATCTTAATCCCTGGATCGATCTAAATCTCTGGGAATACATTCTTAGTCAGTAGTGATTCATTATAATATTATAACGGCAATATTTAAATGTCGTAGTAGTAATATGCTAACTTTGACTAAGTCAGTAATATTCCATGCATAATATATTGCTTGAATAATACATTTACCAATACATGATGGTATTTGACGCAACATATTAACTATGTAATCTTCTGATATTATCATATAATGAGCAGAACCAGTTAACTTCACAAAGTCCAACTGCTCATCTATAGAATCAAACTTTCCACAAAACATCAGCAAAATTGATTCGTTTATCAATTCAGAAGATAACCTTATCTGAAAATTCGTTTCTCTTTTTTGTATAAAATACAATTCATTTATATGTATTGAATTTTTAGGTAAATTTTCAAAAAGTTTAAATGACAAACTGACAATTCTGTCATCTATGTAAATGTTATATAAAAATTCCTCAGAATCTGAAAAAAAATAGAACACATTTTATTTCATTCTAAATCTAAATACTAATATTAAATACTTAACAATGGAAATGAAATAAAATATACTAATTATAATGATTATATTTTACATAATATATTATAGCCAACTAAAATATGTTATGATTGAAATAAAATTGTGAATAATTTTCAGTAATAAGTATTATAATATTACATGATAATAGTTATCATCAAGATTAAAACTTGAAATAACTTTGTGCATGTCGCAAAGTCATTAACATGATAATAATAAATATATCAGTCTTTAAAATATCAAATTAACAATCAAGAAAATTAACAATCAAGAAAATTCAATCTTACAACAAAGTCCCAAAGTCATTAACATGATAATAATAATAATAAACTTTTTGGTGATGATCTACATGTGTTCAGCAAAGTGTTCATGTAAGTCTTAGTACTTTATATCTGGTGGCGAACCCAAAATAGTGAACGAGTTTCCTAGTCTAATACCTCTAGCTGGTTATCTGCTGTTTGCATTCAATCTCAAAATAAATCTCTAAATAAAACCAACGCTGCAAATTCCATTTTTAAAAGCACTGATATATCAGATTAGCATAGTCATATCTGTTACTGGTGGAAAAGGGCCTCCTGTGCTGAAGCTGCATGCACTAGTGGGCTTGATTTGGTCTTTAAGTGCAATTTAAGAACACAAATAGTCTTACATGATCTTAAAACATGAGTAAGACCATTTCTAGTCTAACAGCCAATTAAGTTGTCTCCCCTTACACATTCTCCTATTGTGAGCAGAGGTGTCCTCTATTGGGAGGGGAGGTATCCCCCATTGTGAGGGGAGGAAACTGCTTGAGCACTTAAGTAGATGTTAGATCATTTTTGATCTTAAAAGCAGATTCAGTCCATTTTAAGACTACTGCTGTAATGATTAAGATCGTGTAAGATCACTTGTGAACTTAAATTGCACTTTAAGACCAAATCCAGCCCACTAGTGATGAGAAGTGCTGAGAGCTTCCTCTGACTGTTGATATTTCGAAACACCCTTTTGCAAAGAATCCAGTTTTTTCTTAAGTCTATCATGCTCGTCTTGGATAGAAGATAACCGTCTCTTGTATTGATCCATCACCTGGGTAAATAAAAAATAATAATCAATGATATTAATTTGATTAAAAACAATATCTGGATTGACAATTCGTAGATCTGAGAGGCAATAACGCCTCTGGTTAATTGTACATGTACCACCAGCTGGAGTAAGTGCATTTGCATGGAAAACTAAAAAAAAGGGACACCACCTCCAGTGTTGTACTTGGAAAGCTCTACAGAATGAAGTTAACAAGAGTTCTCAATATTTTTGTTGAAAATTACCATTTAAAACAAAATCATGGGGAGAAGTCAAAGTTTAAATCCAACTTTGTGAAGTGATGTTCATGGCGAAAAGTAGGTCAAAGGTCAATTTCCAGATCACAGTTAGATTGCCAGTATATATCTTTCTATTCAAATTCAATAGTAACTATCGGCGTATCTCTGCCAGTTTTAGACATATACCGAAACCTTGCAAAGTCCATGATAAAAGGTAGGTCAGAGATCAATTTCAAGGTCACAGTAGATTGCCAATATATGACTTCCCATTGAAGTTCAATAGTAACTATGGGCCTATCTCTGCTACCCTAGGTTCTAGATTCCGGTATTGCCAGCTCGAACTTGATTTCATATATAACCCATATCGCAATACCAGTACTAGTGAAAGTGACTCCAAGGTATATTAAATATTAAACAAACTAACTTTCACATTGCTCTGACACTCAGGGTAATCTCTGCCTGTTTTGGAGACATAAGCGTACATGCTGGTGGTACTGATAAAGATTTAAAAAGAAATTTTAAAGTTTTTTCAAACTTTTGTCAAAGCTTATCTTATAACTTGCCAAACAAAGTAAAAAATTTCTTAGTTTCTTCTACATACCATGGGTTCTGACAAGTTGATGGTTTCATGTATTTATTGATTTTTTTGACTATCAAAAGCTTGTGTAATAAATTCATATCTCTTTATGTTATTGTGTTAAAGGGATAACAACTGTTCATTTTCCTGGGGTAAACGACAATTTTACCATATTTACCAATGGTTAACGAATCCATTCCCACATTCAAAGTTAGTCCCTGTTTTTAGAAAAGTTTGGTTTTTTTGTAATATTCTCTTAAGAGATTATTACAGAATGTATCCATCTATGGAAGTCATGTGATGAGATGGCAAGCACAACATCCAGTGGGGGAGGGGGGGGAGAGATATCAAATCCAGGAATTTTTAAAGCACAAAAACAACATCATTTAACTTTTTCCTGTGTTCAATTGTAAATTTCTCCTACTCATAAAATTATTACTAATTCATTATTTTTCAAATTTGGAAAAATGAAATAAAATACAAAAGACAGAAAGACAATGAATTTGTTATGTTCTGATTCATGTGTGGGTATTTCTACCTCTTCAAACACATGCATCCCCAATCCTACTCCTACACATCCTGCAGCAGTTGCACTAAGTCCAATCTTCTGATCCTTTGTTAGCTTGTCAGACTTGGCCCATAAACCTACAGCAGCTACTGCACCTGTGAAGACAGCAAATATATGATGCATTTCAACAACAACCTATAGCTAGTAGTAGTAATGACTCACTATGACAAAAAATTGAATTGACTACATGCTATAAAAGTATAGCATGTTATTACAATACATATTAAACAAGGCAGCAAAGCTGTCAAATGTACAGACAAAAACAGAAAATAAAAATGCAGAAAATGGGTCATTTTGTCAATTTTGATGCAATAATAAATAATGCTTATAATAGCACTGTCAGTCAACACTGAATTCTAATCATGCACAACAGGTAACATGGTCAATAACAGAAGCAGATCCAGAGATATTTTCTGACAGTATTCCAAATTATCTTTGTTGATCTATCCTCCATTTCTGATGGTCTTCCAACAGAAAAAAATAGTTACCCGTCAATGTAAACTTTAAAATCTGACCGTCATCTGGAAGACCCAAAAGACGGTCTCAATCTGCCCCTGCAATAAAAAACTGAGGTAAACAATGCCCGTTACCTTTACAAGTACTATCTTAATCATCCATCTAACTTGAACTTCCTTTACCTCTTAATTAGAGGGTTAAATGGCATTCAATTCTCCTGTAGCGAGTATCTTTCTGGCGATATTTATCTCAGGTAAAAATCTACCTGTGCGTTAGTTTCAAAGAGCAGCTCCCGCAGACCTGGGGGTACTAAATAAAATCTGAACACCAGGTTTATCGAGGAGCTAGAGAAACAAAGGAATAATTTTTCCTGCACAGTTTCATAGGAATTTTTACATGGACTTGATCCAGCTCCAAACTAACAGGGTGACATGAGCAATTTTCACAAACAAATACAAACAAAGCAGCAAAGCTGTCAAATGTACAGACAAAAAACAGAAAATAAAGATGCAAAATAGGTCATTTTGTCAATTTTGATGCAATAATAAATAATGCTTATAATAAATAATAATAAATGATAACCCAATTGACCTGGCTTTCTAATTTGAACTGCATGCCAATCCTAAAAATCATACTCATAAGTTAAATATAATAATAAATAACACAGTTTTCTTTTCATAATGTTTGCAGTAGCAGTGCAAAAAGATTATTGTCAATTTTGATGTAACATTACATAATAAATTATAGAATAATTATCACCAATTTTTGATTATTGACTATAAATAGCATGAACATGTAGAAAATTTGATTACCATCCGGCTTCATGTCCATGGGAGCTCCGAGTCCCACAATGAATATGCCAAAAAGATAATGAATATTTCACTAAAATGTATAACTTCCAGAAAAAGAAGCCAATTAGACTGCTTTTCCAACTCGGGCTGCATTTTAGTCCTGTGTTTCTTTTTTGAAAGTTTGACAATCATAAGTAACACGGTTTTCCCATAATGGTCATCATGGCAGAAGCACCAAAAATTGTGTTTTCTTCT